CAGGCTTTAATTACTTTTAAATAATTATCTCTAAATAACAAAAATTAAGCGACCATAATCACCTTTGATTAGTTAAGTAATTAAACTTTGATGACTGGATGATAGATGGCGTTGTTTGGTAAGAGGCATGCGCAGTTACACAAGGTAGAGGTGATTTATGTAAATTTAGTTTTTATCGCCAAATTCTTACAATTTTCGTGTAAATTCGATTTAAAAATGTTAATTAATAACATAAATTCTCTATCTATACAAATTTACTTCAAAGTTGTACTGAAAAAGAAGTTTTTATTCAACCAACATTCGTTTAATATTTTTTGTCAGGCTTTAATTACTTTTAAATAATTATCTCTAAATAACAAAAATTAAGCGACCATAATCACCTTTGATTAGTTAAGTAATTAAACTTTGATGACTGGATGATAGATGGCGTTGTTTGGTAAGAGGCATGCGCAGTTACACAAGGTAGAGGTGATTTATGTAAATTTAGTTTTTATCGCCAAATTCTTACAATTTTCGTGTAAATTCGATTTAAAAATGTTAATTAATAACATAAATTCTCTATCTATACAAATTTACTTCAAAGTTGTACTGAAAAAGAAGTTTTTATTCAACCAACATTCGTTTAATATTTTTTGTCAGGCTTTAATTACTTTTAAATAATTATCTCTAAATAACAAAAATTAAGCGACCATAATCACCTTTGATTAGTTAAGTAATTAAACTTTGATGACTGGATGATAGATGGCGTTGTTTGGTAAGAGGCATGCGCAGTTACACAAGGTAGAGGTGATTTATGTAAATTTAGTTTTTATCGCCAAATTCTTACAATTTTTGTGTAAATTCGATTTAAAAATGTTAATTAATAACATAAATTCTCTATCTATACAAATTTACTTCAAAGTTGTACTGAAAAAGAAGTTTTTATTCAACCAACATTCGTTTAATATTTTTTGTCAGGCTTTAATTACTTTTAAATAATTATCTCTAAATAACAAAAATTAAGCGAACATAATCACCTTTGATTAGTTAAGTAATTAAACTTTGATGACTGGATGATAGATGGCGTTGTTTGGTAAGAGGCATGCGCAGTTACACAAGGTAGAGGTGATTTATGTAAATTTAGTTTTTATCACCACATTCTTACAATTTTCGTGTAAATTCGATTTAAAAATGTTAATTAATAACATAAATTCTCTATCTATACAAATTTACTTCAAAGTTGTACTGAAAAAGAAGTTTTTATTCAACCAACATTCGTTTAATATTTTTTGTCAGGCTTTAATTACTTTTAAATAATTATCTCTAAATAACAAAAATTAAGCGACCATAATCACCTTTGATTAGTTAAGTAATTAAACTTTGATGACTGGATGATAGATGGCGTTGTTTGGTAAGAGGCATGCGCAGTTACACAAGGTAGAGGTGATTTATGTAAATTTAGTTTTTATCGCCAAATTCTTACAATTTTCGTGTAAATTCGATTTAAAAATGTTAATTAATAACATAAATTCTCTATCTATACAAATTTACTTCAAAGTTGTACTGAAAAAGAAGTTTTTATTCAACCAACATTCGTTTAATATTTTTTGTCAGGCTTTAATTACTTTTAAATAATTATCTCTAAATAACAAAAATTAAGCGACCATAATCACCTTTGATTAGTTAAGTAATTAAACTTTGATGACTGGATGATAGATGGCGTTGTTTGGTAAGAGGCATGCGCAGTTACACAAGGTAGAGGTGATTTATGTAAATTTAGTTTTTATCGCCAAATTCTTACAATTTTCGTGTAAATTCGATTTAAAAATGTTAATTAATAACATAAATTCTCTATCTATACAAATTTACTTCAAAGTTGTACTGAAAAAGAAGTTTTTATTCAACCAACATTCGTTTAATATTTTTTGTCAGGCTTTAATTACTTTTAAATAATTATCTCTAAATAACAAAAATTAATCGACCGTAATCATCTTTGATTAGTTTAGTAATTAAACTTTGATGACTGGATGATAGATGGCGTTGTTTGGTAAGAGGCATGCGCAGTTACACAAGGTAGAGGTGATTTATGTAAATTTAGTTTTTATCACCACATTCTTACAATTTTCGTGTAAATTCGATTTAAAGATGTTAATTAATAACATAAATTCTCTATCTATACAAATTTACTTCAAAGTTGTACTGAAAAAGAAGTTTTTATTCAACCAACATTCGTTTAATATTTTTTATCAGGCTTTAATTACTTTTAAATAATTATCTCTAAATAACAAAAATTAAGCGACCATAATCACCTTTGATTAGTTAAGTAATTAAACTTTGATGACTGGATGATAGATGGCGTTGTTTGGTAAGAGGCATGCGCAGTTACACAAGGTAGAGGTGATTTATGTAAATTTAGTTTTTATCGCCAAATTCTTACAATTTTCGTGTAAATTCGATTTAAAAATGTTAATTAATAATATAAATTCTCTATCTATACAAATTTACTTCAAAGTTGTACTGAAAAAGAAGTTTTTATTCAACCAACATTCGTTTAATATTTTTTGTCAGGCTTTAATTACTTTTAAATAATTATCTCTAAATAACAAAAATTAAGCGACCATAATCACCTTTGATTAGTTAAGTAATTAAACTTTGATGACTGGATGATAGATGGCGTTGTTTGGTAAGAGGCATGCGCAGTTACACAAGGTAGAGGTGATTTATGTAAATTTAGTTTTTATCGCCAAATTCTTACAATTTTTGTGTAAATTCGATTTAAAAATGTTAATTAATAACATAAATTCTCTATCTATACAAATTTACTTCAAAGTTGTACTGAAAAAGAAGTTTTTATTCAACCAACATTCGTTTAATATTTTTTGTCAGGCTTTAATTACTTTTAAATAATTATCTCTAAATAACAAAAATTAAGCGAACATAATCACCTTTGATTAGTTAAGTAATTAAACTTTGATGACTGGATGATAGATGGCGTTGTTTGGTAAGAGGCATGCGCAGTTACACAAGGTAGAGGTGATTTATGTAAATTTAGTTTTTATCACCACATTCTTACAATTTTCGTGTAAATTCGATTTAAAAATGTTAATTAATAACATAAATTCTCTATCTATACAAATTTACTTCAAAGTTGTACTGAAAAAGAAGTTTTTATTCAACCAACATTCGTTTAATATTTTTTGTCAGGCTTTAATTACTTTTAAATAATTATCTCTAAATAACAAAAATTAAGCGACCATAATCACCTTTGATTAGTTAAGTAATTAAACTTTGATGACTGGATGATAGATGGCGTTGTTTGGTAAGAGGCATGCGCAGTTACACAAGGTAGAGGTGATTTATGTAAATTTAGTTTTTATCGCCAAATTCTTACAATTTTCGTGTAAATTCGATTTAAAAATGTTAATTAATAACATAAATTCTCTATCTATACAAATTTACTTCAAAGTTGTACTGAAAAAGAAGTTTTTATTCAACCAACATTCGTTTAATATTTTTTGTCAGGCTTTAATTACTTTTAAATAATTATCTCTAAATAACAAAAATTAAGCGACCATAATCACCTTTGATTAGTTAAGTAATTAAACTTTGATGACTGGATGATAGATGGCGTTGTTTGGTAAGAGGCATGCGCAGTTACACAAGGTAGAGGTGATTTATGTAAATTTAGTTTTTATCGCCAAATTCTTACAATTTTCGTGTAAATTCGATTTAAAAATGTTAATTAATAACATAAATTCTCTATCTATACAAATTTACTTCAAAGTTGTACTGAAAAAGAAGTTTTTATTCAACCAACATTCGTTTAATATTTTTTGTCAGGCTTTAATTACTTTTAAATAATTATCTCTAAATAACAAAAATTAATCGACCGTAATCATCTTTGATTAGTTTAGTAATTAAACTTTGATGACTGGATGATAGATGGCGTTGTTTGGTAAGAGGCATGCGCAGTTACACAAGGTAGAGGTGATTTATGTAAATTTAGTTTTTATCGCCAAATTCTTACAATTTTCGTGTAAATTCAATTTAAAAATGTTAATTAATAACATAAATTCTCTATCTATACAAATTTTCTTCAAAGTTGTACTGAAAAAGAAGTTTTTATTCAACCAACATTCGTTTAATATTTTTTATCAGGCTTTAATTACTTTTAAATAATTATCTCTAAATAACAAAAATTAAGCGACCATAATCACCTCTAATTATTTTAGTAATTAAACTTTGATGACTGGATGATAGATGGCGTTGTTTGGCAAGAGGCATGCGCAGTTACACAAGGTAGAGGTGATTTATGTAAATTTAGTTTTTATCACCACATTCTTACAATTTTCGTGTAAATTCGATTTAAAAATGTTAATTAATAACATAAATTCTCTATCTATACAAATTTACTTCAAAGTTGTACTGAAAAAGAAGTTTTTATTCAACCAACATTCGTTTAATATTTTTTGTCAGGCTTTAATTACTTTTAAATAATTATCTCTAAATAACAAAAATTAAGCGACCATAATCACCTCTAATTAGTTTAGTAATTAAACTTTGATGACTGGATGATAGATGGCGTTGTTTGGTAAGAGGCATGCGCAGTTACACAAGGTAGAGGTGATTTATGTAAATTTAGTTTTTATCACCACATTCTTACAATTTTCGTGTAAATTCGATTTAAAAATGTTAATTAATAACATAAATTCTCTATTTATGCTAATTTACTTCAAAGTTGTACTGAAAAAGATGTTTTTATTCAACCGACATTTGTTTAATATTTTTTGTCAGGCTTTAATAATTATCAAATAATTATCTCTAAATAACAAAAATTAAGCGAACATAATCACCTTTGATTAGTTTAGTCATTAAACTTTGATGACTGGATGATAGATGGCGTTGTTTGTTAAGAGGCATGCGCAGTTACACAAGGTAGAGGTGATTTATGTAAATTTAGTTTTTATCGCCAAATTCTTACAATTTTCGTGTAAGGAAGTATTAAATGTTTTTTTTCTTACCTGGTTTTGTGTGGCAACAGTTGGTCTCACTGCTGGCGAAACAGTCGGCGTCCCTCCCGCCACGGAGAACACCACATTGGAGGGCGGGGGACGGATTCCTTCTATTGTTAACTCATGCGTCGCCAGGGAGTAGCGCAGCATTGGTAGACTTTTCTAAAAAAAAAAAAAATTTTTTTTTGAAGAACATTTTAAGGGTTATTAATTAACCTTCAAAAATCCAATTAGGCACGGTTGTGGAGAGGCGTTCAGTAATTTTTCCAGTTTGTCGCAAAAATCTTCCGGTTCCACCCTCATATCGATCAGTTCTTGTATCAGCGTCCTCACGCTCTTTTCCACCGGCTTCGGCTCCCGACTGGACAGCTCCAACAGGTTGGCTAGGAACTTTCGGCACTTTTCTTTGGTATTGTCTTTCTAAAAGAGCGCCAACGAAAAATCAACAAAATCGCTTTTTCGTCGATTGAAACTTACTAAATTCACCTGCGGCGCATTCGCAGCTTGTCCGGTAGTCTGTGGCGTAGATGTCACTGTCGTAGTCCCTCCCACTTGTGCTGGACTTGTGGCAGTACTTATTTGTGGTTGCTATAAACATTTACGGGAAAATACAAAATTTGTTTCATTCAAGCGGTTATATATTTTCACTTTTTTATAATTTTCGATGTTTTCTATAGCTTTTCAAACTTAATTTAAGGTCTTCTAATTCCAATTTTCTTCTAATTTACCCATGTCTGTCCTTTTAAAGTATTTTGTCCTGTATTAAATGATTTTTTATGTTTTTAGGATTTTATTTTTGTTGTTTTAAAATCTCTCTGTTTTTTACATGATTTTTTTCAAATATTATGTTTTAAAAAAATATTAAAAAAATTTGATAAATTCAAAGTTTTTATTAAATGGGTATGGCACATATGCAGGGTGTTATGTAATAAATGTAATATATTAAAATGATATATATAACGAAAAAATATTTTCCCAAAGATAAAGAAAAAATATGCATTGCAAGTTTTTTATATTTTTTGTGATACGCCACTGGTTACACACTCGTGTTCTGTGAGTACATAGATACCAACCGACAAAGTGGCTGCGCGTTGCCGGTTGTAAAAAATTGTTACCAATAATTTTTCTTGCAAAAAATAAATAAAAACTCAATAAATACAAAAGTTTTATGCCCTTAAAGCTCTAATACCCTTCTGTATTTATTTACTCATCCAGCTATTAGCTTAAGCAATGATTAGAAAATTTAGTACCTATTTTAAAAAGTCAACAACCAAAAAATTTTTTCCTTTCTGTTTACTCAGATGAAATTAGGACAAATTCACAGGTTAAAACTTAAACATTCAATTTGTGTAAATAAATCCAAAAGCACTTCCCTTTGAGCACAACCTAAAATTTGAAAGAAATGCACTAGATTCTGACATAAAATTTAAATTGCCAGAGTACACTTTTGTACACCGATTTTTATAAAATTAGAGTATATTATTGGGGGGACTAAGAGAATACTTTTTAATACTGTTCACATAATTTGATATATACAGGGTCAGCCAAAAATCGCTTATTTTTAATAAAGCAAAAGCGTAAACTCATGATTTTGGCATAACACGCAAAAAAGATTTATCCCCATTTTTTTTTTTGATATTTTTACGTTTATCAGGTTACAAAATGGTATTCTTATTAACCTTTTATAAAAAAATAGATTTTTAATAAAAATAAATAAATGTTTAATTTAGACTTTTTAGTAGTTTTCAATTTTAAACGAAAAACTGGTTGAAGTTTTTTGATTCGCACTCTTTGGAGATTTAAAAACGATATATACCAAAATTCCAACTGCTTTTTTTAAATTTGTTAAAAAATCATTTTTTTTTTAATTTTTGTTTATCGCAAAGTCTACCTTTGCCAGAGTACACATTTGTACACTGATTTTTATTGATTGCAGTTTCTTGTTTGGGACCCTTTTGTAACTTTAAAATGATATTTACCAAAATCCTAGCTGCTTCTCTTTTCGAAATTTTTTGAAAATTCTTAATTTTTTTTTTAAATTTTTGTTTATCTTACCTTTGACAGAATACACATTTGTACACCGATTTTTATAATATTGGAGTATATTGTTAACAAGACTTGGAAAATACTGTTTTCATACTGAGCAATTAGATTTATACAGGGTTAGCCAAAAATAACTTTTTTATATAGTAAAAAGCATAATGCACAAAAAAGATTTATCTCCAATAAATGTTATTTTATTTAATTTTATTCAAAATTAATTTTTCTTATAAAGTCTTAATAAGAATCCCATTTTGTAGCCTGATAAAAATAAAAATATCTAAAAAAACATGAGTGGGTATATATCTTTTTTGCGTGTTATGCTAAAATCATGAAGTTACGCTTTTGCTTTATTAAAAGAAGCGATTTTTGGCTAACCCTGTATATATTAAATGATGTGCACAGTATAAAAAAGTATTCTGCAAATCTCCTTAACAATATACTCCAATATTATAAAAATCGATGTACAAATCTGTACTTTGTCAAAGGTAGACTTTAAGATAAACAAATCATGAATTTTCAAAAAATTTCGAAAAAAGGAGCAGCTAGGATTTTGGTAAATATCATTTTTAAGTCACCGAAGGGTCTCGAACAAGAAACTGCAATCAGTTTTTGGCGGCATTTTATTAAACTTCGTTCAGGCGCACCGTGTGTAGAACAGTTTTTAAAGCGAAATAATAAACAATTAATAAAAACGCCAAATTAACAATTTGCATTGTTGATTTTGTCATTTTTGTAATTAAGCTAAATTTAAACAAAATCTGACAACTTTTTTGACAGAATCTGGAAACGCTGGTTGTTACCAACCATAACATAATTAAATTAGGCAACCGGATTAGCCCAAAGTTCCTAGTTGATCAGTGGCGTACTTTTTGGTAGGATGAAAGTTATTATAAATTATTTAGAAAAAAAAAGTTTCAGGTGCTTCTTTATGGACCCTAATTAGGAACTACTCATTTTAATATATTACTTTAATTACATAACACCCTGTATTATTCAGTAAATTATTATTCTAAATTGTCAATGTTTTAAAAAAATGCATTTTGGGTTGCCTATTCCTACAAATATCTATCAAACCGGTGTTAAAATAGTAAAATAGCACTTTTTATTGCATTACTGAACAAACATGTTAGGAGGCTATTTTGAGTAGTTCGTATACCCACCGTTGCGACAGTTTGCATTCGAAAGGTGACTGGCTGTGCGCCGGGTTGCGACGTTGCAGTCATGTTGGCGCCCTGCGGGGCCGGTCCGACCCTGAGTAGCTGATACTGTCCATTTTCAGTCTTCAACAGTAACGCCCCCTGCTGCCCAGGTTGCAGACCATGAAAGGATTGTAAGGTTAATTGCTAAAACATGGACAAGCACACCCTTAGAAAAATATGAGGAATCTTTGCTCTTACGATTTTACTCAAAATAAATCTACAAAAAACACATAAAAAAACAGGCCAATAATCTACTTTGCACTACGTACCTACAAAAATAAATCGACTACATAATACCAAATTACAAGTGTATGGTGTATAAGTGTGCGGTGTAAAAATACCTTTGCGTAATTTCTGGACATGATTTAAATAATTAACACTTTTGTTGCGAAAATTTACACATTACTCAGTAATTATCTTAAGCATATAATTTACTTAAAAATGACATTTCAACAAAAATAATGACATTTTCACTTATTTATTTAATATTAACAATGCAAGCAATATTAATTATCAAAATAAAAATAATCTACCACAACTTTTGAATCATCCAATTTATATTATTAGCATATTAAAAAGCAGATAAAACAAACTTAGGTATTTATAAACTTCAATATAAAAAGCAACATAAACTTTACTTGAACTTGAACTAATTTATTGAATTATATAAAATAAAATTTGTTGCATTACTTAAAGATTCAACAGTATTCAACTAAAGATGTTACCCAAGGTTAGAAACTACTTATATAAAGTTGTTAGTTGATAGAGGATATAAATATTAGAAAAAATTAAGATGTTAGTATGAAACCAATTTAATTTTATTACATTTTACAACCAGCAGTGTGTAAATTACATTAATGCATTTTTTAAATACCATACAGAATGCTATGAAGTAGATATTGTTTACCTATACTTATATAAATAATTTTGCTAAAGTTGCCTCATATTTTTTTGACATTTAGGCCCCTTTTCAAACATAAAAACAAAAACAAATAAACTATAAAGGCATTCTGTGATTAACTGCAAAAAACTAAATTTGAATATACTCAAATTAACTGCAGATTTGATGACTAAATAAGAAGCAAGCAGTAGGTAACTAAACAATACAATTTTTTATTGCATTGTTTTGATTCTTTACAAGCAAGGTTAACTAGTTGTTTACATAACCTAAGTGTTTGATCATGGATGCAATTTGAAAATTAGTAGGTCGATCAAATCTGCAGCAATGCTTTTTCAAAAACAAAACAACATAAACATCACAAGTTTGAATGGGAGGGTTCCTTGGAGAGAGTAGCATTATATTAGTGGTGAAATGTGTTAAAAAGCCGATGTACTCTGCCATGTTTATCATTGAAGTCTTATCTGCATTTTTTGTTTTTGTAGTCTACATCAGTGTTTAGGTTTATGTTAATTATCAACAATATGATTTTCTTCAGTTATGATTTCAATGGTAAACAGGGCAGTATGTAAGTATGAGAATAAGCATAAGGGATGTAAAAAAAGAACTCTCCCATTCGTTTGGTTGTTGTTGTGAACTTACAGGAGCTCCTGGTCGGGCCCCGACAATTTGAGGTGCACTGAGTACTACACGAGCTGGTTGTCCCTTCTGCTGTTGCGAGGGAACTCCAGGTCGAACATTAACCACCTGGAGATTGGATAGGATGTTTTGGGATTGGGTGGTGCTGGGACTACCTACGTTATTTGCTTGGGGCATATTCGAAGTCACATTCATGGGCACTGTCACTATCCCGGGGGCACCGGCAGCACCGGTCTGCGCCGTGCTAGTCTTAATAACTAAAGTGGGTTGTTGTTTGTTTTGCAGTGAGATCGTGCCGTTGGGCAAGGAGAGCCTGTTGGGGGGGATGATGGTCCCCCCCTGGCTGGCCATAACCTGGTTCACTGCTTGGCCCTGCGTGTAGACGATTTTGACGGGGTTGGGTTGTGTTTTGTTTCCGTCCGTCGAGTTTACACTGATCGAGTCACCGTTGGCGATAGTCCCATGTTTTTGAGGGGCAACTATCCCGCCGTTTACGTGGTTTTGATTTAAAAGGGCGCCCGCTCCCGTCTGAGCTGCTGCTGGGGGCGCCGACGTGACTAGCTGGGTTTCCAAGGAGCCCACAATTGCACTTACAGCCGATTCGTCAACATCTGTACTTAGAGCTTCCTCGAGAAACTTAGCTGACGCCATTTTCCGAGACACAACTTGTAACTGAAACGCGCATGCCTCCTATCTAAACACACAGTGCGGCGCATGCGCTTTTACTGTTGTTCACTCTCCTGATGCAGAAAAGCATATGAAACAAAACTTCCAATCGCGCCTCTATAAACTACTCAACCTGTTTTATGTGCGTTTTGGGGGCAAATTCACTAGTGAAACCTCACGAAAAACGCTCAGTACCATTCTAGATGCCTTCCCTCATGCACCAAACTCACCTCCTGCGTCATCACCAACACGTCATTTTACCGCCATATTTGATTTCTTTAAATAAAACGCAATTTACCTATTTTTTCTTACAAATACTTTCAAAATTACCCGTTTCACTATAATTGCCCTTAAATCTCTTTAAACATCCGGCATTTTCACAAATTCATTTTTAATAGCCCATTTAAAGCTCTTTAAATGCCCACCTTATACAGGGTGTTAAATATGTTTATCTACTCCTATTGCATAATTTTGGTGTTTTTCCGTGAATATTGTTAAGCATTATAAATTTCCTGCCTAACAACGTGAATAATAAACTCAGTATTTACGTTATTAGGCATCAGTGATTGGCCGATTTCAGTATTCACTGTGATTTGAACCAATCGAGTTTTAAATTGGAAGAAGGCGACTATAATAATTCAATTCAATAAATCTGAATACAGAGTATCTCTGTATTCAGAGGCGACTATAATAACATTTAAAATTGGTAAAAAGTAAGGTTAACCATTTGACAGATGTCAGATTTTATTTATTTAATTTTGAAAATCATTTAATTATCTACTTATTGGAGTAGATAAAGTATAGTATTACACTCGTGATTATGCGCAATATTCACTCGGATGATTTAATGACTTAATAATATACTATTATTGCATAATTTTGGGTTTTTCCGTAAATAATGATTAAAATTATTAATTCCCATGGGCTGCAGCCTAACAACGTAAACAATGAACTCATTATTCACGTTGTTAGGTATCAGTGATTGGCCAATTTCAATATTCACTGTGATTTAAACCAATCGGGTTTTAAATTGGGAGAAGGCGACTATATTAACATTTAAAATTGGTAAAAAGTGAGGTTAACCATTTGACAGATGTCAGATTTTATTTATTTATTTTGTAAAAATCATTTAATTATCTACTTATTAGAATATTATGAATAATAGCCTGCATTATCTCTCGTATAATAATATACTATTATATTTAAAAGCAGCAGCGTCCGAGATAATTAAAAACAAAAAGGTTTTTTTTTGTTTTTTATGTAGTTTTTAGGATTAAAAAATATATTTGGACATTTTTTTTAATACCAGGTAAATTTTATAATAAATAAAAGTGTATTTGAGTATTGTTAACAAATTTATTTACACGAATTTTTATCGAAATATAAAAAATATTTTACAGCTTAACTTAATTAAATTAAATAGCATGTTTTGGAATTGTGGTAAATAACATTAAAAGTGCTAATGGTGTCCAAAAAATAAAAAATATTTATTGGAACAATTGAATTAAACAACTATAATGCCTTCAACATTTTTCTCACATGTAACATACATATAATTATATTCTGTTATACATTTAATGCCTGTAAGTTGGTATCTAATAATTCTTGAAGTGTTTTAAACGGTACAATGATACTATAGACTTGCGATTGCCGAAAGCAATATACCCGCTGCTTGGCGAAAAGTTTAGAGCGTTGATATGACCCATTTTGCTTTCAAAATTGGGGAAATTACTGAAAACACAACCGGAACCTACATGGAATAACTTCACTGAATTCTGAATGTCAGCAGAAGACAAAGCCAGCACTTCCGAAGAAGAATTAAACTTCAAACTTGAGATTCCTGTGGTTAGATTGAAAATGGATTTTCTAGGCTTGGGGATTTTATTTTTCAACACATCCTCAAGCCCGTACAAATTGACTACACCCTGTGCAGAACCAGTTGCTATGAACTGATTCGAAGAAGAAATATCAATGGTGGTACCCTGTAGACAGCCCTCGTCTGTGAACTTGTGTTTCACCCGCCTCATATTCATGTCCCAAACTGTCACCTCCCCTGTGTCGCTGTGACCGAACAACAAATTCCCCTGGGGGTTGAATGTCAAGGCCGTAACTTCGCCGTCTTGTTTCAGAACAGCAACACCCTCCTTGGAGTTGGTGGTGAGAATGTGCACTTCTCCCCATTTACCGGCAACAGCCATAAATTTGAAGTCTGGAGACACGACAAATTTTTTGCACTGCGTTAGGCCATGTGGCAGGTTGTATCGGACGGGTTTGGCGGAAACTAGGTCGTAACTAAATATGTGCGAGTGTCGGGAGCCTAAAATTGCCTCATTGCCGTTCTGTATGAATTTTGCGTTTAATATTGGGTATCTTTGGAAAGCTATGCTGTGTAGTTTGTTGTTTTTTCTGCCATCTACGGCGAATAACGTCGCGATTCCGCTGTTGCCAGCTACAAGAGCGACACTGGACGTTGGATGAAATTCAATGGAGTTTATGTAGGGCCCTTCAGAGTACGTCTCGCAGTTTAAATCCTTGACTTTCTTGAACTCCAGTAAAGACGAGGGTAGGTTAGCTTTGGAGGTTTTTCTTACAAAACCACAGGTTTGTAGAATCTCCTCGTCAGAGTCAGAATCCGCTTTTTCTTTGTCCAGTTGCGCCCATTTTGGTGTACCAACAATCGCTTGGAACTTATTTTTTAGCAGCTTCGAATATTTGTTGGTTTTGCTGTTGATTCCCCCCTCGGGTAGTTTTCTTCTCTGCGACGCCAAGGCTTGTCCCACCTCTATTCCATCGTCATCCTCATCAAACCAAGCTGGTTTGCGATCGCCGCTGCTGTCGCTCTCGTTACCGTCGTCTTCGCCCACCCCGGAATCCGTACTGGCCGCCCCCGACGTTCCGGGTTCCCGTTCGGCCTCCTCGAGGCACTTCAGGAAGCTCGTTGGCCCCCCGAAGAGGATTTGAGACAACTGTTCCTCCTCGGCGGCCGCTTTCTCGTCGAACGGGCGCACTTTCTGCTTCGGGCCCTCCGTTTCCGCGATGTGTTTGCGTTTTCTGGTCGATTTCGGCATTTTACGGCGATTTATGACAACAAAAACAATTTTTCTCACGTTCTTCGAAACGTCAATAACTGATCAGGTTGGCAGTACTGGATTCACAGAAATGCAACCAGATAACGATTAAAATCCCTAAGAAAATTTGAGGCGACATCTAGTTTTAATAAATCAAACTATTAAGTTTTATCTTTTATAATATAGATGGCGATATATGCGCCAAAATTAAAATACAAGGGGCAATCAAAATGTTGTTTAAAGAAATGTTACCCCGTAATATTTAATAAAACTAAATGAGTTTGACCTACACTTTTATTGTGTTTTGATCTTTTATAATTAAGTGGATATTACAGCTCAGGTTCCAGATTTTTAACCGCAATTAATTATTTTTTTACAATGTTTTAAAAGTATAAAACCTATCCTCCGTGACTGTTACTAGGTTAACCCAAATATCTGAGGTAGTAAAAGCTTACTAAAAATATCAGTTCACTAAGTAAATTAAACACATGAAAAGCAATCGAATCAAATATAAAATATTGATAAAAATTAAAAGAATTAATTTTTATAACCATTTATGTAGGTGTTACAAAAATTGATTCTATCCTCCGTGAATCTGTTTTTGCTTTAAATTGTATGCAACGGATGGCGCTTTAATCATTTTAAATAAGCAAAAACCTCTGTTTACGACATTATAGATGCATGTGATTTCTGAAGGTCAGTTTGAATTTATATGCAGATGAGAGTGTTGCTGTTTTATAATTCAAAAATTTAAGTTCATTAATTTGCTATTTAAAAACCCATCCACCGTGAAGTGTAATATCTCAGTAAGTAGATTTTTTTTATAAAATTTTTATGTATGTGTAGAATTATTTTTAAAAAGTATTAAGGTGTCAAAAGATACAATAACTTATTTCAAATATACAAAGGGATGTTTTAAAAAAACATACGAAATCCTAACCTCCGTGAAGCTCTAATATTCAAAATGTATGATTTCTTAAAATTCTTGCATTAGTGCAGAACCCCTTATGTTATTTTATTACTAGACCTGGTGGCTTCCCAAAAACCCCTTTTTTCTAGACCAACAGTGAAACAACCAAAAATAAAAAATAATCATTTTTACTTGGGGGACATCTCAATATATTCACCCATATGGACAAAAAATGAAATTGCATGATAAAAAATCAATAAAATGTTTAATTTCAAATAAGAAAGTACAACTTATAGCTAAAATATCACATTTATAAATTAAAATCTTAATTCTAAAACTGCATTGTTGCTTTTTGAGATAAAAAACCTTAATTGTAAAAAACTAATAAAATACATTTGTACACAATATGGAATATATTTTAAATGCAACGGTTAAAAATAAATGTTTTAAAAATGGGGTAAACAAACCTTACCCGCGAATAATTCGGAAATAACAGTAATCCAAAGAGCTAAAACAAATAAAATGTAAGAAATGCCGACCTGGTGACTGTTCGGGAGCTGATAGGGCTGCCCTCCTATTTCGTCCACATGAAAACCTAATGGAAAAATAACTGCGGCCAGGCAAAATAGAACCACTAAAAAACAAATTATATTTGTTTAAAATGCACTATAATTAGGTAAGAGTCTCAAATATGTTTATAAAAATTTAAGTATGTCAGAATACATAGGAATAGTTGCACAAACAATTTTCCCTTAAATAATCAATAATATACTTACTAGCAGTAAATCCAACCCATCTGGCATAAGGAACAACATTTCTGTCCCAATGAGAAGAAGCCAACAAAATAATTGTCGTTGTTATACAAATACACCCAACAAATATACAGACAAGAGCCAAAAGCCATTCAGATTGTAAATCAGGTGTGAAACACACTTGCGGTCTATTATACAAAGTCATGCATGACCACATAAGCCCCAAACGCGTATCTCCTGGAATTTAGATTAATAATTATAACCAATTATAAACTTGTTTTTTACTATTTTATACCTCCGACATCTGTTATTATCCAATCGGGCATGGCCAAACTAACTATGGCAAAAACATTGGCTGCCATAAACAAAGTACCAGAAATAAGCGTTAATTTATCCATTTTTAAACAAAAACACAACCCATTGAACGTTTTTGACGTTTGTTGACAGGTCAAACAACCACAAACATGAATGTAGCAACAACACTGCAGCCAACTGCTTACCATTGCCAACGTGACAAACAAATCCTAAAATGTCAGTTTGACATAACCTGTCAAATATCCCATATTTGCAAACAAAATGTCCAGTAGACGTGTTGTTTTAGTGTTCTGCGTGTTCGTGGTGGCGTGTTTGTGCACCAGCAAGGGTACACACTTAAAAGGCACGTTCAAGACTGACGAGTTCTTTAAATTCCTCATAAAGTTTGGTTTTCAAAAGACAGACATTCACCAGCCAGATTTAACTCACGGGTTTATCTACGGGAACATCACTTCCAAAAACAAATTCCCCGTGCCTGTCACACTGGCCGTGCTCGACAGGTCGAGGTTTTTGGAGTTTTACAATAACAGGCATTCGGAGAGAGTCTACGATAAGGATCAGATATGTAAACAGATGTTTAGGACGTTGAAAAAAATTGCGTACAATGCTAAATGTAACGTTAACGGGAATGATTATTTGAGGAGAGTGCCATGCCCCAAAGGAGGGTTGTGTAAAGATGAAGAAGATCCTTTTAATGTGGTCAAAAATAGTCAGTTTACATATGCCATACAGAATTTTAATCATCCTTCGTAAGTGATTTTTATTTTATTATTATTTTTCATGTAATGAAATTTGAATAGATTAAATAGTCTGCTTTAATATTTATTTATAACTTAATAAAGAATCACTTTTAAAGCATGTATGTTTCTAAGTTTAATTTTATTGGAAATCATACATATGTATATGTATAAGTAGGTATTTATGTGGTTAAATTAATAATATTGTTTGTGGTTAAGGTAATAATATTATCAAGATTTAATTTTGTTGAATTGTATTGTATTATTAAGGAGTCTAAATATTATAAATAAAATAAAGTTTTAGTACAATAATTAGTATACTAATTATTGTACTAAAACTTTATTTTATTTATAATATTTATTTATTTTTATATTTATTTATTTAACAACCAGATACAAGTGTACAGAATTTCCGCCTATTGGAGGTAATAATTATTATTAATTATTATTAATTTAAATTACCTGTACATAGGTCCAGTACATAACTTAAAACTAAACTAAAACTAAAATAATATATTATATAATATGTACTACAATGTTCATTCAACTAAATCTATTTTTTGGGTTTTTTACAACTTTAAAGTTATAAGGTTGATTTTGATACCATTGTAGAGACTAGTTTTTTTACCAACTGCAAGCTTGACTTTTGGCAGTACAATACTTTTAAACCTAGTTTTTTATTACTAATTTTTTGGATAATGTACAAGTCATTAAAATTAATAAGTAGGTATGGGTTTTAAATAGTAATTTTGATAAATATCAAGTTATTTGTCACAATTATAACTTATTTATAAATAATCACAAAATTGACTGAAGAAACAATAGCTGCAAATCAAGAATTAAAACCCAATTGAAATTTTATTTTACATAATTTATTTATTTTATATAATATACAGGGTGTTATGTAATTAATATAATATATTAAAGTACTGAATACCTTTGAATATTTTTTGTGATACGCCACTGGTTACACACTTGTGTTCTGTCAGTACATAGTTACCAACAAACAAAGTAGCCAGTTGTAAAAACTTGTTACTAAAAATTTTTCTTGCAAAAAATAAATAAAAAAGTTTTATGCCCTTAACTATGATTTCGCGAAAGAATCGAACGATCGATTTACAACACATCTCAGATTTTTTTTTAATTTTAATATTTTGCTTATACATCCAATTTAACACTAAATCTAAAATTTTTCTTTCATCTGACTTAAACTTTAGCTCCTAGAAACCATTTAATTTTGCCTTTCACAAAAAGGCCAAATTCCATTATTTTGGCATACATTTTTTATTAAAATACTGAATGATTTGAAATTTGGCCCATGTATGACCCCTATTAGTACCTACAATTCTGTCAAAAAAAAGTTTTAATTTTTTACATACAGGTGGCGCTGCAATTTTTTTTTCTTCGAAAGTAGACGTTTTTTGAAGACAAAAAATTCTCTTAAGCAACAATGCTCAAAAAAACTAAATAGCGTACCAGATAATATAGATATTCCTTTATAATTCGACATATAAAAATTTACTTGCAAATGATGTTGCCGCCCGTAAAGCCAACTTATAGTTTGGTCTACCGCATTAAAAAAAATTGAATTACACTTTCAACTCTATCCTTATTTTTAAACTAAGGAACTCCAGGTGATGGCTTTTATTGGTAACTAAAACGCAACAAAAAAAAGTTTTATTTTTTTATACAGGGTGTTATGTAATTAATGTTATATATTAAAATACTGAATACCTTTTGACATAAGGAATAAAGGAAAAATATTTAAAAAAACATTTTTCCAAAGATAAAGAAAAAATATGCATTAGAAGTTTTTTATATTTTTTGTGATACGCCACTGGTTACACACTTGTTTATCTCTGCACACCTGTATTTTGTGAGTCCATAGATACCAACCAACAAAGTAGCTATGCGTTGCCAGATGTAAAAAATTGTTACTAAAAATTTTTCTTGCAAAAAATAAATAAAAACTTAATAAATACAAAAGTTTTATGCCCTTAAAGCTCTAATACCCTTCTGTATTTATTTACTGATCCAGCTATTAGCTTAAAAATGAAAATTTAGTACCTTTGAAATTTGAAATCCATAACCACAAAATTAATTTTTTCATCAGTTTTTTCTCTGTTTACTCAGATGAAATTGGGACCAGTTCACAGGTTAAACTTTAACCATTTAATTTGTGTAAATAAATCCAAAAACACTTCCCTTAGTTAAGATATTTACTATTTGAAAACATAACCTAAAATTTAAAAGAAATGCACTAGATTCTGTCATAAAAGTTGGCAGATTTTGTTTGAATTTACCTTCAGTACAAAAATGAAATAACCAACAATTAATAAAAACGCCAAATTGACAATTTGCATTGTTAATGGGGTAGTTAAATTTTTTCTGACCTATACTTTTTATGGTTTTATTCAAGGCGTTTTGTAATTTTAAACATTTCTGTGAAATCGGAATTTCAATTGAGTTTACCGTTTTCGAGATATTTACAAAACAAAATCTCCTAATTACGTCACTAGGCTATTGACAACGTTGCCAGCTTTTTCTATGGTTGCCAGTGTGTTTAGTTTACGATAGATGGCGCCACGTTATAATATTTTAGTTGAGAAGAAGAATTGATTTTTTGACGTTTCTTTTTTTCGGATTGTTTCTTTTAAATTTAGATTATTGAAAATCAATGTTATTGTTATGTTATTTGTAATTGATATTAGATAAGTTATTTATTAATAACGGACTCCAAAGCAGAGAAATCTTGTGGAATGGTTGGTTACATTGAACATTGGAGCTTTTAAACAAAAAAAGTAAGTACCTATAATTATAATCATATTTTGTCGTAAATGCATTTCATTGGTATAATGCCTAGTTCTTTATATTCTTTTAGATATATTATTATTTTTTGTAAATTTATTTCATTCATTTTCAGATTTATTTTGCCACTTTTTTCTATGAAATAAATTAAACTCTGCTTTAGACAGTTATTAGGTACCTATTTATTACATTTTATTAGGTTTCACACGGTGTTTCAATGTGTAAACCTATCAATAAAACTTTTAATTTCAGAATTTTCTTTAACCTTCTCTTCTTCTTCTTTCACTCAACTGACAGTGACAGTATTTGTACATAACCTCTTCGGGTATTTTCTGACATAACCGAATGAAATCATTAACAAGACAACTTGACAACAGGGTAATTTTCAACCAATAGAAATCTTAGAATGTTGGTCACATGACGGGGTTTGTGACGTCATAAAAATTTATATTTTTTGTAAATATCTCGAAAACGGTAAACTTAATTGAAATTCTGATTTCACAGAAATGTTTAATATTACAAAACGCCTTGAATAAAACCATAAAAAGTATAGGTCAGAAAAAATTTAACTACCCCATTTTGTCATTTTTGTAATTAAGCTAAATTTAAACAATGCTTGGCAACTTTTTTGAAAGATTTTGGAAACAGTTGTTACCAACCATAACATAATAAATCCACCAGATTAACCTAAAGTTCCTAGTCGATCAGTGGCGTACTTTTTGGTAGTATAAAGGTTATTATAAATTATTTTTAGACTTTGGAATTTAGAAAAAAAAAGTTTCAGGTGCTTCTTTATGGACCCTAAGGAACAACCCATTTTAATATATAACATTAATTACATAACACCCTGTATACAGGGGGCGCTGCAGCCTTTTTTTCAAAAATAGACGTTTATAAAGACCATAAAGTTACTTAAGCAACATTGCTTAAAAAACTAATGACATTATTTATAATGTATCAGATAATATAGATATTCTTTTATTGTTTGACATATAAAAATTTATTTGCAATAATTAATGCCTGTTGTAGGGACGATTAAAATTATAACTAGTGCACGTACCCGCATATTGTTATATAAACGCCTTTTTTCGCTTTTATTGTTGTATGCGGACAAAAGGTAACAAAACCAAAGAAATTTTAATTTCAAATGGTAACAAGTATTTCAGTGACTCTATAGTAATAGTAATATGACCATTTGTTTAAATATATTTTAGTATATTTCGAGAGGCAAAGCATTCTTTATTATCGTACTTTAAAATTAAACTAAAGTCAAGCCTATAGGCTGGGAATCAAGTTACCCCAACAGTTGACAGTTACGGTCAAACGGTAACCATAATAAAATTTAAAATTTTGCCGTTATTACAAAAGTTGAAATTGGAGAGGGAAAATATCATGCTTTTAAAGGTACGCAAAGTTAATAGATTTTCTTTAAGTAAATCAAAATTCTAGGAATTGAATTTTCTTCTGAAGTAAGCATGAAAGTTCCTTGGACATCATTGAGTCGACAAAAGGAAAATATAAATAATTTAAAAGCAATTAAATATAGGTGCGACGAAGATGATCTTCTAAACCACCTTAAATTTCAAAATCATAAATTTCCTGAAATTAGACAAACTATAGGTGATGTTGCTAGAATGGAATTTTTAAAACAAAAAGATGTTTTAACTGCAACTAGTTCAACAATATCTACCGTCAATATATGCCCAAATGAAGAAGATAAAAATACGTTTTTTCGAGTATATGCAAAAGGGTTCGGAAGGCGCAAAATTAAAAAATCACGTTTTAATGAAAAACAAAAATATTTGTTGGCAACCTTTTTGAAGAAGGTGAAAAAACTAAAATTAAATATACGCCTGAATATATAGCAACAGCTTTACAAAATTATGAAGTAAATGGCAAATTTTAGTTTTCTTCAAACGAGTATATGCATCCTAATCAGATACGCGGCTTATTATCAAGATTATCGTCAGATAGAAGGTTAAGCAAAAATAGAAAAAGAAAATTAAAAAAATTGCCGGAAGAAATTAAAGAAATTGATGGATGACGGATGAAGTTTTTTTGAAGCTTTATCAGTTTTAAAGTAGTTCCTTTGCGGCCTAAGTAACTTTTAAGTTATAAATAACCCTGGTTAAAATCTCTAGACTGATTCTGAGAATCGCTCTAGAGATTTGAACCAGCCAGTAGGATATAAACCAGGGTTATTTATAACTAAAAAGTTAGCGAATATACTCCTAAGAGCCCAACAAGTTTAAAATTTAATGTAAAGGTAATAATTATTATTATTATAATAATTATTAGGATATATCTTTATTATTTAATATATGCAAATCTTGCAGATAAATTGTTATATGTTAAATATTAAAGAAATAGTAAAATCAATAATAATAATAAAGAAAAACATACTAAATAAAATAAAGAACAAACCTGGGTCAGAATTTCTCAAACGGGCCACCTGAATTAGGTCAAAATTAGTTTTTGATTGTAGATACATTTTTTCGATAGTATTTTACATCACTAACACAAATCCTAAAGGATTTTGTAAAAAAAAATTTTCAATTGACATATTCATGATATTAAAAGTAAAAGTTTTTAGTAATTAAAAAATAAAAAAAAATCATTATGGCTAAACTAATTATCCGATTCCAACGATTTAACTAGCGTTGGAATCTTGTTTTGACATAGATTCTTTGTTATTTTTTTCAATTGTACAATTTTCATTTAGGTCGATTTTTTTTTGTTTTTTTTATAACAAATTCGGATATAATTGGCTTCTGCGCCAGCTATCGACTCGAAAAAAAAAAAACACATATACTCCAATCATTTTTCGAAATTATGCTGCTGAGAAAAAAAATGGCCCGCAGGTTCCAGACCACCGTAAGACGTCGCGTCACAAGCGCGTACAGCGTACACGGTTCGGAGCGTGAGCTGACACCGCGCGCGGCCACAAAAGGACGAATAACTTTTTGTCAACCTGCGGGCCATTTTTTTTCTCAGCAGCATAATTTCGAGAAATGATTGGAGTATATGTGTTTTTTTTCTCGAGTCGATAGCTGGCGCAGAAGGCAATTATTTCCGAATTTGGTATAAAAAAAACAAAAAAAAATCGACCTAAATGAAAATAGGACAATTGAAAAAAATAACAAAGAATCTATGTCAAAACAAGATTCTAACGCTAGTTATATCGTTGGAATCGGATAATTAGTTCAGCCATAATGAATTTTTTTATTTTTTAATTATTAAAAACTTTGACTTTTAATATCATGAATATGTCAATTGAAATTTTTTTTTTTACAAAATCCTTTAGGATTTGTGTTAGTGATGTAAAATACTATCAAAAAAATGTATCTACAAACAAAAACTAATTTTGACCTAATTCAGGTGGCCCGTTTGAGAAATTCTGACCCACCTATTAAATAAATAAAGGAATACGTATATAGTTTTTAAAGAAAAAAAGCTGCAGCGCCCCCTGGGTGTGAAAAAATAAAACTTTTTTTTGCTGTGTTATTGTTACCAATAAAAGTAATCTCCTGGAATTCCTTAGTTAATAAATAAGAATAAAGTTGTAAGTGTAATTCAATTTTTTTTAATGCGGTAAACAAAACTTTAAGTTGGCTTTACGGGCGGCAACATAATTTGCAAGTAAATTTTTATATATCAAATTATAAAGGAATATGTATATTATCTGGTATACTATTTAGTTTTTTTGAGCATTGTTGCTTAAGAGAGTTTTTGGTCCTCAAAAAACGTCTATTTTTGAAGAAGAAAAAATTGCAGCGCCACCTATATGTAAAAAATTTAATTTTTTTTTGGTAGAATTGTAGGTACTAATAAGGGTCATTTATGGACCACATCTCAAAACATTCAGTATTTTAATAAAAAAATTATGCTAATATAATGAAATTATGGCTTTTTGCGAAAGGTAAAATTAAATGGTCTCTGGGATCCAAAGTTTAGGTCAGATAAAAGAAAAATTTTAGATTTAGGGTGGAATTAGATGTATAAACACAATATTAAAATATAAAAAAAATCTGAGATGTGTTATAAAAAAATACCCCAAAATCGTTCGATTCTTTCGCGAAATCATAGTTAAAGCTCTAATACCCTTCAGTATTTATTTACTCATCAACCTATTAGCTTAAGCAATGATTAGAAAATTTATTACCTATTTTAAAAACTCCATAACCAAAAAATTAATTTTTTCATCGGTTTTTTTCTTTCTGTTTACTCAGATGAAATTAGGACAAGTTCACAGGTTAAACTTTAAACATTCAATTTGTGTAAATAAATCCAAAAGCACTTCCCTTAGTAAAGATATTTACAATTTGAGCACATAACCTGAAATTGAAAGAAACGCACTAGATTCTGTCATTTTTGTAATCAAGCTGAATTTAAACAGAATCTGGCAACGTTGTTACCAACCATAACATAATAAATTAAATTAGGCAACCAGAAGTTCCTAGTCGATCAGTGGCGTACATTTTGGTAGGATAAAGGTTATTAAAAATTATTTTTAGAGTTTAGAATTTAGAAAAAGTTTCAAATAGGTATTAAATTAATTACATAACACCCTGTATGTATGTTGACTTTAATATTGTATAACGGCTCAGAAAAAATAGGGTTGCCGAGTCTTTTAAAGTTAAATCATTGGTTCAATCAATGGTTAAATGCTTAATAAATCGAAAATTTTACCATTGCATGTTAATTTCATCTCTGCGTTAATTGCACGACTTCCGTTTATGGCTGAAGCTTCAAAATTTAGCGATAGATAAAATATTGGTATACAAAAATTATACCTTTGCAATCCAAGTTTCCTATTACACTCACAGGCAAAATAATCGATCCACACAAATTTTTGATGAATTTCAATCGCAAATAACTTTTTTATTTGATGTCGGATTTAAACGAATATTAAAGAATATTGTAAATAAATTAATGGACAATCTCTCACATTTTAAAAAATTACTAAAAAATAGACGTACGTTTATAATATACAGGTTTAAACAAAAAGATGTTTTTTACCATAAGTTTAAGACACTCTGTAGAGTGGCAAAACCGTATATTGTTCTAAATTAAGTTTTAATTATTAAGTCACATCTATTTTTAACAGTTTTGTTTTTGGTTTACCTCAATATATTTATTTTTGTGGAAAATATGGATTTTTTTAGAAAACATTGCAATTTCCAATATTTTTCTGTATGAAGAATTAAGGTTGCTATGGTCCATCCATAGGCTATGGAGAATGACAGTGACAGTTTTTTTGAATCATCCCATACTTAGACATGTCATACGCGGCTTTCAAAAGCTATAAAATTGTTTTTTGCAAATTAATGTTTAAATTTTGAGGTGTCTTCTTACTTTAAAAAATGGATATGTCTCCGACTGATGTTGCCAGTGCCATTAATTTAATCCAGGATGGACGGTCGCAGTATTACTTGGCAAGTGTTTTAAACGTCACAAGAAGTAAAGTACAAAGGGCAACATCAGTCGGAGACATTAATAAAAGTAACAAAATTAACACATTAATTTACAAAAAACAATTTGAGAGCTTTTGAAAGCTGTATTTGACATGTCCAAGTATGGGATGATTCAACAAAACTGTCACTGTCATCCTCCATAGGCTATGGATGGACCATTCGTTCTTCATACAGAAAAAATATTGGAAATTGCAATGTTTTTAAAAAAAAATCCATATTTTCCACAAAAATAAATATATCGAGGTAAACCAAAAACAAAACTGTTAAAAATAGATGTGACTTGATAATTAAAACTTAATTTAGAACAATATACGGTTTTGCCACTCTATAGAGTGTCTTAAACTTATGGTAAAAAACATCTTTTTGTTTAAACCTGTATATTATTAACGTACGTGTATTTTTTAGTAATTTTTAAAATGTGAGCGATTCTCCATTCTACATCTACAATATTCTTTAATATTTGTTTAAATCCGAAATCAAATAAAAAAGTTATTTGCGACTGAAATTCATCGAAAATTTGTGTGGATTTTTATACAAAAAAAGGCAATTAAATTAGAAACAAAAGCTTAAATAATAACATCCGAAAGTGTCCAATTGGCCACCTGCAGTATAAAATATTTTTAAAATAATACCTACCTACTACATTAATAAAATATTAATTATTGAATTATTTTATTATGAGTTTGAGAAATATTTGGATTTATCCCTTGAGTACCTAGAAAATAAGTAGCTTTTAATTTTTTAGTTTTTGGTATGTGTCTATGGTTGCCTGCTATCTGAACACAACCACTTGTGAGTGGCATCATCACGAGTACCCCCATTCGTACGAAATAAACTATGACATATGGCTGGTAAACGGAAACCCAAACACCTCATACAGCCCTTTGACCTATCAGTTTTCATTTGACAGACAAAATACGTTAGAATTGTACATTATTTTTTGGCTTTGCTATATGGTGCTAGTGCCCTTGCAGTGTCATGCCGTAAAAATACAAAAACACCCTGTAACAAGGTTGTTTACGGTCAGTTTGCTATTGGATTTTGTGGCTTTGTGTTTGATTTTAATACACACCTTGAAACACGCTGTGGATGGGGAGGGGTACCCCAAATTGGAAATGATGGGGGATATATTTGATATACTTTCAAGGGTAAAATGTATTATTTTGTTAAAAATTAATATTCATATTATTATTTTGTTTTTAGACTACATTCATGCTGTTGCTATTATTGTTGGCCAAAGGTTGGGCTGTAACAAGGATCGATTTTACTGGAAAACCTTTAGTATTTGCTATTTGGCTATGTTATGGAGTAGTGCACATTTTACTTTATGTTTGGAACTTGGTAAGTTGCATGGTTAATATTATGTAATGTGGACATCATACTCGAAATTGCAAACTACATACATTAAGGGCCATATGCAGAAACGCTGATTTATTTATATCAACTGATTTAGCATATCAGTGGATATAGGTTTTTGCACGACATGGCAACGCAGTATTTTTCTTTAAAAACTGTTGTTTTATAAAATAAATTGGGTAATGGTGGATTTATGCAGCACAAATTAACATTAAGATTAACTTTAACATTAACATTAAGATTAAGATTAATTTAACATTCATAGGAGGGTACCACAGACCTGTGAGGGTACCTATTTATGCAGCAAAATTAGTAGCAAATTAAGTATGCATATAAGTTAAAGTAATTTTGACATCTGACATTTTTTATTTTTTTGAATTTTGTTTTAATCCCGTTTTAGCATCTGTTAAGTAAAATAAATGAAAACTATATACTCCACGTCAAACAATAAACCAAAGAACACAATCATTGAATAAAAAATAAATCATTCAGCAGTAAGTCTCATTTTATTTTCGGGTATGTTGGCATTACTGACACGGTTTATTTAAAAATTGCGCCGCAAACCTGCGCAGGAGGAATAAAAATTAACATTATCATTAAGAAGATAAAAGTTGGCCATCTCTTAATGTTAATGTCATAGATAATAATGTGTTGCATAAAAGCTTCCAATGGATTACGTTCATTTAAGTTCTTAATGTTAATGTTAATCTTAATCTTAATGTTAATTTGTGCTGCATAAATCCAGCATAATTATCTTTCAACGTTTATATTTTTCGTAAAAAGTAAATTACTATACATTGACATTTTAAATTAGACATAAAACAATTAAGTAAAATTTCATCAAGATTTATTTGACATTTGTGTCATTTGCTTTTAACCATAGAAAATAATTTCGCTAATATAAGTCATGGTTTACTAGATTTGTTTTTCGGCCAATAAAATCATCTAAAATGTAAATCGGTTGATATAATTCAGTCGTTAACGACTGTATTAAAATATGAATAAAAATAGACAGTATTTTTGTTTGTAAATATATATGAAAAAATAACCATGTACCATGTTAATTATATCAAATATATTTGCTGTTTTTTTGTCTGATTGAAAAGCTGAATGCTTGAAATTAATTGATTTATAACTTTCTTTGGTTTCATTGTAACATAATTACCCTTAACATTGAACTTGGGTGAAACTATTTATTGATTTATTTTTTTTAAATTAAAAACATAAATGTTTACTTTTTAATATAATTTTAGGTAATATATTATAGATAATTAAAAAATATGATATTTAATAAATAATAAAGATTATATAAAATAAAACCAAAATTGTGTTTAAAAAATATTTGTCTTATTTTTTAAATACTTTTGAAAAATTTTAAATTTTAGACCATGTTCAACTTATTTTCTGCCTTTAAATTTTTAAATTATGTGCTTGGTCTTAGAAATAGAAACATTAGGTTTTGTGTAAAGAGCTCAACAAGGTAGAGGGGACTTTTTTTCTGAGAGGAAATTTACACTATTTATTTTTGGGCCCAGAAATAGACTATTAAACATAGAAGAAAATCAAATAGAGGAACAAAAGGGCAACATGGCTATTTCAAATTGAATATACATATTATAATATTATTAACAGTTTTTGCCAATAATACAAGGCATTTTATAGGAAAATAAAAAATACATCCTGTAGGTAAAAGCTATGTTTTTATATTTTAGATTTAAATTGTTCTTATTATTTGTAATATTTATTTGACAAATAATTAAAAATATGCTCTGAAACAATATTTTTTTAAATAAAATACACAGGGTAAAAAATCTGGACTAGAAAATTTTAAAATTTGCTTTATAAAAGTAACAGTTTATAAAATTTGTGTACCTACCTCTATTTTTCAATATTAATTATTTAAAAAACAAACAAAGTGTATAAGGCATGCCAAAAAAGTTTTAGTGTCATTTTCTGGCACAATTTTTCTGGATATCCAGTTTTTGAGTACAGCTCCCTCCTTTTGATTAAAAAAGTTTTCTGAAGCCATAATTTATGTATATCAAGCATTAACTAACATATGTTATCTATCCTCTAGAGTTTGTTTCTTAATTTTAACAGGTCTAGTATTCCTATAATATAAATATTAAAAACTATAATATAATTATTATAATTATAATATAATTAATTAATCTTTTACAAGAACAAACACTTGAATCAAATTTTCACCCACTTCAACAAAATTTCTTTGTTCTTTTCAGAGGCTTTAAGCCGTTATTTTCGTTTTTCCTACCTTCTAATGCAAATTTAGGTACTTGTAACAAAACACATTGCAAACTGCGAACATAACCCAATTGTTGTGTTTTATATTGCCGCAATCCTCTTCAAAACCAAGTTTTTGTCAATAATAAGGTTAAGTCAGTTATAAATTTATTTATGTGTATATTTAATAATACATTTTAAAAATGTATCACTATTATAATGTAATAAACAATATGAAAGATAACCTACAAATCTTTACTGTCCTTTACTGTCATTAAAAATTTGCTATGTTGCCAAATAAGTTCAAACTTATATCAGTGGATATAAATAAATCAACGTATCTGCATTGTGCCCTAAAACTAAATAAACATTATTTTTAGACTGAAGTTGACATTATAGAAGACATAGATGAGTATCAGACTTGGCCAGGATGGCTGATAATAGTTTTTAGGTCACTCATAATGATATGGTTTTTGTACGAGCTTAGGACTACAATGATGTATGAGCACAATTCGGAGAAATTGAATTTTTTGCTGCATTTTGCCGCCTCCAGTCTCGTCTGGTTCATATATTTGCCCATTCTGGCGCTTATTGCTTTGCAAGTATCTGCATTGTGGAGATTTAAGCTGTTATTGGGTAAGTTTGAAAGTTTTGTGTTTTGTTCAAAAAATTGGTGCATTTTTCAAATAAATTTTGCTATTTAATTTTATTTTTCCAATTTTTGTTCTCAATTTTAAAAATATTATTTTAGCAAGTACCCAATTAGTTCTTGCGTTTTTTAAATTTTTATTATTATTATTTATTATTTAGCAGTAAAACGACAATACTTAATTCTAAAAGTTTACCTTGTTTTACTTGTACTGTTTGTAAGCAATTAAATTAATATCATAATAGACAAAATTGGGGAAAGGTTTAAATCAAACAGGTAACTCCAATTTGAATTTTTTTTCGTAAACCTGACATTTTTACAAAAAAAAACAAGCTAATGTTGATAAAAATCCATGAATAAATGGCGAAGTTATGAATTTTTAGTGGAAAATCAAAATTCAGCTTTTTGACAATTTTTCTTTTATTTTGTAACATGTTTATTCTTTAATAAAAACCTAATTAAAGTGCATGATTGGAATTTTTTGAGTTTTTTACGTACTTTTTTCACCGAAAACATTATTCAAAATTTAAATTCTGGGATGCAGCCATGATGGTCCCTCATACCGTATGAGTCATACGAGAAACGGAATACGAAAGCAACAAAAAACAAAGAAGAGAATTTTTTTAAACCTATAACAAAATAAAACTTTCAATATCTTCAATGTTCAATATTCAATATTTAATGTTTAATATAAAAATCAATGTTCAATATTAAATTTTATATAATTCAATAAAATGAAGAAAAAACGTAAACATTCTCGAAAAGCTTAATCCATGGATTTTTATCAACAGCAGCTTATTTTTTCCTTTAAGTAGCAACACAAGAAAATCATAGTAAGACATGGTGGGCAAAATGGCTGTAAACTAGTGTTATTATTATAACTCCTAAGTTATGAGTCACAGAGCTGGGCACAAGTACCTACTAAAAAAGTATTCGTAAAATTTTAAGTACGAGTACTTAAAATATTTACTTGTAAAGAGAGGTTACGAGTATTAATCGTGAAAACACAAGTAAAGAGTACAGGTACTTAAAAAAAAATGGTAGTTAATATATTATTCTGTATACATTATAAATACTTTGGTCCTGAGCTATAAAAATACAAATATAAATTTATAAAATTATTTATTTTATACATTAGGTACAGGGTGATCCCCTATAATGTCGCCCCCCTTTAACTTTATTATTTTTCCACTTATAAAAAAAATGGAAAATTGATCAGTATACAGAAAAAAACCAAAAGTTTAATTTTTCTCAATGGATCACCCTATATATAAATTTATTTTTCGATTCCTTGTAAAATTCTAACCATAATTTATATAACATACATGGTATATACCTACATTCAACCGTTTCTGAAATATTTAAATTATTTTTAAGATAATAAGTTAAAATAGTTTGTGTTCCTCGTATTTTGTAGTACCTACATAACCACACTTTTACATTTTTTGGGACACTTAAAATAAAAAAAATATAGGGGCGCGACATTATAGGGGATCACCTTGTACATAAAATAATAAATAAAAATAACAATTCTTAAATAGTTAATAATTTTACCTATATACTTGTTATAAAACCTATAGGCTATAATATATTTAATATATAATTATATTATACTATATATTATATAATTTAAAACAGACTTCCAAACAAAATGTTTTGATGCTTACGATATTTTGGCAAAAAGTCATCGATATAATAAACGGAAATACTCGTATATATTACTCGTGAATTTCACGAGTATTTTTTACGAGTACATTGAATTTGGTTTGTAAGTATGAGTAATAAGTATTTCAAATGAAAAATACTTTTGAGTGAAAAAGTACTCTTAATTGAAATACGAGTAAAAGTACTCAGTACTTGGCCAGCTCTGGTTATGAGACATGGAATCATAAGTTATGATTTGGGTCATTTTCAAGAAACACCCGCTTTTAGGAAAATGAAGATCAAAATATTTTTTGTTTACTTACATTTAAGACAGGCAGTGCACTTTTTCATTTTTTTTTTACGTTTTTTTTTTTAGAAAAATGTATTTAGATAGCTTTATATATCTCCAATTTGAAATCCAAAATTTAATTCAATAAAAAAAGTTGTTATAAAAATAATTTGAAATAAAATGTACTTACAAACTTTTGACTCCAATTTATTTTATTTTTTATTAAAAATTGTATGCTTTTTTTTAAATATGTATGTTCGTTAAGTTACTTTTTAAAAGAAACCATTCCATTAATATTTTCTTTTAGCCACTGTATTAGTGAATTAAACTCTAATTTATAAACACGTATTACCAAGTGATAGTGTATAAAAATCATTTTAAGTATTTTTTTTAACAAAAACTAAAAAAAAGTAACGAAATAGACATTGGTATCACAACGGACTGGGGTACACAACGGACTTAATCAGATAACGTAAAAAAGAAACTATATAGGGTGGTACGATTTTAGAGTAATGCAAAATAACAACTTATATTTCTAAATTATAGACACCCTTTTTCTTTGACTATAAGCTGGTGTCTTTTAGTACTTGTATATTTCGTGGAATTTTTCCTTGGATGTAATCTATCACAAATAATTTTAAATTGGTTTATCATAAACTACTTTTAATAAAAGCGACGGTAAATATCCACTTTGTTGTCGAAAAATTCTATTGCGTTACCCTAAATTCCATTGCGTTACCATAAGGTAACGTAATGGACTCGGTAACGCAGTGGACAAAGTTTTGTGAAACCATATTTAAAAAATAATAATAAAACATTACAGTCATTAATTACTCTCAATGAGCTTTAGTAATTTTAATAAACATAAACATAAAAAATAGTATTTTTTCTTACCTTTTTGAGTAACTTGGCGGACAAACAATTATTACATTCGCGTTACCCGCACCTGTTTCAACCGATATCTTCTTCCTGATTGAATAAATAAATTCAGCTGGGTAATGTGTACATCCGAACATCATTTGTTGATCACGTGAGTGACAAAAAAGTTGCCATATATATGTTTTTTTTTTTAATATTCTATCGGTAACGCGACCGACGTAAAGCAACGGAAAAAATGTCTGGGACATGAGTCAAATTTAAAAAAAGTAGTTTAAAATTAATTATTTTATATATAAATTGTTTACTGTATTAACTAAGGATGTTATGCATTAAAGTTCTGGTTATTCAATATTAAAAAAAACATGTATGTCAGTTTTATAAAACGCTAATGGGACATGCGAAAATGTGTGTTTCACAAGTTTCAAAATTAAAAAAAAAATATTCTGAAATAACTAAACAAAAATTTTCTGAAAGAGTTTACTAAGGGCTTGTTGGGATCCGATAATTTTTAACAAAGTTATTGGAATTCAAACAGCGGAAGGCGGGTGTTTTTTGAAAACGAACCATTTATAACGTATGAGACAACCTTTCGCAGTCAGGACAAAATCGATTTTTCAGGCATAACCTATTCGGCGGACTGCTTCGCCTACTGCGTCATGGCGCACCTGCTGTGGCCCACGCGGTCCGAGCAGTACTTCCTGCTGAAAGGCCCCTCCTCGGCCGACACAGAAGAGCTGGACGAGTTCAACGAGGCCCCGCACATCGTCAACAACTCGTACACGTCGCTGAGCAGCCTCGCCTCGATGGAGATATGCCGGTACGAGGATCCGCCCAAAACCAAGGCGGCCGTGGACGCGTAAACGAGTGAGGTTACTTGATTATTAATTTTTTGTTGCGCAGACGACCACTGCGTCGACTTGAGGCACTGGGTGCTCGGTTTTTACCGAATTCGACTGTTTTAAAGTGTTATTTAAATTTTTAATGGTGCTGTTCTGAGAGGTGATTTTTGGACTTTCAGTGAAACCTATTTTTTTTTATATTCTTGTTAATTAGGTCATAACTAAAATTTTAAGAGCAAAATAAAAAAATTTGACGGTTAATTTTGCTTTAATTGGATGTTTATTAAAAATATGTATGCACACTTTCAATTCTCCAATTAAAACTTGCGATTTTATTTAAATATTATCATAACTTTTTAAATCAGATTAAAGATTAGTTAATTTCCTAAAAAAAGGTCTATACATTTTTTATATCTTTTACTGTTTTGTTGTAATACACGTTTAAAGTTTTAATTTAAGGTTAAATGTATAGTATACATTTATTAAACAATAATTCTAAGTGTGCCACATTTTATTTAGGGCCGATTTATTCATTTTTGATTTATTTGACGAATAATTTCTTTGGATACTAGATTTTGACAAGACATGAAAGTTATCGGCCCGATAAACTTTACTAAATATGAATAAACCGGTCCTTAGTTAAATTTCATGAATTTCTTCGTAACTTTTACTACAATTTTTCATTTTTGTTTATAAAAAACACTTAAAAAAACTAAACAAAAATTATAGAATACGTATACTGACAATTCAAACATCAAATAAATTTTTAATAGATCTAAGTTTCATGGCAACCTTTAAGGATATATTAATTAAGGGAACATAAATGTATACGTCAAAGGTTAGATTAAAAGTTTGAACGTTTATTGCAACAAAACAGTAAAATTTATAAAAAAAAAATGTAAAAACCTTTTTTTTAGTTATGCAAATATTAAATATTTAAAATAAATCGCTAGTTTTAATTGGATAATGAAAGAGTGCATAATATTTTTAATAAACAGCCAATTAAAACAATTCAAACCATCAATTTTTTTTATTTTTCTCTTAAAATTTAAGTTATGACCTAATTAACAAGAATATAAAAAAATTAGGTTTCACAGAAAGTCCAAAAATCACCTCTCAGAACAGCACCGTGAAAAGTGTATGTAATTCTTTATTATTAATATTTTATTCATTAAAAATGTCAACTATTAACTATTTAGTTTAATATAAAAATGATAAATTATATTCTTAAAGGCGCTGATTTATTTTTTATTCAGCAATTATTCTTATAAAGTACAGTGATATTTTCAATTAGATAAAAAATAATTCGTTAAATTAAAAATATCATAGGAAATATTTCATGCTTCCAATGGTAGGTTACCATTAGGGTGTGTCATTTTTGAGCAACTTCTTTTTTTCAACTAAAAAACAGGCTAAAAACTTTCAGGAAGGTGAAAAAAGAAGCTTCTAAAAATTTGAGCTCTTAATAATAACATTAAGTGGTGCCTGTTCCTAACTTTCCATTTTCCATTTAAATAACATGGAAAAAAAATTGTTTCTTGTTTCTTATTTTTGTATCTTGACATTTAAGCATTGTAAAAACGAACTGAAAAATTATTTTGGTAGGAAATTGAACGCTCTACAAAAAAGTACTAATTTATTTTTTCATAGAGTAAGCCGTTCTGAAGGTATTTAAACTTGCAAATGTATGAAATTATGACTTTTATTTTATTAAACTAATACTTTTTTATGTTTAAAAATTATTTTAAGAAAAAATAATTATTTTCGTATAGAAAGAAAATAACACTTACATCTCAATTTTTTTTCCATTTTATTTTATTTACTATCAAAAAAAGTTATTTGTGTTCAATAAATTTGTTCAATAATTATAATAGATTAAATAAAACTATGAATTTTTTATTGTATTGAATTTTTAATCTTTTTTTTTATAATTGTAAAGTCGATAACTCTGATAAAAGATTATATCGGCTCAGTCGGTATATTACCGTTCGGATTAAACAGTGACTAGAGGCACGCTAACGTGCCGCGATTCGAAATGTTAAAGGTAACTTTAAGTTTGAATACCTTCAGAACGGCTCACTCTATGAAAAAATATATTGAAACTTTTTTGTAGAGCGTTCAATTTCCTACCAAAATAATTTTTCAGTTCGTTTATACAATGATCCAATGTCAAGCTACAAAAATAAGAAAAAAGAAAAAAAAATTCCATGTTATTTAAATGGAAAATGAAAAGTTAGGAACAGGCACCACTTAATGTTAATATTAAGAGCTTAAATTTTTAGAGGTTTCTTTTTTCACCTTCCTGAAAGTTTTTAGCCTGTTTTTTAGTTGAAAAAAAAAAGTTGCTTAAAAATGACACACCCTAGTTACCATAGAGAAAAGTCCATGATGCCTTTGATCCAAATTAGTAAACTTGAAAATTTTTAATATTTTTAATTCATTTAAAAATTTCTCCTACTATATTTTTCATTTAGCGAATTAAAAATATGTGTTTAACAAAAAAATACAAATATAAGAAACAGATATTTTAAATTCACTAAATTAAAAATATCTGTTATGATACTATGAAAGAAGTTTAAGTGACATACAAATGCCGCCAAAAACTGATTGCAGTTTCTTGTTCGGGACCCTTTGGTGACTTAAAAATGATATTTACCAAAATCCTAGCTGCTCCTTTTTTCAAATTTTTTTAAAAATTCATGATTTTTTTTTAATTTTTGTTTATTTCAAAGTCTACCTTTGACAGAGTACACATTTGTACACCGATTTTTATAAAATTAGAGTATATTATTGAAGAGACTTTAATACTGTTCACATCATTTGATATATACAGGGTGAGCCAAAAATAGCTTATTTTTATTAAAGCAAAAGCGTAATTTCATGATTTTGGCATTACACGCAAAAAAGATTTATCCACACTTTTTTTTTAGATATTTCTACGTTTATCAGGTTACAAAATGGCATTCTTATTAACCTTTTATCAAAAAAATAGATTTTTAATAAAATTAAATAAAATAACGCTTAGAGAATATTTAAAATGTTGTTTAATTTAGGCTTTTTAGTAGTTTTCAATTTTGAACGAAAAACTGATTAAAGTTTTTTGATCGGCACTCTTTGGAGATTTAAAAACAATAATTACCAAAATTCTAACTGCTTTTTTTCAAATTTGTTATAAATTATTTTTTTAAATTATTTGTTTATCGCAAAGTCTACCTTTGCCAACGTACACATTTGTACACCGATTTTTATTGATTGCAGTTTCTTGTTTGGGACCCTTTGGTAACTTTAAAATGTTATTTACCAAAATCTTAGCTGCTCCTCTTTTCGAAAGTTTTTGAAAATTCTTAATTTTTATCTTACCTTTGACAGAGTACACATTTGTACACCGATTTTTATAGTATTGGAGTATATTGTTAACGAGACTTGGAGAATACTGTTTTCATACTGAGCACATCATTAGATTTATACAGGGTTAGCCAAAAATCGCTTATTTATATATTAAAAAGCATAATGCACAAAAAAGATTTATCTCCAAAAAATCTTATTTTATTTAATTTTATTTAAAATCAATTTTTCTTGTAAAGTCTTCATAAGAATCCCATTTTGTAGCCTAATAAACATAAAGATATCTAAAAAAAACATTGGTTGGTATATATCTTTTTTGCGTGTTATGCCAAAATTATGAATTTACGCTTTTGCTTTATTAAAAGAAGCGATTTTTGGCTAACCCTGTATATATTAAATGATGTGCACAGTATAAACAGTATTCTCCAAATCTCCTTAACAATATACTCCAATATTATAAAAGTCGGTGTACAAATGAGTACTCTGTCAAAGGTAGACTTTAAGATAAACAAAATTTTAAAAAAATCATGAATTTTCGAAAAGAGGATTTTTAAGTCACCAAAGGGTCCCGAACAAAAAACTGCAATCAGGTTTTGGCGGCATTTTTATGTGACTTAAACTCCGTTCAGGCACACCGTGAGTAATTCGCAGAATAAAACTTCTTATGTGATATTTTTATCTATTGAAAATATTACTCTAGGGTTAACACAAAATTGTCGAAGTGTTGGGTGTCCCAGTGTCTCGCCAATTATTCTTATGAAAATGGTTTAGTCATTAAAGTTTATACCTAGCGTTTAAGATTGTTGTGTCACCATTTAAAGTGTTGGCTATAATAACTACATAGTATTTAAGAAATCTGTTGCAAAGTTAGGAAATAATGATTTTTTGTTACAGTACAATATAAACGGGCACATTTGCAAAAAAACACTCTACCAAATAGGTATTATTTTTTTTTAATTAGTGATTCTATAATATTTAATAATAAACTATCTGTTGTTTTTTATTTGGAAATTACGTAAAATCTTCGTTTTACAGTAAGGCAAAGTTTCTTTATTCAGGTGGTAAATTTTTTTCAGGAAATATTTTTTACCATAGTTTTTTACAAATGTGTCACTTATTTGGTTCCTATTCACGTTTTCAAAGAATCACATAAAAATTATAAAAGTTATGAACAATTAAGACATTTTTTAAACAAAAACCCTCTAGATAGAAACAATTTTCCTCGCACCAATAGTTAAATGAATATGGAATGAATAAATTATTTATACCTGAATGAAGTTGTTGATATGAGTAATATACTGTCCGCCAGTGAGATTATGCGAAATATTTTAGAAATAACTGTTAGATAGTGTTGTAGGCAATTTTCTCATGCTAAACACATTTAATTTTATAGTTATAGTTACGCATAAGAAAAAAAAATTAAAAAAACGTGGGCTCATCTGACCTAAGATTTGCTGTGAGAAAGTTTTAGTATCAGATTTTGTCAGTCAGACAAAATATTGACTGCATGCAGGAAGGTTAGTTACAATTTGAACACCGGATTAATATTAATTTAAATTTAAACCATTTCATTATTAAATATTTATCGAGTTAACGCTGTAAAGTTTAACACTTAAATTATGTTTTAACAGAAATTTATAAAGTTATATTTTTTTAAACTCGAAACAATTGATAGTCAAAAAATATTTTAAATATAAAATGCAACAGTAAAAATTTATGTTTTATTCTACAAAATTATTGGTTTAAATTTTTAAAGAGTCATTTAAATGATAGTTGATAAATTTGTAATGCAAAAAATTAAATGTAAGTTTTAAATTTTAAAGTAGTAATTTTTGGATTAAAAATGTATCGACTATCATTTAAATGGCTCTTTAAAATTTAAACCAAATTTTTTTATTTTTAACAATTTTAAAGTGATAAATTATTAAATTTATTTAATAAAGAAACATTTCACTACGATAATTTGTAAACCGCGTCAAATATTTATGGAGCAAGCACGATTTGGCAACACTGCGCCTTCTACTAAAGCTACGTTTTCACTTTGTAATTTAAAAATTATCGACTTACATTTAAATGTAAAGTTATTGGTTTAAATTTGTAAAGAGTCATTTAAATGAAAGTTGATTTACAGTCGCATTTTATATTTAAAATATTTTTTGATTATCAATAGTTTTGAGTATACAAAAATTTCACTTTTTAAACTATTTTGGTAGAAAATGTTTTATATGTGTTTTTATTTTAAATGGCTTGATACTATTCTTAAATACTAAAAAATTTAACTTTACCAAATTAATCTCAATAATTTTATAAAATATTTATTTAAGTTAACAAAATGCCACCCAAATAAATTATACTTGGGAAATTATATTTATTAAAAAATCATAGTTTGCAAAAATTGATAGAAAATAATATTGTTTAATACAGAAGTGAACTGTTGGTTAGTAAATTTTGTCTTTCAATACATGATAGTTGAAAATATTATAAATTTATAAATGTAAACCTACAATTTTTAGTTGGGAAAATTTTAAACCAATAACATCTTAAATTAAAAAAATATTTAATAAATGTTAAAACGGCGTGCCATAACTATCCTTTCTGCATGCGGAGATAAAGCATGTAAATACGTTTTATTGCTCAATGGATTATTAATTTTATGGGTGATATACAGGGTGTTAAATTTGTATGTGTGTTGTTGCTATCATCCAAACACTTTTTTATACCGCGCATTCTGTTTTAACCGAACTCACAAAAATTCTTTTTCTATTACACTACACAATTGTGTGCCTGTGCTAACTTTATTAATTTTCCAAGTAAACAATATGTGCACAGTATGGGGTTACATTTCTTAAAAAGTTTCATTAATGTGAAAAGTTTTTGCTTCAGAATTTGCGACACATCGTTTTTATTGTCTATTGTCTGATTTTTTTTTATAAAAATCACTTTTGGTCAGTTTTTGTTCATTTTTCATATCTTAAAAGTAATCGTTTTATCAACATGTTCAAAGATTTTACTTTTTACAATTTATGGCCAAAAATAAAAATTAATGACATTCAAGAAGAATTCTCTAAATATTTCTACCTAATTTATTTGTTGTAAAGAAAATGACAAATAAACGAAAACTGACCAAAAAATTTCAGTTAAAAATGTTCAGAAAAATCAAATTTGCAAATTAACCATAGACAATAAAAATGTTCTGGGGTTTGAAGCTTAAACTTTTACTATGAATGAGATTTTCTGAGAAATTTAAAACACATTTTTTCCTCTGTAACCCCATCTGTGGACTTACTGTATACTTAAATAATATATTTTACCTACCTATGCTAAACTAAAAAATAGTGCCAAGTTATAAAATATATATGCAATTGGTTCTTTATGTTACTTATTTTTATAGGTATTGACTATTTTGTTATTTTTTTATTGTGATCTCTATGTACATATATGTTACGTATTATTACATATTAATTTTAAATCATCAAAAGTAACAGTAACTCAAATTTACTATAAGCAATTAAATTTTATAATAATTGTGATATAGTTGTGATATCTTTTTTTTTAAATACTACCCTTCTAAAAAAATCTGTCCATTTTTATAAAAAAAAACTGATACTTTTGGTGTAAATTTACATTTATATTACGTGATTTGTATCTGAACAACACAAACACTTATGACTTAGATGTTTACCACATTTGTTCAATGTTGTTTACTAGTTTGTGTCTTATAGTGTCAATTTTTAAAAGTACATCGATCAATTTAAAATACTGTTGTAATAAATGAATATTCTTATAAAACAAAATAAAGATTACAATCACAATACATTATTATTTATCCTCATATTTTCCTCACCATAAAATAAATTTAATTACAAATGATAGGTATATGATTTAAAGGAAATAAGTAAACATTAACACAACAAAATGTAGGTAATTCATAACAACTTGAGACCTTTGGTTACATTATCAATATCTTTGGTTAAATTAGGGCCTATTCCCACTGCAACCAACTGATTTTCTTCCATCACTTTCACTAAACTTAAATTGTTTTTCATGCCCACTTCAAACAAATTCTTTAAACTGCTCTCATCACCAATTTTCAACACTATTTTGGGCTGTCCAAACCTTAACCAACTTTTTAAATGCTCGTTATCACTGTTAAGAGCCTTTTCATACAATAAAACTGCTGCATCTGCTGTTTGTGTAGCTAATTTGCCTCTTGTAGGCTTTAAATCAGTACGAAAAATGAACACCATCTTGGTGGAACCAAAGTTGGTGAAGGTTTTTAAAATAGTGACCAAAATAGTTTTCATAACTGAATTTCCCATTTTTAGGCTAAATTTGATGTGTTTCGCTGCTGATGTTCTTGCATGCACTTTTTGAAATCATTTACGACATCCTGGCATTTTCTCCAGTCTTGTGTTGCCGCTATACACTCCTAAATTAAACATTTGTATTCATTATTTCTGTAAGAAATTATTAAATTACCTGGACTTTGTAGTGCAGGTTGATACAGCCTGTCTTTTTTAACATTTCCTCTACAGGATCTGTTATTTCTTGCTTCCCATGACCAGGCATCTCAAAAAGTAAGTAAAAATTAATAATTTTAAATTATCGCTGTGACTACAGGCACGTTAACGTGCCGCGATTTGAAATGTTAAAGGCACGTTAGTTACGTCATAAACTCAAACCATCCCAAACTCAACAACACAACCCAACCGACCCCGCCCCATTGCCCCCCCCCCGCCCCATTGAACAAAAAACCCAACTAAAATGGGCAAATTTATGTTACGATAAAAATAAAACACTTTTTAACAAAGGAACAACATATTTATGAAATAAGAAAAGTTCGACAACTTCTAGTAGATTTTATGTTACGATAAAACTAAAACAAACCAACCAACCCAACCCAACCGAACACTGTTTAACAAAGAAACAACTTTATGAAATAAAAAAATAAAAAAAATTCGACAGCTTCTTGGTTTCGAACCCCGGACCTCTCGCATGCCAAGCGAACGCCCTACCATATAAGCTATCTAGCTTGATGTTAAATATTAAATGGACAGGGAACAAAAACGGATTATAATTATGACGTAACTAACGTGCCTTTAATATTTCCAATCGCGGTACGTTAGCGTGCCTCTAGTCACTGTGTTAAATTATACCTTTTGATTGCAAAATTAACCTAAAAATGTCGCGCAAAGATTTTAGGTTAGGATAGCTACGTTGCCCAATGTGCATTAGTTTTTTAATTTCTTTTACAGATTTTGCTGATTATTATATTTAAAACCTTAAAGCCTTTGGCAATAAACTTGTGTATTGCAATGTCAATTTTGAATTAAACGCGTTGTTTTATGTTGCAAACTTCAAAATAAATCGATTTATGATTGCAATTTGACAACGTGGTTGCGAAATGTCAGAAAAATGTCAGAAGTCTCAAAAAAGTATTTTACGAGTCGTTTCCTTGAAATGATTGAACAATTATCAGTGTTTATCGTATGAATATTAATTATGTCTCATAGTACGATTTTTGAACTTCTACTATCGTAACACATTCATTCGTGTGACGTATATGGAGGTGTGTATTTGTCCGAAAAACAGGTTAGGTTTTGAGAATAAATCTTCGAATTACTTGCCTCTTTTGATTTATTACGTAAGATAACCGTGTTTGATTAAATTTACCGGAATTCCCCGTGAATTCTTTAAGCAGTTTACTCATTTAAAACCAGATTTTTGAATTTGTTGTTATAATTAGTGGAATTTTAATTGAAATTTAATGCTAGTGTTGTTATTGTTTGTTATTTTAGTGAACAATGGGTGATGAAGACAGGCCTTTGATTGGTGTGATAGATGCTGGCACAAGGACTGTAAAATTTTGTGTGTTTGCTAGTCAACAAACTAAGGAAATTGCTGAACATGCTATTGATGTGGAAATTGTGACACCAAAAGAAGGATGGTCGGAACAGGACCCTCTGGAAATATTGAGGGCTATAAAAGAATGTATTGAAAAAGTATTATTAGAATTAGGGCCCAGAGGTAAGAGACTTAATTTAATGTATTTTATTTTTTTCTCAACCAAGTGTTATATTTATAAACTGTAAATATATATTATAAATTTAAATATCATCTATGGACAACCTATCTGTAGATGGGATTTCTACCCAATACACTTTGTTTACAATATTTATAGTTTAAATAAAATAAATAAATTTTCCCAATATCATAATTGGTTGATATTAATTATGCAAAATATTCAAAAATAAAGTATTTCTTAATTTAAATAGCATAAAATATAAATTCAAAACCTTGATAAAGTTTTTTAAATGTTTTGTATCAATGTTGCAATTATATTTAGTTTGCACTCACAAATTGCTTTATAGGTTAAAGATCAGAAATACTGTGTTAAAAAAAAGTTATTTTATGATTTTGTTATGCTTTTATTGAACTTATTTTTAAACCAACCATGGTGACTGCTAAATTTTTTATAATTTTTATTATCTTTCTTATGTGGTACTTTTTTGCATGCACCTATGTAAGTTGTAAGTACTGGTGAATTAAAAAAAAATAGTTTAACCTTCAACAAAATTGGCTCAGGTTTTCACCTGGTGGTATAAAAATAAATAAAAAACTTTTAATTATATAACAATTTAAGGTGTGATCACTATTTGAAATTTGTATTTAATCTTAATTGTTATTGTTAAGTCCATGAAATGAAGTAAATATTTATTTTTATGATTGTGATTTACATTTTAATGTAAACTTAAAAGAATAACATGATATATTCTTGTTCAATTACTGGAATTGTTTGTTGTTCATGAATTTATAAATAAATGTCAAAAATACTTGAAAAGTGATAATATAAGTAGATGTTTAATAAAAACAAAGATAATATCCAAATTGTATTAATTTTTGATTACAGCAAAAAGAATTGTAACAATAGGAATAACCAATCAACGTGAAACAACCATAGTGTGGGACAAATTGACTGGAAAACCATTATACAATGCTATAGGTAATTTATACTCAAGTCCCAGTATATTTTTGTCGCTTTATTTACAGGGTGCTAAAATGCAGTATATAATGTTTAAGTAATTAAAGACAAAAGATCATTTTTATTGTTATAAAGCATAGAATTATACATCCATTGAACTTTTATTGGTATTTTTTTATTTGAAGTGCTATATATGTATACAAGGTTAGTAAAGTTAGATAAAAGGTGTGTAATTACAAGCCTTTTAAAATAAAATTTATAAATTGGAAAAAGCCAGTGGTTCCCAAAATATTTGAAAAAAACTAAAAACGTTTCAAAACAAAAAATCGTTGTTTATTACTCCTAAGATTTTTGAAAAAAAAATTAGTTTTACAGGTAAACACACATTTATCAACATTTTCATCCAATTTATTTTCTACCATATTCTAAGTTACCATCACCATCTTTTGTTTTTATAATGACCGCCATAAATTAAGTAGATTATGGTTGTATTTCTTGATTCTTTTTTTTAACTATGTAAAATTCTAATATAGCGGCCACGAGATAAACCATAGAAATAATGCTATATACTAATAGTATTATTTCTATGGGAAAAAGAACAGATGGTGGTAGAACTCAAAATCTAGTGGACAAAAAATATCGAATTGGGTGAAAATGTAGATTAATTTGTGTGTTTACATTTTAAATTTTCTTTTTCAAAATTCTTAGGAATAACAAGTTATAATGATTTTTGGTTTTGACAGACTTTCAGTTTTTTTTCAAATTATTCAACAACCGCTATTTTTTTTCTATTTTTAATGCTATTTTAATAGACTTGCGCAACTTTTCTCTATTTTAACCGACCTTGTACCACTTCAATTAAACAAGATACCTGTGCATAGTAGGATAGTAGGATACTTAAGTCAGTATATACTTATTGATGCACCCTGTATATCCTGAAAATGGCGCTCTGACATAATACCACTCAATAAGGGACAGATTTTCATTAAAAAAAAACCCTTGCGTGAAATGGCTTTAGAACGTCATTTTCGGTATATCCGATAAAAAACCTGATAAAAGATAAGAAAAATACCATGGCAAGCCGTTTTAGTATTTATTAGATAATAGTTTGAAGATTAAAGTGTATCACTTTAATCATATTTTAACAGAAATTTACAAAGATATTTTTTTTTAAACTCAATAGTCAAAAATATTTTAAATACAAAATACAAAACTTTAAGCTTAAAAATATTGATTTAAAAAAATTACTAAATTATTGGTTTAAATTTGTCAACTAAAAATGTTGTAGAATTAAATAATAAAAGTCCAATTTTTAAAAACCCAATAATAAAATATTAAACTTCTCCATTTTCATTTTATATTTAAAATATTATTTGATTATCCACTATCTATTTTTAAATACTAAAAAATTTAACTTTACCAATTTAATCCAAATAATTTTATAAAATTCTGTCCAAATAAATTATAATTAAGAAATTATTTTTATTAAAAAATTTTGTCTATCAAACATGATTGTTATAAATATTTTAAATTTATAAATGTAAACCAATAAAATTTTAAATTATAAAATTATTTAATATATGTTTAAACTGCGTGACATGGTAAACTGTATACTTAAAATTTGTATGTGTATTAGTGTGGAATGACATAAGGACAGACTCGACAGTAGACATAATACTAGGAAGGACACCAGAAAACAATAAAAACTACTACCAGTCCATATGCGGTCTTCCAATTTCGCCTTACTTTAGCGCCTTTAAATTAAAATGGCTCACGCATTTTTCTCAGGACGTGCGAAGGGCTGTCAAAGCCAAAAGGTGCCTTTTCGGAACTGTGGACACCTGGATATTATGGGTAAGTTTTTCAGACACTAGTTTACAAAATCGAAAAAAAATTCTGCTCACCATATCCCATTATAATTTTCCCATGTATTTTGACCCACTATACACGAAAATCACACTATGGAAGCGTTTTTGAAATATGAATTTTCAATTGTTTTTTTTTTCAATCTTCGGAGGTGTTTTGACGTTTTTGAGTATAGCTTGAAAACTAATTGATCGATTTGGTCAAACAAGCCCTTAAATTAAAGGTATTTGAGCCCTGTAAAACTTTCTTTTACTTACTTTTGATGTCGGATAAGAATTTTGACGCTAGCGATTTTAATAACTTAACAAAATCGTTTTTATGGCAAACATTGAGGTCGAAAATTTACATATCGTCCTGGAAAGGGTTCAAATCAAACAGATAACTCCAGTTTGAGTTTTTTTTCGTGAAGCTGACATTTTTACAAAAAAACAAGCTAATGTTGATAAAAATACATGGACAAATGGCGATGTTATTAATTTTTTAGTGGAAGACTAAAATTCAGCTTTTTGTCGATTTTTATTTTATTTGGTTCTTTTATTTTGTAATATGTTTATTCTTTAATGAAAACCTAAGTAAAGTGTATGATTGGAATTTATTGACTTTTTTACGTACTTTTTTCCACCGAAAACTTACAAAATTTAAATTTGACTTGACTCCGCAAACGTGAATTCTTTTGTTTCTCGTGTTGGCATAGTGACATTTTACTGCTATTTTTTGATATTTCAACAAGGTATTTTTATCATGGTTTTATTTGGTTAATAAAAAGTGTAAAATGAGCAAAAGAAGTAGAGAGTTCGAGTGCGTAAATAACCCGGACAATCTGGGCGACGTTAGTGATGAGCACGGAGAACGTTTTCACCAGCAAATGAAGGCTATGGAGCGGCGGTATCACGGTTTCTTGGATGCAGCCATGATGGGTGATTGCATTTGGTCTCTCATACGAGAAGCGTAATACGAAAGCAACAAAAAAAACAAAGATTTTTTTAAACCTATGCTATGCAACAAAATATCATCAATGTTCAATATTTATTGTTCAATATTCAATATACAGTGTGTCGCACTTAAGATGAAGACACCCCCATATTTTCGCTATTTGAAGGAATAAAGGTTTGAATTTTTTCACATTCATACATGTTGATGGGTCACATTTTTTAAGCTACTCAACTGAAATCTGAACTTTAAACTTGGCCTACTACAAATTCACAAACAGGGCCAGTTCTCGATATTTTGCTTCTCGTAAGAGATATCGAAAAAAGTTATTGGAAAAAGTTGTTCAGAATATTATTCTAACCCCATACACCAATTTGAATAACAAAATTCGCATTTTTTATTTTTTTTTATTTTGGTCCACACAAAATTATTACAAGTTCATTTTTTAGTTTGATAATAAGGGAGCCATGGAAAGTAATAATTTGATACTAACTAGTGTTTATGACCGTTAAATAAATAATTAAAACAATTTTTGGAAATTACAAATCAATTATAATTTATTAAATTAAGGAAATGGTATAAAACAATAATAAAACTAATAAAAATAAATAAATTAGAAATGCGAATTTTGCTATGAAAATCGTTATACGGGGTTAAAATAATATTCTGAACAACTTTTTCTAATAATTTTTTTCGATATTTCTAACGCGAAGCAAAATATCGAAAACTGGCCCCGTTTGTGAATTCGTAGTAGGCCAAGTTTAAAGTTCAGATTTCAGTTGAGTATCTTAAAAAATGTGACCCACCAACATGTATGAATGTAAAAAAATTCAAATCTCTATTCCTTGAAATAGCGAAAATATGGGGGTGTCTTCATCGTAAATGCGACACACTGTATAATTTAATTTCAATATTTAATGTTTAATATAAAAATCAATGTTCCAAATTAAATTTTATATAATTCAATAAAATGAAGAAAAAACGTAAAAATTCTCGAAAAACCGAATTTTGGTCTTCCACTGAAAAATTCATAACTTCGTCATTTATTCATGGATTTTTATCAACAGCAGCTTATTTATATATATTCTATACGTAAAATAAATCAAACTGGACTTCTAACTTTCTTCTTCTATCCCAGAAAGATATGTAAATTTTCGACCTTGATTTTTGTAAAAACGTCAATGTCATAAAATCGACAGTATCGAACTACTGAGCCGGTACCAAAACTATACAAGAGAAGGTTGTAGAGGGCTCGATTACCTTTGATTTAAGTGCTTGTTTGGTCAAATCGATCAATTAGAACTCGAAGTATACTCTTAAATGTCAAAACACCTCAGAAAATTAAAAAAAAACAATGGGGTAGTTACATTTTTTCTGACCTATACTTTTTATGGTTTTATTCAAGGCGTTTTGTAATTTTAAACATTTCTGTGAAATCGGAATTTCAATTGAGTTTACCGTTTTCGAGATATTTACAAAAAAAATCTCCTAATTACGTCACTAGGCTATTGACAACGTTGCCAGCTTTTTCTATGGTTGCCAGTGTGTTTAGTTTAAGATTCTTACGATAGATGGCGCCACGTTATAATATTTTAGTTTTAAAACCACTTGATCTATAATTTTAGTTGAGAAGAAGAAGAATTGATTTTTTGACGTTTCTTTTTTTCGGGTTATGTTTTTTTTTAAATTTAGTTTATTGAAAATCAATGTTATTGTTATGTTATTTGTAATTGATATTAGATAAGTGATTTATTAATAACGGACTCCAAAGCAGAGGAATCTTGTGGAATGGTTACATTGAACATTGGAGCTTTTAAACAAATAAAGAAAGGACCTATAATTATAATCATATTTTGTCGTAAATGCATTTCATTAGTATATTGCCTAGTTCTTTATATTCTTTTAGATATATCTTAAAATGTACTCTAGAGCGTAGTATCTTTGAACAGTCCAAAAGTTTGTCATACATCTTACAAAAGGTTTTGATGCTCATCAGGGATGCAAGTTTTATAAAAACTATACACAAATATCATAAATACCATTGTTAACTTACATTTACTGTTATTTTTTGTAAATTTATTTCATTCATTTTCAGCTTTATTTTGCCACTTTTTTCTATGAAATATATTAAACTCTGCTTTAGACAGTTATTAGCTACCTATTTATTACATTTTATTAGGTTTCACACGGTGTTTCACTGTGTAAACCTATCAATAAAACTTTAACCTCCTTTTCTTCTTCTTTCACTCAACTGACAGTGACAGTATTTGTACATAACCTCTTCGGGTATTTTCTGACATAACCGAATGAAATCATTAACAAGACAACTTGACAACAGGGTAATTTTCAACCAATAGAAATCTTAGAATGTTGGTCACATGGCGAGGTTTGTGACGTCATAAAAATTTATATTTTTTGTAAATATCTCGAAAACGGTAAACTCAATTGAAAGTCTGATTTCACAGAAATGTTTAATATTACAAAACGCCTTGAATGAAACCTTAAAAAGTATAGGTCAGAAAAAATTTAACTACCCCATTGTAAATTCATATCTCGAAAACACTTCCATGATAAAAATTTTGAGTGTGATTTTCGCGTTTAGAGAGCCAAACCACACAAGAAAATCATAGTGAGACATGGTGGGCAAAATGGCTGTAAACTAGTGTAATAAAACAAACTTTTGTAGAACTTGACTGGCGGCCCGCAAGGTGGCGTGCATCTCACAGACGTCACGAACGCGTCGCGCACTTTTCTTATGAACCTGGACACCCTGAACTGGGACCCGCTGTTGATGCACACTTTCAGGCTTCCGTCAGAACTGCTACCCGAGATCCGCAGCAGTTCGGAGATTTACGGCAAAATCACGAAAGGTTACCCGTTGGAAGGCGTCACAATTTCGGGAGTGAGTGAGTTTCTCTCGAAGTTGCGTTGTTTTTATTTTTTTTTAGATTTTAGGTAATCAGCAGTCTTCTTTGGTGGGGCAGTGTTGTTTGAAGGAAGGGCAGGCAAAAAATACGTACAGAAGTGGCTGCTTTTTGCTTTATAATACCGGTAATGTTGTGAGTAGACGTTTGGGTCAATAAATTTAATTAAAAAATACACGAACAAATTACTTTTTTAGAGGGTTCAATCAACACATGGTTTGGTCACCACGGTAGCTTACAAATTTGGTAGTGAGCCTCCTGTTTATGCTTTGGAAGGTATTTTGTCTAAATAAATAAACATTATAAAAAAATATTTTTTTTATAAATTCTTCAAATTTTGATATTGATTAAACGATTGGTTAATAATGAAATATGGTCTTTTTTATAAGGGACTAAAGTGCCTAGAATTTTAGAGTGTCGGAAGTAAAAAAAAATATTCGATTTTTTTAATCACCCTAATATATATGTATATTCAGGGTGTTATGTAATTAATGTAATATATTAAAATACTGAATAACTTTTGACATAAAGATAAAGAAAAAATATGCATTAGAAGTTTTTTTTATTTTTTGTGATACGCCACTGGTGTTCTGCGAGTACATAGATACCAACCAAAAAGTAGTTAATGAAAATGTTAAAAAATATCGAAATACCGTGGTAGGATTTGTTGTGTTGTTGGGTGTATTTCGAGAGGAAATCCTGGGTTGAGTTTTTACCGGTTTTCCAATAAACAGTGTTAATCCGAATGAAGAAATAAATTTCATACAGTCCCTGTAAATATGAATTTTATCTATTAGATACAATAAATACACATTTTGGTAATGATTAACGTGAAAAGTGTAAACATTTCAATTCAGTAAAAATCGTCAAACAAATAAGTCGTCTAAATTTAAACAGAATTTAGCATTATTAAAAGCGTTGATTAAGAAAGTCTCCAATCAACGCTAAAATGCCATTATATTATGTATTATATATAATATTATGTTGCCATGAATTTGTAGGTATATTTTGTTGTTTAAAATGCAGTTGTGGCCTTTTTTTAGAGAACTCAAATATAAAAATCGTTGATTTTAAGGTTATGTTTGTGCAAAAATTATTTTTTACTAATTTCTTAAAAATGTCCAAACCTAAATATAAATTATATTAGGTACAGTTATCATTAGTTAATTCTGCACCAACAAATTTACTTACCGAATTGGATCCTTTGGCAAAACATGAAAATGCAACGATTTAGTTCTTGAATTTTATTTACAATTAAAAAGACAATAATTCACCATGATCCCTTAGATAAAATACACACACTAACGTAACTATATAAGCATTTAGGCGTTGAGTTTCTTAATCAATGATATAAGGAATAATAAATCGAAATCGAGTACTAAACCAGTTTTTTAGTTTTTTCCTTGCAACGTAAAACACAAATAACGTGCGCGATTTAGCTGTGCAATTGAACAAAATTTGTCAAGTAAGACTTCTGCCTTCCTCTCTTTTGTGAAAAAAACTGCCTATTTATTTAAAAATGATGTTCAGTTCGTATGCTTTAAATGTACTGTTGACAATTTTTAAATTCACGCAATGCTATCGAAGTCCACCAGATGGCGTGCGCGTTGCGAAAACCCGATACTTCTTTAGCGTATAACCAGAAAATTAATTTTTTCATCGGTTTTTTTCTTTCTGTTTACTCAGATGAAATTAGTGTAAATAAATCCAAATGCACAATTTGCATTGTTGATTTTGTCATTTTTGTAATTAAGCTAGGTTTAAACAAAATCTGGCAACTTTTTTTGACAGAATATGGAAACGCTGCTTGTTACCAACCAAAACATAATAAAATAAGTAGGCAAACAGATTAGCCTAAAGTTCCTGGTCGATCAGTGGCTTACTTTTTGGTAGGATAAGGGAAAAATTTTAATATATTACATTAATTACATAACACTGTATTTTATGTACTAAAGTCAAAAAAATTATTCCTAGGTAGTGTGGCTGTGGCAGGTGCGGCAATGAATTGGCTCAGAGACAATATGGGCTTTATAAAGGACGTTTCCAAAGACACTGAATCTTTGGCTCAGGAAGTTTTCAACACCGGCGACGTGTACTTCGTGCCGGCTTTCAAAGGGTTGTACGCGCCCTATTGGCGGAAGGACGCTAGAGGGTGTGTTTTATTTGTGTTTCACAGCAAACGGAAAATTATAGAAGTGTATAGGATGACTCCGCGTTTGAATATAGTTTTCTAAATCTCCCCACGGTATAGATTTGTATTCGTCAGTCGAGCGTTTCAATACTCTCCACAGTATAGAGATCGTAATTTCACTTTTGAACTAGTATTAAAATGAAAACTATTTTATGCTTCAAAAAAAACTATATACGACATGATTTTTTTCATTTTATTAATTAATTAAACTGTGTTGAAAATTTTGTGTACTTTTTTATCAACCAGATTTAAATATTGCTGTACTAACATATACCAGTGGAGATAGTGCAGGGTCTACCAACAGACCTCATTACTAAATTATTAAAGTTTAATAGCATATCGATCATTTTTTCAACATAACCTCTGAAATTTTTAATACAAATATATAGGTACCTACTTTATAAAATACATAAATATACTTTACATCATATCCTCTGTGCTTTACATACCTGAGTTGTAACTGTTAATAAAAATTAGACAAAGGAACCAAAGAAAGGAATTATTTTCAACAAAATCATATGCAGAAATGAGAATAATCAAACTACTTGCATCCATCAAAAGATTAAAACTTCTTGCAATATTACACCCTCTTTTTATACTCTTAGAAATATTGACTAGAATAGTATTAGAGAGTCTCCAGTTTCTATAACTTGGTAGAGTAAAGAGAAGTCGAAACCGTTGCGATATTGCATTGCGCTGTTTTTGTATAATTCTCGGGGATATTAACGAAAATCATTGCCAGTAAAATTCGAAAACCTTGAGTTTCTTTGTCTCTGAAGAGAATAGGAATCCGAAGTTGCTGCACCATTGGACTGAACCCTTTTTTAATAATTTCTAGAGACATAAATGACTGCACCATTCGACAGGGTCGAGTTTCTACCTCTCTGTTGAATATAGAAAATCAAAAAAATGTATCTTGTAAGACGTCTACACCATTGACTTTGACTTTAAATATAGTCGTGCATAGGTATAGAGCCGAAAAATATAAAAACAAAGCAACATTCAATACAGTTCTGATAAAACTTTAAGATTTAATATTCAAACGCGGAGTCATCCTATACAGTTCTATATTTTTCCGTTTGCTGTGTTATTTTGTATTTGTAATTTTTGTGCTGACTTTTGCGCGTTACGTTTGCAGAATAATTTGCGGACTGACGGCGTTCTCGACGAAAAAGCACATTGTGAGAGCCGCACTTGAAGCGGTTTGCTTCCAAACCAGGGATATTTTGGAAGCCATGAACAAAGATTGCGGTTTCCCTTTGAGCAAGTTACATGTAGATGGCGTCATGACGACCAACAACTTATTGATGCAACTACAAGTAAGGCAATATAATAAACAGGGTGTTATATAATTAATGTAATATATTAACTATGCACAGTGGTCAAAACTAAGTATAGGACGAACAAAAATGCCAACCAAAACTGATAGAATAATCTGATTATAGCCTCTTTTGGTAACACAAAAATGTATTTATCAAAATCCCAGCTGATCCTTTATTAAAGTTTTGCATATTTTAAAATTGTTTATGCCATTTCGATAAAATACTCTAGTACCATTATCAAATGTTTTTAAAAATTTGGCAGATACATGACTAAAATATGGATAAATTACATTATAAATACAAAATAATGTAAAATACAGTTTGCAATAACTTATTTATTCAGGGCTCCCACGGCTAAATTAGAAATTTTATTTAGGAATTTAGGAGGTTTTTTGTAAAATTTTAGGAGAAATAAAGTAAGAAAATGATTTTCTTTAATTAAATAAAAACACCTCTTTACTACTTAAAAAATAAGAAAAAATTAATACTTCTTTTGTAAAAATAAGTTATATTGACTAGTTTTTTTTAGCCAAATCGCTCGACGAGTTTTTTTTTAAATAAAATTAAAAGTGAGGTAAAATTACTACTTTTGTATATATCTGAGAAACATATATATACAAGTATAAATTTCACCAAACTTTTAATTTTATTTAAAAAAATGCGTCGATAGATTTAGTTAAACTATGCCAAAATCAAATGATGTTATATTTATATTTTAAGAAATAATATGTTAACCGTTTAGTTAACTAACTAACAGTAATTAAATCGGTAAGATTAAGAATAGTACAAGTCCAAAAGTAAAATTTTTGATAAAATATTTCAAAAAATCAGTTTTATTGTTCTAAATGTATTTTTGTTAGAATATTTAAACTATTTTATGAAATATAATATTCATATTCTATAAAATAATTTATATCTTCTCTCAAAAATGTATTTAAAATTTTAAAATTGATTTTAGAAAATAAATTGTCAAAATTAAATTTTTGGACTTGTACTGTTCTTATTCTCACCGATTCAATTGTAATACTTAAAAATCTCATAACAAAATATGAAGTTTGAAAAATACAGCCAAACATTCTTTAGATTGTTTACTATTTTAGCTGTCATTTACAAGAAAATTAAAAATCCTTTTGTTTGATATATAACACGGTATATTTTTGTCTAAAACAAACGAAATATGACTAAAAATGACATTTTTGTCGATCAATGTGTTTTTGTTGTTTTTTAAGAAAAATTTTGGTTGTGATATCATTTTAAAAAGAATTTAATAAAATAAAACCTAAAAATATATATTTTTAAATTACTTTTTAAAAAAGAATTTTTTTAGCACTACCTTAGTTAAACGCAGTCAGGTTGGCCTATTTAAATTAAATTTTTAGGTTTTTAGGAGATTGAATGCAATTTTAGGAGAATTTTAGGAGTTTTCAAGATTTATAAATCTTATAAGCAAAATTTTAGGAATTTTATGAGTTTTTGGAGTTGTGGGAGCCCTGAATTTATTGTTTTAATGTACCTAATACAAAACTAATAAATAAGTAAAGATTCTTTGAAGCAAAATCGATTACTGCTTGCCTTAAATTTTCATTAAAACTTTTTCTTGAGTTTTACATGGAATTGTTTTTAACATTGAAACAGTATTTTTAAATTCTTCAGTCTCTGTACAAACATGCTTCTTACATCTAGTGGTATCCCCTATAGAAAGGAAGAGCATATCAAAACTTTAGTTAGTTTGTCCGTCCGTCCTCTTCCCTTAATAATTTTTTATGCCCTTTATATCTTGCCATTTTGCAGATAAAGCACATACATTCTTGGCTGCCGCGAAATTCTCTAGCAATTTCTAAATTTTTTGAAAATTTGGCAATTGTGGCTATGCAAAAATACCGTTTTTACCATATTGAAGTAGGTAATTTTGAATCACTTAAGTTAAAGTGTTCGTTTGAAAAAGTCTGCTGTAATTTTTATATTTTGTCAGAAGCCATAAACTCTGAATTTTTTGATTACCAAAAACAATTTTGTCTCCACAGCCAGCACATACCTTCTTTCGATTTTCTTCATGGCTTAACTTGAATTTCGGTTTAATTTTCATTTTAAAATACTATTTTTAACTTTATAAAGTATACATTAAATAAACAACTAAAGCAAAATGTCACTTGCGTTATAACGTATAGCATTTTTTTTCATAACCACCGTAATTATTGTTTTACAAAATTTGCAAGTTGTAATTATTTCATAGACAAACTTCCAGTATTTTTTATTATAAAAAATATTTAAAATATAAATCTTCTTTTTGTTATGTTTTGTTTTGAGTGGTAAAAAATAATAGGTGACTCAATAAATTAATACTGGGGAGTAAAGTAATTTAAATGATACAAAGTTTATTATTTTGCTTAATTTTATTAAAATTGTACAGGTAGTTTTAGTATAATAATTGCAAAATAATATATAGAAATAGAAAAAAGTTTGCAAAACTTTAAAATAGGATCAGCTGGGATTTTGATAAATACATGTTAGTGTTACTAAAAGGGTCTATAGGTAATCAAAATATGCTATCAGTTTTGGTTGGCATTTTTGTTCATCCTATACTTAAGTTTTGACCACCGTGTATAGGCCAGTAAGAATATTCTTAGGATCATGCTATATGTCTTTTAAGCATGTTCTTTAGAAGAAATATAGCATGATCCTAAGAATATTCTCACTGGAAGGTTTAAAAAACATTCTTAGAATAAAATGTGCTATCAGGGATTGATAGAATATAGCTAGGTAGATGTTACAGTTACTCTTACTGATTATTCTTTTAGGCTGATATCAGTGGCATTCCAGTTATCAGAGCACAGTCCCAGGATATTAGTGCTCTGGGTACGGCAATAGCAGCGGGATCCGCCAAAGGTGTGGAAGTTTGGGATGTAAACTCCGAAGAACGGGAAATTGTGCCCAGCGACACCTTTTTGCCCACGTCCACTGAAGATGGTAAGTGTCGACTTCCTTAAGTATGCTTTTGAGGTGTTTGTCGCTTTTGAGTCAATCCAAGTGAAAACACCAAAAATGAATTTAAAAGTGCGCTGCATGATTTTTTATTTTAATGAAAAAATTTGAGGATGGTCTTTTAGGTATCATATATGAAAAACCGTTGCCGTTTTAATTTTTAGTTGCTTTATTTTTAATCGGCACCCTTTAGAAACCTGAAATCGTTTCTTACTCTCTTATAAGAGGCTAAAACTTTTTTTCTGTGGCAATTATTGAAATGATTGTAATTTTATTTTTTTTGCCTAGTAAGTATGTTTTCAATATTAATTATTATTATCTAATTAGTTCATCTCATACAAGAATGGTAAACCACCAAAGATTTGTAATAATTTGCCAATTTTTGTGATTTTTGTCTGGCTCCTGTGCCCATTCTGCTAAAGCCATCTAAATTTTAAATTATAAATAAAACTAACAATATCGCTACTAAACGGGCATTAAAAAAATAATATATCTTTTAAAGGAATAAAAATAACAAAACAAGACTAACTGGACTGAAAAGATGAAGGTGAGGACTACATTTCCTGAAAATTTCAGATTTTTATTTTTTCCTCAACATAATGATTTCTGAGGGCAAAATTGACTAATTTTAAGAATTATCAAGTTTCAAAAAAATTTTTAATAAAAAAAAATATAGTCTAGAAATTTAAAATAATATTTACGTTTTCTATTGTATAAGTACTGGATACCTGAAAAAAAATAACTTTCTAGATTTAGTAGAATAGGCACAGGAGCCAGACAAAATCACAAAAATTGGCAAATTATCATGAATCTTTAGTGGTTTACCATTCTTTTATGAGATTAACTAATTGGATAATAATAATTTATATCGAAAACACACTTACTGAACAGTAAAACAAAATTAAAATCATTTCAATATTTGTCACAGAAAAAAAGTTCTGGCCCACTATAAGAGAGTAAGAAATTGACACGATTTCAGATTACTAAAGGGTGCTGATTAAAAGTAAAGAATCCAAAAATTAAAACGGCAACGGATTTTCATATTGTATACCTAAAAGATCATCCTCAATTTTTTTTTATCAAAATAAAAAATCAAGCAGCAAAGCACCATTTGGTGTTTTTATTTGGAATGACTCTTTTTTCTTTTGCAGAACGGGATTCAAGGTACACGAAATGGAAAATGGCGGTTCAGAGATCTTTGGGTTGGGCACTGCCGAAGAAGTCCGCGGTTATGACGGAGGAGAGGTACAAAATGTTGGCCAGCGTGCCTGCTGGTGTGTACTTAATAACGACCTTTTCCGTTTTGGCGCTTTCGACTTACTTGACCCCGAACGGGGTGTAGTCTGAAAATACTCGAGAAAGTATTTTCCGTAATTTTTTAGACAAAATTCATATTCCAAAGTAATGATTGACATTCTATTATTTTTTCTACAATTAAGTCCTAAAGTATTTAATTTACATGACGCAGTTTTATCAACTAAAAACCATTTTACTCTCTATATTTTTATTGTACATTTATTTTATCCGCAAGATTGTTATTGTACTTAATTGTTATTTTTGGTTGTTAAGTTTTTTTTAGACAATACATTTGTTTTTAAATTATTCATGTCTTTTATTTCTTGGGTCATTTTCAAGAAACACCCGCTTTCAGGAAAATGAAGATCAAAATATTTTTTTTGCTTAAATTGACTTTTGGTTGGATTTTTATAAATGTTTAGATTTTTGTTTACTTACATTTAAGACAGGCAGTGCACTTTTTAATTTTTTTTGCGTTTTTTTCAGAAAAATGTGTTTAGCTAGCTTTATATATCTCCACTGTGTTACCAATTTGAAATCCAAAATTTAATTCAATAAAAAAAATTGTTATAAAAATAATTTTTAGTTCACAAACTTTTGACTCCAATTTTTTATTTTATTTTTTATTAAAAATTGCATGTTTTTTTTAATATGTATGTTTGTTATGTTACTTTTTAAAAGAAACCATTCCGATTCTTTGTTAAAAAAACAATACCATTAATATTTTCTTTTAGTCACTGAATTAGTGAGTTAAACTCTAATTTATAAACACGTATTACCAAGTGATAGTGTATAAAAATCATTTTAAGTATTTTTTTTAACAAAAACTAAAAAAAGTAACGAAATAGACATTGGTATCACAATGGACAGGGGTACACAAAGGACTTAATCAGATAACGTAAAAAGGGTGGTACGATTTTAGAGTAATGCATAAACAAAATCCCTTGTAGTGGTGCTCACTTGCAGAATAACAACTTAGATTTCTAAATTGTAGACACCCTTTTTCTTTGACTATAAGCTGATGAAGGTCCCTTTTAGTACTTTTATATTGCGTGGAATTTTTCCTTGGATGTAATCTATATCATGAGTTGTAATTACAAATAATTTTAAATTGGTTAATCATAAACTACTTTTAATAAAAGCGACGGTAAATATCCACTTTGTTGTCGAAAAATTCTATTGCGTTACCCTAAATCCCATTGCGTTACCATAAGGTAACATAGTGGACTCGGTAACGCAGTGGACAAAGTTTTGTAAAACCATATTTAAAAAATAATAATAAGACATTATAGTCATTAATTACTCTCAATGAGCATAAGTGCCCCAAAATAAACATAAACATGAAAAATAGTATTTTTTCTTACCTTATTTTTATTATTTTTTTGAGTAACTTAGCGGACAAACAATTATTACATTCGCGTTACCCGCACCTGTTTCAACCGATATATTCTTCCTGATTTAATAAATAAATTCAGCTGGGTAATGTGTACGTCCGAACATCATTTGTTAATCACGTGAGTACCAAAAAAGTTGCCATATATGTTTTTTTAAATATTCTATCGGTAACGCGACGGACGTAACGCAATGGAAAAAATGTCTGGGACATGAGTCAAATTTAAAAAAAGTAGATTAAAATTAATTATTTTATATATAAATTGTTTACTGTATTAAGTAAGGATGTTATGTATTGCTATAAAGCAACACAAAGTTCTGGTTATTCAATATTTAAAAAAAACATGTATGTATGTTTTATAAAACGGTAATGGGAGATGCGAAAATGTGTTTCACAAGTTTCAAAATTAAAAAAAAATTATTTTGAAATAACTAAACAAACATTTTCTGAAAGAGTTTACTAAGGGCTTGTTAGGCTTTCACTTGGTTTTTAAATCAATAAGATCCGATTATTATAACAAAGTTATTGGAATTCAAACTTACGGACAGCGGAAGGCGGGTGTTTTTTGAAAACGACCCTCTTATCCCTTGGTTCTTTAAATAAATAAAAATCCTTTTTAAATGCTCAAAACATTGAAAACCATTTATTACATCCACAATTTTATATGTATAATAGTTACAAATACTTGAAAATTTCTTAAAAATATCTAATATATTACAGTATTGTTATAAGTACTATACACTATGTACCTTAAAAACTAAAAATAAAAGCTTCCCAAAAATTAAACAATAGGCTAAAAAGTATAAACAAAATAAAAATTCACAGAGAATAATCGTTTCTTTTATATTATGTACAAATCACAAAAATGTTTATCACTCTTGTATCTCCCCTTCTTGAGGCTGGACTGTCTTGTTCACCATGCAAGATCTGGCTACCGACTCAAAAAGCCTAAAAATAAAATATTTTAGTTACTGTTTTGCGTTGAGAAAAATTATTTTCTTTATTTATATATTTATTTATTTTTTAATATTGAGATTATGATGATTGAGACTATTAAGTTATAACTTGATCTTGAAAAAAGAGCGAAAAATGATTTGTCAAAATAAAAATTTTGTACATGTATTACATTACATTACGTTAAACGTAATTTTCTGTAATCTTTTTTACTGTGTAATTGAATTAATGAGATTAAGAACAGTAGAATTCAAAAAATTATCTCATAAAATCAGTTTTATAATTCAAAATGCAATTTTGTGAGAATATTTCAACTACTTTACAAAATATAGGTAATAATTAAATTTTGTAAAATAATTTATATCTTCTTACAAAAATGCATTTTAAACTTTTAAAGTGATTTTGGAAAATGATTTGTCAAAATAAAAATTTTGTACATGTAACGTAATTTATTGTAGATAATCTTTTTTTACTGTGTAATTGAGTTGATGAGATTAAGAACTACAAGTCAAAAAATTATCTCATAAAATCAGTTGTAAAATTCAAAATGCTTTTTTGTGAGAATATTTCAACTACTTTACAAAATATAATAATTAAATTTTGTAAAATAATTTATATATTCTTACAAAAATGCATTTTAAACTTTTAAAGTGATTTTATAAAATGATTTGTCAAAATGAAAATTTTGTACATGTAACATAATTTTCTGTAATCTTTTTTTACTGTGTAATTGAATTGATGAGATTAAGAACAGTACAATCCAAAAAATTATCTCATAAAATCAGTTTTATAATTCAAAATGCATTTTTGTGAGAATATTTCAACTACTTTACAAAATATAATAATTAAATTTTGTAAAATAATTTATATCTTTTTACAAAAATGCATTTTAAATTATTAAATTGATTTTAGAAAATGATTTGTCAAAATAAAAATTTTGTACATGTAAAGTAATTTACTGTAATCTTTTTTTACTGTGTAATTGAATTGATGAGATTAAGAACAGTAGAATTCAAAAAATTATCTCATAAAATCAGTTTTATAATTCAAAATGCATTTTTGTGAGAATATTTCAACTACTTTACAAAATATAGGTAATAATTAAATTTTGTAAAATAATTTATATCTTCTTACAAAAATGCATTTTAAACTTTTAAAGTGATTTTGGAAAATGATTTGTCAAAATAAAAATTTTGTACATGTAACGTAATTTATTGTAGGTAATCTTTTTTTACTGTGTAATTGAATTGATGAGATTAAGAACTACAAGTCAAAAAATTATCTCATAAAATCAGTTGTAAAATTCAAAATGCTTTTTTGTGAGAATATTTCAACTACTTTACAAAATATAATAATTAAATTTTGTAAAATAATTTATATATTCTTACAAAAATGCATTTTAAACTTTTAAAGTGATTTTATAAAATGATTTGTCAAAATGAAAATTTTGTACATGTAACATAATTTTCTGTAATCTTTTTTTACTGTGTAATTGAATTGATGAGATTAAGAACAGTACAAGTCAAAAAATTATCTCATAAAATCAGTTTTATAATTCAAAATGCATTTTTGTGAGAATATTTCAACTACTTTACAAAATATAATAATTAAATTTTGTAAAATAATTTATATCTTTTTACAAAAATGCATTAAGTGATTCATTTCCGCAAAGTTTTTGTTTTCTTCGGTGCTCAAGCAAAATATTAATTTGCATATAGAAAAACAAATTCTCAACAAGTTTGAGCTCTTAATATAAATTTTAAGTACTTACTATTTAAATTTAAAGTTTTACCGTTTAAAATGCATGTAAAAAATATATTTTTTTTTTCAAATTTCTAATGCTTACCCACCTTTGACAATATTGCAAATCGGTTTAATACACCTTATGGGGAATTTCACGCTCTTTAAAATTGCTTTTGAGGTTTTTTTGTAACTCGCATTGGTTCACCAGTAGGAGTCGTCAAAGGACAGTTTTTGAAAAAAATCGTTTTTTTTTTAATTTTTTCTAACAAACCCGTAAAAGTAGGGAGAAAAAAGGGCTGAATCATAAAAAAAAGTTATCCAACCAATATTTAATGAATTTACAGCCATTTTTATAACTGAAAACGTAAGAAATTGATAATTACCAACTCATAATGTTATTTAGATTGATTTTTTCTATTTATTATCATTATATTTCCCTACACTAAGAAGTTTTTTAAAATTATTGATTTCTCACTTATAATGAATATGAAAACAACAGATAAATTCATAAAAAAAACAATAAAAAAATTTTAACGTGGATTTTGCAATTTTTCAACATTTCTGTCATATAGCAAAAAAATTTAAATGAAGATTATTTAATTTTTTGAAGCGAAATTTGAAATATGTTACATAACCTTCTGGATTGGATTGGATTTGTTGGGTGGAGGGTAGCCACATTGTGGCTACATGCACTTAGGCCACAGTTGGCCCTTTGTACTGCCCCCGAGATCCATTTCCCCATTTGTATTTGCTCAAATTTTTTAATCCAGCCATCCGAGTTTCCGAAAGAAATCTAGAAAGACGGCTGGAGAGTTGGAGCTAATGTTGGTTGCATCAACCCATTCTTCTCCTAAAGTGGATTTTCTGAATTCGAGAAGAGCAGGACATTCACAAATAATGTGTATTACATTCTCTTCGCCCCAGTTACAGGCTCTGCAAAGAGGACTGTCTACTTTTCTTATCGTATGAAGATGTTTGTTTAGTCTACAGTGTCCCGTTATAATTCCGACAAGGTCGGAGAGGTTTTGACGAGATAGCTGTAGACTGTACCTGGCCAGCTTGTCAGATGGATTAGTGATAATATTTTTGGTCTGACGACATGAGCTTAGATTAACCCATCTTCTTAGTTGTTTTTCATGGGTTAGTTTTTTTATCTGGACTTTTAAGGTTGAGTTTGTAAGTGGCAGGACAGGTTCAGGGCCCACTGGCAGCTTTTCCGATCCCTGTCTTGCCAGTTCATCAGCCTTTTCATTTCCTTCATTACCATTATGTCCTTTAACCCATACTAGTTCTAGGACATTATTAATCGTTATCAGCTTCAAAGCAGCAATGCATTCCGCTACCAGTCCCGAGTCAACTATATTGTGACTCAAGGCCAGCAAGGAGGCCCTGCTATCTGAGGAGATTCTTATTGTTTTTCCATGTATTTGGAGCTCTATTACTTTACGAGCAGCCTCCAGTATGCCTGTGATTTCACACTGGAATATGGTCGCATAGACACCCAATGATATACTGAGGCGTATGGATGGGTTCTGACAATATACTCCAGCTCCAGAGCCTGAGTCGGTTCTGGATCCATCTGTAAAGATAGAAAGATCAGGCGAGGTATTTGGGTGTCCATTTATCCACACCTGATAGGGAGTATTAAAATTATAGCTCCGCACAATCTGGTCGCGCACTGCACTCAGAATAGGTGTCTGTCGGACATTCTTTTCCAGGATGCAGGTGTGACGTTTGCTAGAGATATTTTCTTTCCACATTTTAGTGGTCGAAAGCCTCAGAGATGATCTCAGTGCATCCTCCTCTACGAACAGATCCAAAGAGGGGATGTTCAGGATTGCTTCCATGGCTGCGGTTGGAGTTGTGCGCATGCTGCCTGTAACAGCTAGACATGCAAGCCGTTGCACATGCTCTATTTGTTTTGCTGCAGTAGTTTGTTTGATTTTGGGCCACCAAACGACAGATCCATAGCACAACATTGGTCGAATGACTGCCGTATATAACCAGAGAACTATCTTTGGGGATAGTCCCCACGTCCTTCCGACAGTCCTTCTACACTGCCAGAAGGCCACTGAGGCCTTCTGAATTTTGTGCTTTAGATGACTACTCCAGTTAAGTTTGCTGTCTAGAATTATTCCCAAGTACTTGACTTGGTTTGTTAGTTCCTTCTGTATATTCCGATTAAAGTTTTGTTGTTTTTTTTATGAATTTATGTGTTGTTTTCATATTCATTATGAGTGAGAAATCATAATAATTTTAAAAAAGTTCTTAGTGTAGGGAAATATAATGATAATAAATAGAAAAAATCAATATAAATAACATTATGGGTTGGTATTTATCAATTTCTTACGTTTTCAGTTATAAAAATGGCAGTAAATTCATTAAATATTGGTTGGATAACTTTTTTTTTATGAATCAGCCCTTTTTTCTCACTACTTTTGGCGATTTGCTCGAAAAAATAAAAAAACCAAACTCCAAAGCAATTTTAAAGAGCGTGAAATTCCCAATAAGGTGTATTAAACCGATTTGCGATATTGTCAAAGGTGGGTAAGCATTAGAAATTTGAAAAAAAAATATATTTTTTACATGCATTTTAAACGGTAAAACTTTAAATTTAAATAGTAACGTATGCATCTAAAGTTTTGGGAAAAAATTAAAGGCTGAAAAAACAACTTTGAAAAATATATTTAAGTGAAGAACTTGTAACATTGAAATAATCTTACACTAGAAAAAAATAATCCCATTTAACGAACTGCCAAAGGTCCATTGTCTTCAATTTGGCGAAGCTTTGTTCGAACTTGTCGCATTAGTCTCTGGACGGATGTTATATCTACTTCTCGAATTTTTTGATAAATTCTACGACGCAACATTTGTTCATCTGCGGCTTCCCAACCATTGTCATAGACCTTTCTGCTCAGAAAGGACCAAAAAGTTTCTATTGGGCGAGCTTGTGGTATGTTTGTAGGATTGTCTTTCTTGGGCACAAAAGGTATGTTATGTTCTGCTAACCAATCTCTGGTGATTCGAGCATAATGGCATGATGCCAGGTCAGGCCAAAAAATTATTTCGTCTCCAAGGTGGTGTTCATTAATAAAATCAACTAATTTTGGAAGACATCTTTGGGTATATATATAAGCATCAACTGCTTCCCCTCTTACCCGCCCAACATACGGTCTAGAGATACCTCTATCTGAAATGGCAGCCCAAACTAAAACTTTATCTTCAAATTTTTTTTTCGCCTTTGTAGCAACTTTTTTAGGACACTCTTCAATGTAAAAACCGTCATTTTCTTTCATTTCCGAATTGGTAAGAGTGAAATATTTTTTGTCATCCAAAATGATGCGTTTGTTGTTCGCGAAATGGATTCGTCGTAGTGCTCTGTAGTATATCGGAATTCTTTGTAGTTGATTCTGCGTGTATTTTGGGCATTTCCGTCTTTTGCGATATTTTAAGTTTCTTCTTTTAAGTGTTCTTTGTATAGTGGCACTTAATACATGAAATCTTCTTGCCAGTTTTCGATTAGATGTACCCACTTTATGCCTTGCGCTTTCAACCACTCTGTTTTCACGAACTTCACTTAGAACTTTGGGTCGTCCACTTTTTGGTAAGTTAAAACAAGGAATACCTTGTTCGCATTCAGCTATTGTCCGATATATTGTTGTTTTGGAGATATTTTCGTTTAGAAAAATATTTACAATTTCACGTTTCGGTAGCCGTCCAACAAGGTTGTAATAATTTTTTCGAATTTCCAATTTATATGACATGTTTTTGAGAAATTTTAAACTAATGTTTTTTGACATATCAAGGTTGCTTAGTAACGAATAATTGGGAACAATGGTAACTTGTTTGGTGCTCATCAAAAAGCTGTAATTTATGTATGAAAAAATTCCCAAAACTTTAGATGCATAGGTTAAGTGCTTAAAATTAATATTAAGAGCTCAAACTTGGTGAGAATGTTTTTTCCTATATGCAGATTAATATTTTGCTTGAGCACCGAAAAAAAAACAAAAACTTTGCGGAAATGAATCACCCTAAAATGCATTTTAAACTTTTAAATTGATTTTGGAAAATGATTTGTCAAAATAAAAATGTTGTACATGGACTGAAAAATTGCGAGGCATTCGCGGCATTTTTTCTAAAAACGGTTAAAAATAAATACTACTAGCACTCACTTTTCGATTTCCGGAGCGCAGTGCACGAACTCGTGCTCCCAGAACCGGTAGGTGGGGTTCTTGATCAGCTCGATGAAGGTGATCAGCAATCCCCACGGGTGCGGCCGGTTGACGATGAGCCGCTCGAGCAGCACCCTCGTGATCTGCTCCTGCATCGCCTCGGTGTTCGCCTCGGCGAACAGGTAGAGCAGCGTGCACGAGAAGTAGTGCGTGTGGCTGTTGGGGTAGCGCAGCTGGTTGGCGATCGCGTTCAGGAACAGGTAGCGACCCTCGGTGTCCAAGTCGACGGCCAGGTTTTGGAAGATGTCCATGTGCGCGCTGTGCGTGATGGTGGACATGTTGGGCTGGTGGCCCTTGTTGCGGATGTGCGCGATCGCCTGGATGCCCGCGTACAGCACCAGAGCGTTCATCAGCTGGATGTTGTACCTGGAGATGCAAAAAAACCGGTTTTTTTTTCAATTTGAAAAAAAAAATAGAGATGGGAATCGGAAAGTTTCCATTTCAAGAAAAGTTTTCATTTTGGATTGTTTCCAGTCAGGAATTTATTTCATTTTAAAAGTTTATTTTAAAGGTACCGGAAACCTGTTTTTTCGAGGAAATATTTTAAAAATAAAAAAACGTTCGAAAAATAACTTAGGGATTTTTTTTAAGTAAACAAAAAATATGCTTTAACGACCGATTTTTGTTAGTATTCGGGTTATTTTCAAATTTCTTGTACATTTAACTTTAATATTTTATAAAAAATTGAGTTTTTCGACATTTGTTACCTTACCAAGCGAAATCAATTGGTTTAAGTGTTTTAGCAACTATACGAGCCCTAACCACATAATGTTCGGACACTTCATAATTTATACAGAAATTTTTTTCGTGAATACTATCTCAAAATTATTAGAAGTTATGAAAAATTCAGCTTATTTTGGCATATACCCCTCGAAGCGATTTTTATTTTTAAAAAGTTTACCTTTTATTTTTAGCTTTTAAAAAAAGGCTAACTTTTTAACTTTTTTTTGTATGAGTAAAAAAAGTTATAAATGGACCCATTAAAAAGAGCATAAAATATTATACAAACCCTGAAAATTTGGTAAAAAATAAATAAGTTATAAAAAAGTATAAGTAATTTAAAAATGCTATTTTTAAAGAGTTTTTGCAATTTTCTTAGGAAACGGGAGATTTTGCAGATATATATATCGCTATAACTTTCTTATTATTTATACAATTTTTACCAAATTTTCAGGGTTTGTATAATATTTTATGTTCTTTTTAATGGGCCCATTTATAACTTTTTTTACTCATGCAAAAAAAAGTTCAAAAGTTAGCCTTTTTTTAAAAGCTAAAAATAAAAGGTAAACTTTTTAAAAATAAAAATCGCTTCGAGGGGTATATGCCAAAATAAGCTGAATTTTTCATAACTTCTAATAATTTTGAGATAGTATTCACGAAAAAAATTTCTGTATAAATTATGAAGTGTCCGAACATTATGTGGTTAGGGCTCGTATATTAGCAAAATTATAAAATTTTAAATTTACAGAAAAGTAGCTGTCTCACTTGCAAATGAAAATGGTGTTTTGAACTATCTTGAAGCCACAACACGTTTTTTGTATTTTTTATACTAGCATGGCAAACTGCGCATTCTCCTGTGTCACAGTAATAAAAAGTAGTAAAGGACTTTGTTTGATTCTCAAAAGTAAGTATCCTAGTAATGGTTTTAAGGGCAAAAATAAAAATTTTTAACTTTAAAACTGTAAAGAGGTTATGTTCTAAAAACATACATTCTTCACCTGGGTCACACGTCTATTGGGTGACCCAGGGGACAATTTCAAAGAAATAAATTATAATATATTTTTGAAATAATAATAAACTTATAAATAGGAAAGTTTTTGACCTTTTACTTTTTCTGTTTCTGGCAGTACGTAGCCAATTTAAAATAATGTCCTCCACCTTCTTAATAATAATTTTCCTAGTCAATTTTTTTTTTTGGTAGTTCAATGAAACAATGTTTATATTGACTTTTTATGATTATTTTATTAATATTATTAATAACTAAAACTTTTTATTAATTTATTGCTCGTTAAATTGGACAAGCTGGGCTCAGATAAAAACTGGGGAAAAAACGCATTAAGGGAAAATTTCACTCACTTTTTTTAATGGAAATTTATATATCTCACTTTTTTTAATGGAAATTTTTTAAATACAGAATAGTATATTCTGTAACAAGTTTGGAATACAGCATATTCCGCTCGAGTGAAGAGTTTGTCACACGAGCCGAAGGCAAGTTTGACGGTTTCACGAGAGCGGAATATGCAATTTCAAACGTGTTTCAGACTATACTTTTTCTACGTTTCTAAAAAATACCATAGAAAAGTCATTTGATTGGAAGAAAGTGAGGTTGGATCGGTCTAAAATTTGTTAGATATTAAAAACAGAGATGTCGCCACGAGTGTTTATTCTGACATAGGATAATAGAATATTTCATTCTGTAACACTTTACGGAATATATGTCATTCCATAGATAAAAGTGGTAATAGAACGGTCAAATTCCGTAATAGGAGTAGAAACAATATATTAAAAATACTTATGTATGTAAGAAAGTTGAGAAATAGAACATAGTTTTTGCTTTTACTTAGTTTTTTTTTTAAATATGTTAGTAAATTTGTGACCCAGGGGACCATTTTTTTCTTTTTTAAGGGCTAATTTAAAAAAATTCAACTGCCCACTTTTGGGTGGTAAATAACACCACGAAATAAACAAAATTTGAAAAAAAAACAGGTTTGTAGATTGTATTTGTTTTCACTTTTTCTTTTTTAAATGTACAAGAATTTTGAAAATGACCCATACCCTGAAAATGTTCTACAAATCAAACCAGAGATACAGTGCTTCAAAATGAATATTTTTGACGACTTTGAAGTGCTGTATTTTCGTTACTGTTCGTTTGATTTCTACAACATTTTCAGGGTTTACTAACAAAAATACGTCTGTCACGGCATATTTTTTATTTACTTAAAAAAAAATTCCCTTAAAAGTTTTTTTCGAGCGTTTTTTATTATTAAATAAAAGTGCTTTAAGGATATTTTCTCAAAAAACCCTTAAACACGAAAACTGAAGTATAAGTTAAAGTATTTTTATCCAAAATTTTATAAACCTTTTTGAGTTGGATTTTTTTTTACTTGTTATGCGTTAATTTTGACGCAGTGTATATAGTTACTTTGTTTCTTTATATTTTTTATGTAATATCTAGTGATTTACTAGTAGTGAATATTATTAAGAAAAGAATGTAAACTTAATGCATTGTATGCTGAAATTTCAAACAATCAGAAGTTAACTATTTTTTTAAGTTTCAGCATACAATGCATTAAGTTTACATTCTTTTCTTAATAAAAATTGGCAAAAAGGTAATGTGTTATATAATTTTGCAATCCTCATGGCACAAAAATCTCATTTCTGCAATATTTTTTTTTTGTTGAAACTTTCGGAAAGTTTCGGGAATTTTCAATGGATAAATCATTTGAAAAAAACCCTTTTCATAAAAGCCTTTTAAAAGGCAAAAACAAATATTTAGAAAATAAAGCATATTCTGTCAATAAATAATGTCAATCTTAAAAATTGAGAATTTTTTAATATGAAATTTTGAGCAAAATGTATATTAATAATCAGGTCATGATTTTTTTTCTATAAAACTTAAATATGTTGTTTTTTGGTCGAAATAATACACATATTATTTGTTTGACGAATTTTTATATTTTTTTTAAATTTTGGCGAATTATTTTTAAAAACACTTTTCAATAAATCTTTTAATTTAAAAGTAACAAACATTCTAAATTCATTGTGATAATTATTGTATACGAAAAAAACAGAATTTTTTTAAATTTAATTTTTCAAAAAGTGTATTTTTTATTTTTTTTCGTTTTTTTTATTTTTTTTTATCAAAAAGCAAACAGTCCAAACTGCATTTTGGCTAAGGGATTTTTTCCCTAACAATCGCGTGCTGCTAAATAAATTTTATTATTAAAGTAAGTTTTATGTCTAATAGCAAACAAATAAGATTGAAATGCACCATTTACATTTACTAAATGTCATTTGGGGGCTAAATTTTAGTCTGAAAACCAGGGCTTCCACGGCTAAATTACAAATTTTATTTAGGAATTTAGGAGATTTTTTGTAAAATTTTAGGAGAAATAAAGTATGGAAATGAATTTCTTTAATTAAATAAAAACAACTCTACTACTTAAAAAATAAGAAAAAAATTAAAATTTATTTTGTAAAAATAAGTTATATTGACTTTTTTAGCCAAAACGCTCGACGAGTTTTTTTTAAATAAAATGAAAAGTGAGGTAAAATTACTACTTTTGTATATATCTGAGGTACATATATATACAAGTATAAATTTCACCACACTTTTAATTTTATTTATGCGTCGATAGATTTGGTTACAAAACTATGCCAAAATCAAATGATATTATATTTATATTTTAATAAAAAATATATTAACCATTTAGTTAATAACTAACAGTAATTAGAGAAATTAAAGATTAAGAATAGTACGTCCAAAAGTAAAATTTTTGATAAAAATATTTAAAAAAATCAGTTTTATAATTCTTTTTATGAAATATAATATTCATATTCTGTAAAATAATTTATATCTTCTCACAAAAATGTATTTTAAACTTAAAATTGATTTTAGAAAATAAATTAAATTTTTGTACTGTTCTTATTCTCACTGATTCAATTGTAATGTGGATCTTAATACTTAATAATCTCATAACAAAATATGAAGTTTGCAAAATACGGCAAAAATTTCTTTAGATTGTTAAGTATTTTAGTTGTCATTTAAAAGAAAATTATTATATTTGTTTGTTATATAACACGCTATATTTTTGACTAAAAAAAACGAAATATCGCTAAAAATGACCATTTTTTTTTAGTTTTTTTGTTGTTTTTTAAGAAAAATTTTGGATGTGATATATCATTTTAAAAAGAATTTAATAAAATTAAATTAAAAAGAATTTAATAAAATTACTTTATAAAAAAGATTTTTTTAGTAATATCTTAATTAAACGTCAGGTCAGGTTGGCCTATTTAAATTTAATTTTTAGGATTTTAGGAGTTTTAGGAGATTGATGGCAATTTTAGGAGAATTTTAGGAGTTTTCAAGATTTAAGCAAAATTTTAGGAATTTGTTGAGTTTTAGGAGGGGTGGGAGCCCTGGAAAACATAAAAAATTAGGCAAATGAAAGTAATTTTAAAAAGAAATAAATATGAAAAAAAAAAACATATAAATCTTACCTGACGCCCGGCTCGTTGGACACCTGCAGATTGCCCCTCAGCTCCGACAGGAACGTGACGGGGGCGCGCGCCTTCAGGTACGAATCGAGGTCCTTCTTGAAGTGCGCGGGCGCGATCAGCAGCGAGATGTTGGTCAGCACTCGAGGCGCGAACGCGATCTCCGGCAGCATGTCGACCTTCAAGTTGGGCGTGAACGGATCGGGCAAGCGCATGTTGCGCGGGAACGCCGACAGGATCAGGTTGCGCATCTGGATGCAGTTCGGCGGTATCACGTCGCAGAACCCGTAGTGGTAGTCGCACAAAAACTCCGGGAAGTCGTGCAGCAGCACCAGCAGCACCCTCAAAGTCCCTTTGTACAACAACGTCACGGGTTTGGCCAATTCGGCGTTACGTAGGAACGGAGCGAGGTATTTGAATAGATCGATGAGTAACTGCGCGTACAGAGGCCAGCATTTCTGTTGAGGGGTGGACGCCAACATTCTCCCCATGAAAACTCGGTGCGAAACTAATTCCAACCACGCATAACAAAAACCAGCCGCTTTAGACGGCCTTAATATGTGCAACGTGTGGCAAAACGCCGTCAAAACGTGATAATTGATAGCCTCCAAAACCGGTTCTGGCGAGTTCAACTCCAAAAAGAGCATCGTGAAAATTCGCTGGTATGGCAGCTGCTGAAACTCTTTAGCGCGCAACTCGTGATCTTGCAGGAGACAGCCGGCTACAATCCCCAACACTTTATTCAACAGGTGGATTTTTGTCGTGGTATTGTTGGCTTCCCCAGAGTGTTTCACCAAAAGAGCCACGAGTCTAACGTACGCGTCCAACGTGTGGTAACATTTCGGTCGGATTATGGCCATGTTTAGAGTCGCGTCCGTTAAAGATCTGTAGACGGTTTCGACGCAGAGCTGCGTCGAGAGTCGGAAGAATCGCGTTATCAAGTCGTCGGTTTTCAGTATGCCGTGCACGTTCATCTGGTGCACGAACATGCTGAAGGCTTTGGTCGAGTCGCGGCCTTGATGTTGCGACGAGTAGATGGTGATCCAGTCGCGGAGGAGGAAGTCGGTTTTCTCGACCAAGCCGGGAGGATCTTCGTAGCTGGGCGCGCGCACCTACAAAAAAAATACCGACTAATAAGAGAAAAAAAACCCTTCATATGTAACTTACATACATATGAACTTTGGGTATATAATATTAATTATATTAAAACGAACTATAAAGCATTGAATAGGGTATGATTCTAAGTATTTGTACAAAGAAATTATGCGAAAATACGGAAGCCTTTGCGGTGAGCATGAAATATCGAAAACCTCCCAACAGATCTTAATGAAAAAAAAACAATTTTAGTACATAGTATCACCCCCTTCGTAAACGAGGGGTTTTGAGGGTACAGAAATTTAATTTTCCGGACAAAAAAATAGAATTTTCGTCCAAATGAAAATCCCTTCGTTCACGAACTAGCTATTGTAATTAGGAATAACACTTCCAAATTTCAGATCGATCGGTAAATTGGTTTAATACAAAGGAGTCGTGCATTAACAAAAAGCAAATGGTAACTTAAAAATTCCATTACATTTTCGAATAAACATTGTAAAACACTCTAACCTTAAAATTATTATTACCGTGCTCGCCATTGTCGTGTCCCTTACATGTAACCAATTTAAAGTATATCATTTCAGTGGGAAATTAATTAAAATGACAAAATCACGAAACAAGTTGACCAACGAAGCTAAAAGGCAAGCAGAACGTGAGAGGCGCAGAGGAATAAGAGATGACCAAGTAAAAACGTGGGTTCAACTTTATAAAGAAGACAAAAAAACTACGTTTTTAGTCTTCATGTCTATGTTCATGAGTGGAAAAGTCCTAAAAGTGCAAAATTAATAAGATTTGCAATTTTTTTATGTGTTGACGAAAATGGTTCCGAAAATCGACAGTTTTAAAATATTCACCCATATTTCTTTTAATTGTTGTAAATTTTTATGTATATGAATTAGGGTGATTCAAAAAAAAACCTTTTTTTTTTTTCTCGGAACCACGCTTAAAAGTTTCGTATTGATATAAAAATGAGCCTGTGAAAAAATGAGCTCTTAATTTCAAAATTAAGATGGTCCGCATCCCACTTTTCGATTTTCCATAAGAATAACATAGGAAAAATTATTTTTGTTTCTTCTGATTTTTATAACTAACGAACGATGGGTCGTACTGTAAAGTTCTTGAAATATTTTTGTAGAGAATTGAACGCTCAACAAAAAAGGTTTCTTATGATTTTTTGATAAATTTGATCCTTCTAAAGTAATTTAAGATCAAAGTTCAAATTATACGAAATTTTTGGGTTTTTTAACTTTTTTGGCGAGTCTACCCGACTCATTTAAAATTTTTTGAAATATTTTTGTAGAGAATTGAACGCTGTTTTTCCGAACTTCCAGAACTCAAAAACAATATTTCGATTCGTTTTTAGCACTTTGAACTAAAAAATCCAGAAAAAATCCGAGAAAACGACTAAATTGACGGTTAATTTGACTTTAACCAAGTTTACTTACCGAAAAATGACTCTAGACCTTTTTTGTAGAGCGTTCAATTTTCTACAAAAATATTTCAAATTTTTTTAAATGAGTCGGGTAGTTAAAAAACACAAAAATTTCGTATAATTTGAACTTTGACCTTAATTTGTTTAGAAGGATCAAATTTATCAAAAAATCATAAAAAACCTTTTTTGTAGAGCGTTCAATTCTCTACAAAAATATGTCAAGAACTTTATAGTTCTTTAGTTACAAAAATTAGAAGAAACAAAAATAATTTTTCCTATGTTATTCTTATGGAAAATCGAAAAGTGCGATGCGGAGCATCTTAATTTTGAAATTAAGACCTCATTTTTATATCTATACGAAACTTTTGAGTGTGGTTCCGAGAAAAAAAAACAAAAAAAAGGTTTTTTTGAAACACCCTAATAATTATGAATATCTTAATGTTTACCTGCATGATGCCGTTGTGGATGTGCACGGTGGGTCCGATGGGCGCGCGGTCGCCGAAAAAGTTGGGCTCGTGGCTCTGGCGCAGCGCGTCCATCATGCCGCCGAGGCCCTCGGGCGGCTGCCGCGCGTGCGCGTGTATCTTCGACAGCACGTCTATGGTGTTGCAGAGGTCGGCGTCGGCCAGGTACTGGTTGCTGCGGTCGTCGATCAGGTACACCTGAATCAGTGTTCCCAGAACTTATTTTCAAATAGTACTAGTTTTCAGTTAAAAAAGTAGCAGATTAAAAAAAAAAGTACCATATTTTCAGAACTCAAAAATAAAATTTTAGGTAAGGAGGGTTTTTTTTATTCAATTAGTTTAATAGTAATATATAGTTATTGCATTTAATACTACTTTACTTTCATATTATAAATAGTATAATTACCTCTCCATAATAAATATCCCCCTATTAATATTATATAATAATTATATACACTTAATACCTAATTATATACACTTTATTTAAAATACATAAAGTTTTTATCAGAATTTTTAATGACAAGTGACAGTCATGCGCAACAACTCTCTTTAGTTGGTTGGTTTAGTAGGTTTCGCCACAAGGTGGGTGTCACCATCCATTATCATTCCGCCCAATGTTTCTAAATGTGTATTTATAGTTGCGTGTATCCGTTTGAAATTTATAATAATTTTAATTAAGTAGGGTAAAAAATTGTTATTTTATTTTTAGGCCCATATATCAAAAAGTAGTAGATTTTGATTCAAGGGTACTAGGGTATATAATGTTTTAAAAAAGTACTAGATCTAGTACAATTGAGGCGTTCCTCGGAAAAACATCATTAGTCCAATATCGTCGAAATTTAGATATTAGCACCAACTGTTTCCTAACCTCCATATATACGTATACAAATAAGTGTTTCTCGTAAAAATGTCATAGGTTCCATAATAATTAAATATGAAATTTAGCTTGTTCTTCTAAAAACATCACAAGTCCACTTCGTTTCGTCTAAGAGAGTCACATGTGCATAACATGTGACGTTTTTGGACACTCTAGAAAAGCTTCTACCTCTTTTACATGACCACAGCAATAGAAAATTTTATGATAACTTGTAAAAGACCAGAAGACCATAGCACCTGACAGTCCTGATAACACGGTCGACAACGATGATAACAGCATGCGAAGACTGAGTGTGGCAGTAATACAGTTTTTAGTTTTTTCATTTATTTTGTTACTCAGAGTTAATATATAGTTTGCAGTGTTTGTAGTAAGGAGAATTGTTCGTTTTTTTCTTCTAAAAACCTCACATGTTCATGTATTTTTTGTGTTTTTTTCATATTCGTCGAAACAAAAAACATGAGGAATTCTGGACAAAGTATCTTACATTTTTTTACATGTAGTAAATAGGTCAATAAAGTACTTTGGTAAAAAATTGGAATGTCGGAGAGTTTTTTTCATTTTCCCAAATATGTTAATTTTGGACTAATGATGTTTTTCCGAGAAACGCGTCAATTGTACTAGACTGGCAACACTGACCTGAATGAGCTGCATGGCGAACGTGACGGCGATGTAGTTGTTGCCGTTCTCCATCGCGCCGGCCAGCGCAACGTCGTACTGGTTCGGGTTCAACAGGCCGGATTTCAGGAGCGCATCGACCGCCTCCATGTTGTAGCGGAGATCTTCGCGGCAGTCGATCAGGTAGCGCGTCGACGTTTTGTTGGTCCACTGCTGGCCGAAGACGCGCGGGTCCTGCAGGGATTTCAGGATGCGGACGATGATTTCCTTGAACTTTATCGATACGACGTCCGAGTCGGTCAGGGTGGGCGTGATACCTTCTTGAAGGCATTCCACACACTGCAACAATCAATTAATGTGTGAGTCAATCCATATGAAAACGCCGAAACTCGTTGCTAGACCATATTGAATTTGGCTCAAATTTTATAGAAATATTCATTAGGGTCCCAAAGGACAAAATCCACCCTTATTTATTTTTTCGCATGTGTTTAAAAAATTAAAACTCGTCCTGCGGACTCGTGAAATCTGCAGCTCGGTTTCAATTCGAAAATATTATCGATGATAATCATACCACTTGTTATATTATGGGTGATAATTAGGGATGGGATATTTAGGTACTAAAAACTGAAAAATAGGTAACTAAAAAGGTACTAAAAAAAGGATTTTAGGTTAAAAAAACAGCATTTTTGGTAAAAAAAAACATTAAAAGTTTAAGTTTCGTTTATAATTTTGTTTAGCCGCATACCCAAACACAGAACATACCCACAATAAACTATTTCCATGCAATAAACTGTTTTACTGAGTGACACTCACTACACAGAAGTTCTATGACAGAACATAAGCTCACTAGTAGTGAGTCACTACAAAGAAGGTAACTGTAAAGAAAGTTACTGTTACAGTCTGTAACCATAAGAAAAAATTCTATACCGTTGAGTTGCACGCCCTGGATAAAATATTGGCGCAAATTTTAAAAAGAACGAAAAAAATAAAATACGTAAAAATACGTAAAAACAGGTAACAAATATGTGAAAATAAAGTGACAAATTAAAAAATATGTAAAAAAAGTATAAAAAGGTAGTTTATAGCAAAAACCTCCAAAAAAGGTAAAAAAGGTGAAAAAAAGTTAAAAAAATAGGTAACAAAAGTATAAAAAAGGTAGTTAAAAGCAAAAACCTCCAAAAAAAGGTAAAAAAGGTGAAAACAAGTTAGGTTCATATAAAAGAAAATCTTTTAAAACACATTTTGGCATTATTGGTTTTCAAATAGTTACATCGGTTAAAAAAAGGTAAAATAACTAAAATCCCAGCCCTAGTGATAATAATTATGCGTTTTATTTTAATTCAGTAAGAATATTCTACCGGACCGAAATCAAAACATATTTGATGCTGTTAACTATCGTTTTATTTGACACTTATTGACATTTATTATTTTGTAATTGGATGTTTTCAATGAACTCCTTTTTGCAAAAAAGACCCAACCAGTAGTATATTTAACGTTTACCTTTATTATCCTAAATCAATTTAATTTAATTAAATGTTAGACATTTAAGGGTAGATTTTCAGTTTTCAGAAAGTCGGTTGAGTGCATAGAAAGAGCGACAGTTTTAAGCAAAGTTAGTAATTTTTGTGATAGATGAATTTTTCCGCACTTAAATATGCTTAAAATAGTATATTGTAATATTCATTCGTGCTAAAATCGAAAATATTTGATTGTTTAATTTTTCAAAAAATAAGCCTTTTTGAGCCATTTCCCAAAAGAAAATACAAATTTTATTATAGGTTTTCTAAAAAAATTACTGAAGACCTCAGTAGCGTGACGTCACGATACAATTAGTGTAACAGACGTGCCAAGACTTACAAATGAATTATTGTTATATTAATTAGTGCCAATATAATAATATTAGTTATATTTGGTATTTTTTTAATAATACACTTTATTAAAACAAGCTTATAATTTTGAATATCGTAATAAAAATAGAAAAAATCAAAAAATTAATTTTTTGTTGATTTTTTAATAAAAATCACCGATTTTTTGGTTTTTTTAAATCATGATTTATTCTTGATGAAATATAAAAAGATCTTTTATTTAATAATAAAAAAACGTTTGAAAAATAACTTTAAGAAAAAATTTGTTTTTAAGTAAAAAATATGCTTTAAAGACCGTATTTTTGTTAGTATACTCTGAAAATGTTGTACAAATCAAACTAACAGTAATACAGCGCTTCAAATTCGGTTTTTGATTATTTTGCTGAAAAGTGGTCATTTTTGACGACTTTGAAGCGCTGTATTTTCGTTACTGTTCGTTTGATTTGTACAACATTTTCAGGGTATACTAACAAAAATTCACAGCATATTTTTTATTTACTAAAAAAAAATCCCTAAAAGTTATTTTACAAACGTTTTTTCATTATTAAGTAAAAGGGCTTTTAAAAACTGAGTTATATATGGGGTATTCCATACCAAATCGACCACTTTTGAACCCGACCCCTTTAGATTTTGCTGAAACTTTTCCATCCTTTTCTACCCTTTGAAAAACATTTTTGAAAATTTTTTCAAATTTTTTTGTCCAACCTCAAAAAAGTTATGAATTTAAAAAAAAATGGCTTTTTTATTTTCAAATAGCCATAACTTTTTTAGAAATTGACTTTTGGGTACCTTTTTTTTTAATTTTTGTTTTTGAATGAACTTTTCAAAAAAATACACGAAAAAATACACGAAAAAAATTTAACATGATCAATTATATAAAATAATCGTTTTTTTAGTAAAATCGTCATTTTTTCGAAGTTCGCCATTTTTTTTTTTTTCTCAAAAAAACTTCAATTAATTTGACAACTATCCCCGCTAATCCCGGAGTGGGCCGATTTTTTTTGTATTTTTTTTATTTATTTAAAAAAAAATTGTCAAAGAAAATTCGACAATTTTTTTTTAAATAAATAAAAAAAAATTAAAAAAAAATCGGCCCACTCCGGGATTAGCGGGGATAGTTGTCAAATTAATTGAAGTTTTTTTGAGAAAAAAAAAACAAAAAAAAAATGGCGAACTTCGAAAAATGACGATTTTACTAAAAAAAAAAACGATTATTTTATATAATTGATCATGTTAAATTTTTTTCGTGTATTTTTTCGTGTATTTTTTTGAAAAGTTCATTTAAAAACAAAAATTAAAAAAAAGGTACCCAAAAGTCAATTTCTAAAAAAGTTATGGCTATTTGAGAATAAAAAAGCCATTTTTTTTTAAATTCATAACTTTTTTGAGGTTGGACAAAAAAATTTGAAAAAATTTTCAAAAATGTTTTTCAAAGGGTAGAAAAGGATGGAAAAGTTTCAGCAAAATCTAAAGGGGTCGGGTTCAAAAGTGGTCGATTTGGTATGGAATACCCCATATATTTTTATTCAAAATTTTATAAAGAATAATAAAGGCGTTCTGGAGTTAAATTTTTGTACACTTGTTGCAATACTGTAAATTTAGCACCAAATGTATTTTTTGCTGTCCAGAAGAATATTCTTACTGAATTAAATTAAAAATTATAATCCTAATTTAACCGTAACAATTTGGAAAATCCCTTACCCTTTGAAATGAAAAAGTCAAATTTTCTGAAAGCTTTGGGCTCAATTTGTCCGGAAATTTAAAACGGCACATTCGTCTCACCTTTTGCACGATCCCGTTGGGCGGAGTCTCCCTGTTCCTGATCGAGATCATCAGGTAGTCCCTCAGCACCTGCATGGTGCTGCACATGAGCGCGTACTGCGCCTGCCCTTGCACCGCCTGCACGAACTGCTCGACCTCGAGGGCGAGCTTCTCGTAGAGCACGCCGATGTCGTCGTTGGGCACGGCGGCCTGCGGCGGCATCTGGAACTGCGCCTGCGCCTGCTGCGGCTGCGGCTGCGCCTCGATCGGCGTGTTCTGCTTCGACAGCATAAACGTGTCGCGCTCGTTCGGCAGGAAGCCGGGGATGTTGCGCGCGAACTCCTCGTAGACGGCCATCTGCGACGACGAGATGCCGCCCACTTTCAGGCGGATCGGCTCGGGCATGCGGTCGGCGTGGTAAGAGAGCACTTGCGGATCGCAGTACCGTCTAAAAATTAATTTGGAATCAATGCGAGCTCGAGTGAAACCTCTTTAGGGCAATTTCATTATATTCGTGTTCTATTTTATCATTCAAAAAATATTTTTTTAAATCATAATCTCTGGGCTTTCTTTTTTTATAACTCGCAATTTAAAATTTGCCATATTGATTTTCACAGGTTTTGTCCGCGATTTTTGAAATTCCTCTCAGTGTGCATCGTGATAATCAATAAATACACTGCCCGTCAAAATTAACGCATAATAAGTAAAAAAATTCTAACTCTTAAACGCCTTTACCAATGAAATTTTGTATAAGAATACTTCAACTTATATCTCAGTTTACTACGTGTTCGACGGTTTTTCGAGAAAATATTTTGAAAGCCCTTTTATTTAATATTAAAAAAAACGCACGAGAAAAACTTTTATAGGGAATTTTTTTAAGTAAATAAAAAATATGCTGTTATAGGCCGAATTTTTGTTAGTATATCTTGAAAATTTTGTACAAATCAAACGAACAGTAACGAAGATACAGCGCTTTAAAGTCGGTAAAAATTACCCCTTTTTGATTATTTTGCTGAAGTGGTCATTTTTACCGACTATGAAGCGCTGTATCCTTGTTACTGTTCGTTTGATTTGTACAAAATTTTCCGGGTATACTAACAAAAATTCGGCCGTTAACAGCATATTTTTTATTTATTTAAAAAAAATCCCCTATAAAAGATATTTTCGAGCGTTTTTTTTAATATTACCTAAAAGGGCTTTAAGGATATTTTTTCGAAAAACCCTTGAACACGTAAACTGATTTTAGATATTAGTATTTTTATCCAAAATTTTATAAAGATTGGTAAAGCCGTTTTAAAGTTTTTTACTAATTATGCGTTAATTTTGACGGGCAGTGTATTTATTGATTATCACGATGCACACTGTTTGGTCAGCAGGATATGGAATATGTCCATGGATTTATCATATTTGTTGATTATTTTTAACTCATCATAGTTGCCTTTTGCTAGTTCTAAAACGTCAGTTTCAAATGACAGTCAGTCTTAACTAGCGTTGCCAGATTCTGTCAAAAAAATATAGGACATTTTAAAATGTCACAATTGTGACAATTTACCTTAATTACAAAAATGCCACAATCCACAATACTTAACGTCGTAACGTCAAATTCACAATTTGCATTGTGGCAACCCTAGTCTTAACATACCATCGCATCGTCTTTTTGTACATTATTAACGCTTTATAAAACTTTAAAAATACACATATTCATAGTGCAAAAATGAAACAAAAAAATTTACATTAATTAGCCGAAGTTATTTTACAAGGTAAAAACGTATTTATCAGTAAATCCTACGACTAGGTTAGGTAAAAAAAAACTTGGATTTAACCGGTTTTGCTCTAAAATCAACTTTTAAATGTAATTTTAACACCGATATAGGGTTTTTTTGGGGAAAGTCACTTTAGTAGTCAATAGAAATAAAGCTAAAGATGCGAAATTGACAAAGAAAATATTTAGTGAAAAAAATGGATTTAAGTGAATTTGCTCGAATTGTTATTGTTTTTTTTGTTTACTTTTCCCATGGGCCCTGGGTATGCGCCTCTGTTCTGTATGCATAGCAACATAACATAAAGAACAAAATAAAATAAACAGTAAACTTTATTAGAAGCTAACACGTTTAAAGATGTTAATATTAAAAAATACTGAAAGATTTTGATTAATCTCTTTCAAATAAATCAGAACTGAACGTTTTAGGCGTAGGCAAGACGAAGAGTCATCACAATTAAAATTATTTGACAGACGAAGAAGAAAGACACGAAAATACCACAATTTGTTGTTTTTTTTATTGGAAATTTTTAATTAGTTATATAATACACATTTATAAAAAAAAAACAAATTATCAACCATAAAAAAATAAATCTACAGAGGAAAAAACAAGAATTTCGTTTTGACTTCAAGTTTAACCTTGAATAACTTTTGATTGAGTGAATTTAGCCAAAAATGTTAGAAGACTTTTTTGAAGAGCATTTGATTTCCCATAAGAATATCTATCAGTTTTTTTCCGGATACTGATTTTAACATGAATTACAAAATTCCAAAGTTAAAAGATCAAAATATAAAACCATACCAATTTTTAAGGCATGATTTTAAGGAAACGGTTCATCTGACGGAAAATTTCATTTTAATTTTCTTAAAAAAATATTTCAGAGTCAATTTTGTTAAACTCAATAGTTTGGGAGTTCTGAGACAAAAACTTGCCGAGGAAAAAAAAATTAAAATTGCGATGATAGACCTCTTTGTATTAATATTATGGACTCAAACTTTCACAATAATTTTTTTTTGTCACCCCAAACCATATTTTCGATATACTTTTCAAAAAAAAAAAAATAGTTGATTTTTTTGGCCCTGTCTAATATACATATATGTACAAATATGATTAAGAATTTAAAATAAACAAAATACCAAAATACTGAAAGCGACACCTACAGGCGATTGCAGATAATTCAAATATTTTGAAAAAAGGATAAGATCAATGTTATAAATACAGGGTGTTTCTACTCAAAATTTCATTGACCAAACCTTTTTCAAGTAAATATTTTTCATTTAATGTAATGAATTATTGACCTTCTTTTGATTTTACACAAACTTTTTTCTTGGTTTTTATGTCCGGAATTAAAAAAATAAAAAGTTTTGGAATGGTAACTTTAGTTTCAACTTTTCAAATGTTGTACTCAACTTTTCCAACAACTTTTCATCGTTTGTAACAATATACTATATTGTTTTAAAGAATTCAACATTTTTAGTGCTAATAAATTTATTTATTTGATTTATTAATATCCTGTTCAGCATTTACTCATCGGTTTCATCTTTCGTAACGCCAAGTTTTAGTTTACCCCGTCCGCAAAGAACTTTCACTTCAATAATAAGTCGGTATTGGACAAAATTTTAGTGAAAATTAAATGTTTATTACTGTTTGATCGTCTTACCTTCCTTCCTGCCTGGCGTGTTTCCTCATATCGTACTCGTTAATCAGCCGTTTGTCGATCTCGGGGATGGCCTTCTCCACCGCGGTCTTCTGCACGAAGGCGCACGCCAACTCCATGTTGTCGGTGGCCACCACTCCGGCCGCCTGCTCGATCAGCTCCTTCTGCTGCACGGTGGGCGTGCCCAAGTTGGCCAGCAGCGCCTGCTTCAAGTGCGTGTTGATCGAGGTCAGCAGCTGATCGCGGCACGTGATCATCGCCATGCCGGCCGTGAGGTTGCGCACCATGTAGTGCGCCGCCAGGCGCATCCTGCTCTCGTCCTGGTCCAACGCGAAGTCCTTGCGGATCGTCTGCTCGCACGTTTGCAGCGCGATCTTGATCGAGCGGTCCACCACCGGGGCGATCCACTCTTGCACCGCGCGCTCGATCGAGGTTTTCACGAGAGGTTTTAGTTGCGGGTGCGTTTGGAACAAGAGGATCGACGGGTTGATTATCGTGTGGGTTTGGAAGGCGGCCATGTTGTTGATTTGGATGTCGCTGTAGGAGAAGCGCGGGTCCGGCGGACCGGACATCGACGTGGGAGTGGTGCTGTTGTTTTGGACCACTTTAACAGAAAAACCGCGTTTTAACAAACATAAAATGATAAATGAGAAAAAACCCTTCATATCAGTGTTGCCACCCCTATTACTTTAGAAATAGATCTGTTACTTTTAGCTAAAATATATTACCCTATTACGAAACGTTGTAAATCTATTACTTTTTTCTTTCCTAGTAGGAATTTTTTTTAAATATTCTATTGTGGTCCTATTGTTGCCACTGGCAACTTTTTGATTTACATGAAATTATTGTAAATTTTAATTTTACTTTACATGTGATTTCGTACATTGTACGTACGTATAATTATTATCGTACAAAATGGATAATTATTCTTTCTATGGACAATTATCGTACGTCTGCCAACACTGCTTGAGTGTTTGACGTTTGTTGTGTGCTTAAATTTGTGTTTATAAAGTTTTTATTAAATTTAATAATTAAAATAGCATAAGCATCATGCACAGATTATAAAGCATCATGTAAAAAATCAATTTTATTCTAATGACAGCGGTAAAACGTCAAAGAATCAAAAAAATTTGCTTCAAAATAGTCTATTACCTTAAATCCCAAATCTATTACATTTTGACGCATGCGTCTATTACGAAAAAAAAGTTATAGGTGGCAACACTGCTTCATATGACACGGTTCGTTGAAAATACGTTTAACCCAAAAGTGCGAACACTCAAAATTATTATATTTCTAGAAGGATCATTTTAAGCCCAAAATTAAAATAGGTCAGCCCTTCTAAAAATGTTAAGTAGTGTATTTTATTGAGGTGAAGCAAATATATTTAAAATGGGAAACTAAAATCATAATAATTCAAAAAAAAAATTTTTTTATAAAAAGTTAATTTATTACGGTCAATTACTCCCCAAAATTAGATCCAAGACTTGGACTCTAAGTAAAAAATTTCGATGGTTATAATTTAAAACCTTTAAAATAAATTTTATTAAAACTAATAAAATCTTAATTAAACTTTGGTAAAACTAAACAATAGTTTGCATATTTAAGATTAGTTTATAGTTATATAACATATGTTAGTTTGTATTAGTTTTTATTCAATTTGTATTCCACGCCAAATCGGATGGTTAAAAAAAGTAGTACTCCTTGAAAGAGCTTTCTCAGTAATTTTGAAATTTTTTTGATCACGGGTATAAAAGATCAAATTTTCAAAAAAACTGCTTTTTTTTGTTTTTCGCTCATTACTTCTTAAAAAATGGTGCAAATCAAAATGTTCATTCTATATAAAATTTTCGTTTTTAAATGTACTTTATGAAAATATATGAAGCGTTTTTCGATTTTTCAAAATTAAAAAAAAAATCTCTAAAAATTATTGTTTCGAAAAAAAAAAGTAATTATGGAAGCCCACTACCGGACCAGGCTGAATAAATGTTGAATAGGTTGAAAATAAAAATTTTTCGCGAAAATCGAAGAAGACACATTTTTAAAAACACGATTTAAACTTTAAAACTCAAAAATCATGACTTAAAACGTTTCAAATATTTTCAATATATTTTTTTCGAAAAGTACATTTAAAAGCGAAAATTTTATATAGAATGAACATTTTGAATTGGACCATTTTTTAAGAAGTTATGAGCGAAAAACAAAAAAAAGTAGTTTTTTTGAAAATTTGATATCTTTTGAACCCGCGATCAAAAAAAATCTCAAAATTAACTGAGAAAGCTCTTTCAAAAAAATATAAAAAAATTGGAGGAATAAAAAATTTTTTTTTGAAACCATCCGATTCGGCGTGGAATGCCCCATTAGGTTTAGGTTAAAATTACTCTTAGTCCAGATTTAAGTTAGATTCGTTTTACTAGTTAAATTTAAATATTTAAGTATGCTTTATAAAGTTAATATTAGTACATTAAAAACAAGTTCAAAATTAATAATAAAAAATATAACTGTTACATTTTTTACTTAAAAAGAATTTAAAATAAGTCATAAGTCATATAATAATTTAGGTGTTTTATAAATAAATATTTTTCACCAAAATAAAATATACCAAGATTTAAACTTTTTAGATGCAAAAAAAATATTCAACAATATGTAAAAAAAATTAAATCAAATCTCCCGGAAAGTATGACCTACAACCTATTTAAATTTTGGGCTCAAAATGATTGCTTGACCTCCTAGAAATATAAAATGAATGTAATGAGCAAAAAAATGATTGTGGAATACCAATTGTATAGAGTTATATGGAAGTTTTACCTAATAATAATAATAATAATTTTTGATCAATTAAAAAGTTAAGAAACATAAAATGAGAATTAGGGGTATTGAACTGACGTACTTTTATTAATTGAATTATTATTCAATAAAAAAAAATATGTCACTTCAATGTTACTAGAATAATAATAAAATGATAATCTTACTATCTGTACTTTTAATGTCATAAAAGTGTTGAGCAATTTTTACTAAATTGGTGAAAAAAACTGAATTTAAGTCATAATTTTTTAATCAACTATATAAGGCAAAGAGGCAAGAGCGATTTATATATAAAATTTTAAATATAAAATGGAGGTAACTTTTTATTCTAAATTTTTTTGTGTATTATGTAATTTAAAACATGTTGGTAAAATAAGAATTTCACAGATAATTTAAAAAAATTAAATTGTTTAATACTAATCCTTATTTGAAAAGGTAAGAAGCAAAAGGATACAAATGCATTTTAGTATGAAAATAAGTTAAGTGCAGAATTGAGTTGCTTGGAGTCCATGTTTTTTTTTAATTTCTTATAACAATTTTAAAACAAGTATCCAGGTTTTTGTATATAGAAATAGTATATAGTTTATAACTCTACTTCTTTTTTGCGCGTACCCTTTTGCTTCTTGATAATATTTTTTGTAAAATCTTATTAGTTTAATAAAAAGTGCTATATGTATTTGAGTATTCCGTATTTTAAAAATTCGTAAGCAGGTAATTCGTAGCAGTGGTTAGAAAGTAAAATAAAAAGTTTTCTCATCATATTAATCTCATAATTAAAGGGTGTAAAAATGCTCGAGCATTTTTGACACTTTTAAAAGTGCACAAAAAATAATAACATGCAAATTTCTACACAGTTTCATAAAACTTTTTAATGACCACACAAAACTGCAAAATTGTAACAAATTGGGTGGTTGCTTACTCCGCCATCTTTGTTTTAAGGGGTGATTGTTTTATTGTCAAATAATCTGAGTGTTTTTATATCAAAAAAGAGAGGTCCTGTGACAAAAAAAAAATTACCCGTTATTATTTTTTTTTTCGTTGAAATGCTATAATGATTGAAAAAAAAACTTTAGCCACCAATTTTGGGATGGTCTTACCTTGCGGAGAGCTGGTGGCCTGCGCGGGAAGTATGTTGGCCAGTTCGGGATCGTTGAGGCTGCTTTGTACGGTACCGTGCGAAGACGAAGTATTGCTCTCCTTTTTGACCGGCTGCGAAAGTTGGTATTCAATTTTCCTTATCCGCTCCGGATCCTTGAGGTACATGCTCGGTTTCAGCTGCGAAACTTCGATGTCGAGGTGCTTGCACAGCACCTCGATCTCGAACTTTAACGTCAACTTGAGATCGGTCTCGTGCCAGAGCTCGGCCAGCACGTTCATGATGGCCATCGTCCAGGGATTCGGCGCCTTGAACACCTTGCTTTTCGAGCAGGATTCCAATACTTTGGCCACGAACGGCACCACGCACAGCAGCTCCTGCTGACCCTTGTGGTACGCCTCCACGAGCAGGGATTTCAGGTCGATGTCGATCTGAAAGTAGATAGGTAAAAAAACGGTTTTTTACAGATTTGAAGAAAAAATAGAAAAAAAACCTTTTTTTCGTATTTTTTTTCAAATGCGCTACAATAAACCATATTCTGTCAATAAATAACATCAATCTTAAAAAATTGAGTATTTTTTAATATGAAATTTTGAGCAAAATGTATAAGTGAAATTCAGAATATATTATATTTTCTAATATTAAAATTTTTGATTGAGCCTAAAATTTGATTTCTTATTGCATTTATTAACATTTACTGAATGTCATTTGGTGGCTAAATTTTAGTCTATGAAGTGGACTGGAAGTATAAAAAATTAAGCAAATAAAACTAATCTTGAAAAAATAACATAAAAAATTAAAAGAAACATTTAAAAAAAAGTGGAGATGTAAAAAACGGTTTTTTTCAGCTTTGAAAAAAAAACTAGAAAATAAAGCATATTCTGTCAATGAATAACGCAAACTTAAAAAATCGAGTATTTTTTTAATGTGAAATTTTGAGCTAAATGTATATTAATAGTAAAGTGAAATTTAGAATATATTACATTTTTATTATTAAAAAATTCGATTGAGCCTAAAAAATTTGATATCTTATTGCGTTTATTTACATTTACTGAATGTCGTTTGGTGGTTAAATTTTAGTCTATGAAGTGGACTGGAAGTATAAAAAATTAGGCAAATGAAACTAATCTTGAAAAAAAACATAAAATATAAAGAAGAAAACAGTTAAAAAACATGAAAAAAAAAACTAGAAAATAAAGCATATTCTGCCAACAAATAACGTAAAACCTAAAAAATTGAGTATTTTTTTAATGTGAAATTTTGAGCAAAATATAGCCAAAAAAATTTGATTTTTTATTGCATTTATTTACATTTACTACATTTTTTACATTTGGTAGCTAAATTTTAGTCTATGAAGTGGACTGGAAGCATACGAAATTAAAGTAATCTTTAAAAAAAAAGTATAAAAAAAAGGGAAAAAAACTAGAAAATACAACAAAATGAAGCAAATTTTGTCAATGAATAACGTCAAACTTAAAAATTGAGTATTTTTTTAATGTGAAGTTTTGAGCTAAATGTATATTAATAATAAAGTGAAATTTAGAATATATTACATTTTTTATTGTTAAAAATTTCGATTGAGCCTAAAAAATTTGATTTCTTATTGCGTTTATTTACATTTACTGAACGTCGTTTGGTGGCTAAATTTTAGTCTATGCACTGGACTGGAAGCAAAAAAATAAGGCAAATGAAACTATCTTGAAAAAAAAACATAAAATATGAAGAAGAAAACTGTTAAAAAAACATGAAAAAAAAACTAGAAAATAAAGCATATTCTGCCAACAAATAACGTCAAACCTAAAAAATTGAGTATTTTTTTAATGTGAAATTTTGAGCAAAATGTAGCCAAAAAAAATTTGATTTTTTATTGCATTTAGAGATGTAAAAAAAACGGTTTTTTTTTCAGATGTGAAAAAAAACATGAAAAAAAACCTAAAAAAAAACGGTTTTTTTTGTTTTTTTTCAAAATGAAATTTTGAGTAAAATGTATATTAATAATAAAGTAAAATGTAGAATATATTACATTTTTCATTAATAAAAATTTTGACCAAGACTAAAAAATCTGATTTCTTATTATTTGGTAGTTTCCACATTATAAACCAATAACTTCTACACTTATACAAAAAATTAAAGGATAAAAAAAATGTTTGCGATTTTTGGGATAACTGTTTCTTTGTTAAAAATGGTCGTATTGGAGCCGTAAAAAAAGCAATTTAAAGCTTGAAGTTTCTAGTTTTGAGATTTTTAGATGAAAAACGTGCAACGCTCAATCCTAACGAATACCGTAATTGCTTTCTTTTTTGATCCACGGAATGTTCTGACTTAACCACCAATTCTACAAGAATTTGCTATTGTTTTTTTGAAAAAAAAAATTCCACTTTACATGAATTTGAAAAATCATGAAAAAAGTGCTTTTGGTAGCTTTTTGAAAAATCAAGCGCTGAATCAAAAATATTATATGTTTGACTACATAATGTAGTTACTTTTTTTAGGACCAAATCAAAACAAGCGCGGCCCTTATTAGTCAATTCGGTGGTGGTGACGCGTGCATAGCACGAGACTGTATTTACATTTACTAATTGTCATTTAGTGGCTAATTTTAGTCCATGGAAACATAAAAAATTAGGCAAATGGGACTAATCTTGAAAAAAAACCTAAAATGTGAAAAAAACCATTTGAAAAAAAAAAATGAAAAAAAAACCTGAAAAAAAAACAAAAAAAACGGACCGTTTTTTTTTCAAGTCGCATCTCTAATTGCATTTATTTACATTTACTACATTTTTTACATTTGGTAGCTAAATTTTAGTCTATGAAGTAGACTGGAAGCATGCAAAATTAAAGTAATTTAAAAAAAAAACAAAGTATGAAAAAAAAGGGGAAAAAACTAGAAAATACCACAAAATAAAGCATATTCTGTCAATAAATAACGCAAACTTAAAAAATCGAGTATTTTTTTAATGTGAAAGTTTGAACAAAATGTATGTTAATAATAAAGTGAAATTTAGAATATATTACATTTTTATTATTAAAAATTTTGATTGAGCCAAAAAAAATTGATTTCTTATTGCATTTATTAACATTTACTGAATGTCGTTTGGTGGCTAAATTTTAGTCTATCAACTGGACTGGAAGCATAAAAAATAAGGCAAATGAAACTAATCTTGAAAAAAACATAAAATATGAAAAAAGCAGTGAAAAAAAAACTAAAAAATAAAGCATATTCTTTCAATAAATAACGTCAAATTTAATGTGAAATTTTGAGCAAAATGTATATTAATAATAAAGTGAAATTTAGAATATATTACATTTTTATTATTAAAAATTTCGATTAAGCGTAAAAAATTTGATTTCTTATCGCGTTTAATTACATTTAATGACAGTCGTTTGGCGGCTAAATATTAGTCTACGAACCGGACTGGAAGCGTAAAAAAATATGCAAACAAAAATTTACCTGCAGGATGGGCTTGTTGCGGCCCAGCGTCAGCATGCCCAGCCAGTGGCCGAGGTTCTTCAGCAGCGAGCGGTCCGAGAAATTCGCCACCGCCTTGTCCGAACGCAGCAGCACGCGAATGTTCCTGAACGTCTCCCTTGTCACCATGCGGTACACCTCGGGCACGGCCAGAGTGTCGAGGAAGTTGGAATACAGCGCGTGGAAGTTGAACTCGATCGAGGCCCTCTTCATCACGAGGTATTGCGACAACCACGGGTAGTACTCGTCGGAGATCAGTTCGCGCAGCTCGTCGCACTTGTTCTTCAAGTTCAGCTGACTGAGGTTGTTGAATATGAAGGCCGTTTTGTCTTGAATCACTTCCGGAGGGGTCACCAATTTTTCCGATTCCTTCTCGGTCGCCACCAGAAGAGTATCGATGTTGGTGGCGTTCGCGATTGAGGGCCTGCTGCCGATTTGCTGCGTCGTCGCCGGGGTTGTACTTGATTTACTCGGCGCTATAGCGGATATGGTTTTATATGCCTGCGCGGTTGCAGTAGACGGCGGCGGCGCCAACATGGCGGCCAAACTTGCGGGCAAAACGGGGCCGGACGGTTTGTTCGGCGGTTCCAAACTCTGCAAACCATACTCGACATATTCTTGTAGGTGCGGGGGGAAATCCCCGAAATGCGGTATCGCCCGCACGTGCTCGCAATACTTGTGGTACTCCTTCAGACGACTTTTAAACCTATCCAACGCCGCTATACCGAAGTAGTACATCTTGGAACCTTCGGGTTTCTTCAGCGCCTCCAATACGAACCTCAAAGCCAAACCTAGCGCTATGTACGACGTGACTATGCCGCGTTCTATGATCCCGCCGAACAGTTGCGCCGTAATGTGCAACTCCTTGTCGGGGTATTGCGGGAAAAACTTGTACTCTTCGAACAAGTTTCTCAGCATGCAGTTGAACACGTCCTTCTCCCTTTTGTTGTGCGAATCCTGGAATTAGGGTTGGGAAAATTTCACTTTTTGCTTATACTTGAAATTTCACTTGAAATTTTCACGACATTTATGAAATTTATTAAAATTTCCTAAATGTCTGAAATTTCATGAAATTTATTGAAACTTTCACTTTAAGTGTAATATACAGGGTGTTATGTAATTAATGTTATATATTAAAATGGGTTGTTCCTTAGGGTCCATAAAGAAGCACCTGAAACTTTTCTTCTTCTAAATTCCAAAGTCTAAAAATAATTTATAATAACCTTTATCCTACCAAAAAGTACGCCACTGATCGACTAGCAACTTTAGGCTATTCTGGTTGCCTAATTTAATTTATTATGTTATGGTTGGTAACAACCAGCGTTTCCAGATTCTGTCAAAAAAGTTGCCAGATTTTGTTTAAATTTAGCTTAATTACAAAAATGACAAAATTAACAATGCAAATTGTGAATTTGGCGTTTTTATTAATTGTTGGTTATGTCATTTTTGTAATGAAAGTAAATTCAAACGAAATCTGGCAACTTTTATGACAGAATCTAGTGCATTTCTTTCAAATTTTAGGTTATGTGCTCAAATTGTAAATATCTTAACTAAGGGAAGTGCTTTTGGATTTATTTACACAAATTAAATGTTTAAAGTTTAACCTGTGAACTGGTCCCAATTTCATCTGAGTAAACAGAGAAAAAAACTGATGAAAAAATTAATTTTGTGGTTATGGATTTCAAATTTCAAAGGTACTAAATTTTCTAATAATTGCTTAAGCTAATAGCTGGATCAGTAAATAAATACAGAAGGGTATTAGAGCTTTAAGGGCATAAAACTTTTGTATTTATTGAGTTTTTATTTATTTTTTGCAAGAAAAATTTTTAGTAACAATTTTTTACATCTGGCAACGCATAGCTACTTTGTTGGTTGGTATCTATGTACTCACAAAATACAAGTGTGCAGAGATAAACCAAGTGTGTAACCAGTGGCGTATCACAAAAAATATAAAAAACTTCTAATGCATATTTTTTCTTTATCTTTGGAAAAATATTTTTTTAAATATTTTTCCTTTATTCCTTATGTCAAAAGGTATTCAGTATTTTAATATATAACATTAATTACATAACACCCTGTATAAATAGTAAATACCTATGTTTACCACAAATTTCTTGATATTTCCTTTTAAAATATTTTTAAAATTACTAAAACTAAGAGAGATATATCACTTTTTGGTAACCTAATGAGATTGTGCCACTTTCATTGTTTTATATTTATATATATTTATTATTTTTATATACCTAATAATAATAGTTATTTATTGATTATCATAATTATAAAAATAACAACAATCAAAAGGCCATTGACCTAGGTCCTTCAGCCAAGGTTAATTAAAATATAAATGTAATGTATTTGCAGGTGTTAGAAACCAAAATTGATATTAGATAGAGTGCAAAAAAAAAAAAACATATATTTTACTGAAATTTTACAAAAATTGAAGAAACTTCATCAAAATTTTATAAGCCAAAGGCATTTTTTATCCGTTTTCCGATGCAATTATAGCAAAAGTAAAAGTTTAAATTAATCATGACTTTTAAAAAAATTTTAAAGTCTGATTTAATTTACAAATTAAATTGGTAACTGAATTAAATTATTTAAATTAATTTATGCATATAAGTAACAATAATTACTTATAGTGTATTCAAATCCAAGCCGAACTAAACAAAAACGCCCAGACGCTTGATAACTCGTTCTTATTGGTCGATTCGGAATCTGTTGTAAATTATTATTAAAGGTCCCAGGGGAGGCCGCATGCGAAATTTATGCGAAATTTTCAGTAAATTGCGAAACTTTCAATGAAACTTCTGAAAGTTTCACAGGAAATGTTAAAATTTTCGAATTGAAAATTTCATTTGAAATTTTTAAAAATTTCACTTTTCCATCTAAATGAAATATTTCAAGTTTGAAACTTTTAAAGTAGACCAGTGCAGAAGCCTTTAAAAATGGTAAAAAGAGAAAAAAAATAACAGTAGGATGAAACCCATTGGAAAAGGAGGGGAATATAATAAAAATTAAAGGAAAAATAAATTACGGGCGATCTGAGTTCGGGAAGTGGGAGGGGGGGGTTTAAGGGTAAAAAATGGTTTATCTCGATTTCCGGCAAAACTACAAGTCCTATGGAAAAAGTTAAATGTCAAAGTTGTAGGTAATAAAAAGATCTACAACTTTTGTATTTACAATTTTTTCACATAAACTCAAAATTTATGTGAAAAATTCAAAAAACCAAGTTTTTGGTTTTTTATTTTTATCTTTTTCAAAAAAAAATTTTTTCCACGAAATTTGGTGAAAACTTACCTTTTTATGTCCCAAATACACTGTAATTTATTTGATTTAAAATATTTATTATTTCGCCTTATTTTGACTTAATATCAAAAAAGCACCCCAATTTTCAATCGAAAATTCTCGCGTCAAAATATCAGCTTTTTTCAAAAAGTCGGTGTGCTTTTTGTTCGATGAACTCTCTACTTTCTGATGGTGTAAAAAAAATATTCATTACCATGGTAAATGTTCTCAGAAAATACAATAAATATTATAATGAATAACGTAATCAGAATGAAGTATCTAAATTCAATAGTATGATTTACATGTATTTTTATATTTTATGAGATTTTCTGACATAATTTTCGATTGAAAATTAGGGTGCTTTTTTGATATTAAGTCAAAATAAGGCGAAATAATAAATATTTCAAATCAAATAAATTATAGTGTATTTGGGACATAAAAAGGTAAGTTTTCACCAAATTTCGTGGATTATTTTTTTTGACAGTTCTCTGTATTGTTGGGACATTGTTGAGGCATTGTTGTTGAGGGAACCTACAGCGAATTACAGCGATAATTTTTTGAAAATTTCTCTGGTAGTTGCTATATATAAAAAACAAATTAAATCTTAATTAAATGTTGTTTTATTCATTATGAAATTCTTATTTGTTAACTGTACATTTCGTCTCATGGTGCAATTCTATTGGCCGACATTTGGGACGGAAAAATAATCCCCCGAATACCACACGAGCTTCAAAATTATCTGGCATTTCCCTCAAGGTTCCCTGCAAACAAATAAAGTCGTCAAGTTTTTCAGGAAAAATCACTCGCGCTTCGCGCTTGTGATTTTTTAACCTGAAAAACTTGACTCCTTCATTTGTTTGCAACGAACCTATCGGGAAAAATACCCGATAATTTTGAAGCTCTTGTGGTATTATAAGTGAAAGTTTTTTTTTTTAAAAAGATAAAAATAAAAAACCAAAAACTTGTTTTTTTTGAATTTTTCACATAAATTTTGAGGTTATGTAAAAAAATTGTAATTACAAAAGTTGTAGATCCTTTTATTACTTACAAATTTACCATTTAACTTTTTTCCATAGGACTTGTAGTTTTGCCGGAAATCGAGATAAACCATTTTTTACCCTTAAACCCCCCCCTCCCACTTCCCGAACTCAGATCGCCCGTAATTTATTTTTCCTTTCATTTTTATTATATTCTTCTCCTTTTCCAATGGGTTTCATCCTACTGTTATTTTTTTTGGTTTCAAAAATTATCGACCCTGGTCTAAAGTTGAAATTTTCATTTGAAAATTTCAACTGTCCCAACCCTACCTGGAACGTCCTCAACATATCCAAAACCTCATCGATGGACAACGTCGGGTGCGGGGGGTGGTTGTAGATCCTCTGGAAGTAGCTGTTGGCCTCGTCCTCGATGTCTTTGGATACGTTCGGCGATATGTCGGGGAACAAGTTGTAGTCGGGCAGTCTCGTCTTGTCCATGCTCGGGTTGGGCATTCGGCCCATGTTCGTAAGCTGATTTACGCCGCCGAGGACGAGGGAGGAGCTGGTGCCCACTGGGCCCTGGTGTTGCATCGGCATCATCGGGAACGGGCTGTTGGACGGGCCGCCGGCGTTCAAAATTCGCGACGGAGATCCCGGCGAAGACACCAGCTGTCCCAGACCGCCTTGCAGGTTAAATGCGGATGTGGAAGGGCCTGTAACCGAAACTGGTGTAAAAATAATGTCGAATGCATAAACAGACTTGAATTTTAACTTTAAATTCTACGGCTAAATTACAAATTTTATTTAGGAATTTAAGAAATGAATGTATGTTAATTAAATAAAAACAACTCTGCACTGTTCTTAAAAATAAGAATAACATAAATAATTATTTTTAACAAAAATATAAATAAATATCACTTCTTTTGTACGAATAGATACATTGACTAGTTTTTTTTAGCCAAATCACGCGACGATGTTTTTTTTTTTTTAAATAAAATTAAAACTTTTGTTATACAGTGTTGTTTGCGACACACCCCTGTAAAATCTTTATTTATTGTGCGATTTTAACCGGATTTGTTTTAAAGTGTATATCTTAATAAACTGTATTTTTGGAGCACAAAGGCCTACTATGTCAGTTTTTAAGAGTAAATTTTTAAGAATTCATATTAGCGATTTTTTAAAACAAAATCCAAGCACGGCACCCTTTACTAAATTTTATTGAAGAATTTTAAGTAGAAAAAATGCACAATAATAACTACAAAAATTTATTATTTATTTATTATTTTAAGTTATCCATGAAAAAAACATTGAAATAAAATTAAACTTATAGTAATAGTACCATGTTACTATTAGTTTAATTTAATTTCAATGTTTTTTCATGGATAACTTGAAAGAATAAATTTTTGTAGTAATTATTGTGCATTTTTCTACTTAAAATTTTTCAATAAAATTTAGGATAGGGTCGTTTTAAAACTGGTGAATCCAGTGCCGTGCTTGGATTTTGTTTAAAAAAATCGCTAATATGAATTTTTTAAACTGACATAGTAGGTTGGTATTTGGTAAAATTATGGCGTTGTTAGCTCCAAAAATAGAGTTTATAAACAAATCCGGTTAAATTTGCACAATAAATGGAGATTTTACAGGGGTGAGTTGCAAACAAATGGGTCACACTGTATATCTGAGGTATATATGCAAGTAGAAATTTCACCTCACTTTTAATTTAATTTAAAAAAAAGTCGTCGATAGATTTGACTGAAAAACTATAGTTCTTCAGCCTCTAGACTAAACGGCCATTTCAAGCGGATGGACGGGACAAATCACAAAACTGTTTTTATAAAAAAAAATGTAGCTAATTTATTATATATTATTTTTGCATCAAAATTGTTAAAAAAATTCTTCTATTATAAGGGTATACATTAAATAAAAAAAATCGCAAGAAATATTTTATAAAAGTAGAGATAATTTCAATAATTGACAGGGATGGACGGGACAAGATAAATCTTTTTTTTGTCCCGTCCACACCTTTCAATTATTAAAATTATATCTACTTTCATAAAATATTTCTTGAGTTTTTTTTTATTTAATGTATAACCTAATAAAAGAAGAATATTTTTGCCAATTTTGATGCCAAAATATTATATAATAAATAATCTACAATTTTTTTTTATAAAAACAGTTTTGTAATTCGTGCGTTTCGCGCGCTTAAATGGCCGTAAAGTCAAATGATGTTATATTTATATTTTGAGAAATTTTTTTAACCGTTTAGTTAATAACTAACAATAATTGTAATGTGGATCTTAATAATCAAAAAGACATTCTTTACTCTCTAAAAATGAATTAGTCAAAAATGACTATATGTAGTGACTATAATTAAAATGACTATAGTTACTATAGTTATTAGTGGCTGCTTTTTCACTTATATCATGATTAACCATGGGATACCATGGTACCGCCAACATTTAACAGCCAATTATTAGGTAAAATTGTGCTCTAAATCCAAAAATACCGTCAAACATTATGAGTGTAGTAGCAGTTTTTGAGATAAAGTAAATTCTATATTACCTATATGGAAAATCGACTATATCTCAAAAACTGTTCTACTTTTCTAAATTTTCGGATTCAGGGTACAATTTTACATGGAAATTGACTGTTAAATGTTTGGAATACAAATTTTTATTGGCGAGAATTATTAGTGGCTGCTTTTTCACTATGACAATTAATCATTTTTGACTAATTCATTTTTAGAGAGTGAATGTTTACTATTTTAGCAAAAATCCTTTTGTCTGATATATACGCGGTATATTTTTGTCGAAAACACACGAAATATGGCTAAAAATGCCAATTTTGTAGAAAGAGCTACTACATGGATTTTGTGTTTTAGCTATATTTTGTTATTTTTTAAGAAAAAAGTAGGTTGTGATAGGTATATCATTTTAAAAACAATTTAATAAACTGGAACCTACAAATATATATTTTTTAAAATACTTTAAAAAAAAAATATTTTAGCACAAGGTTCAATGAATTCGGCCAAGAAGCTTTTAAATTTTTTGAAAAAATAAATATTTTTGAAATAACTATCAAGTTCATATAACTTTTCTTCTAATTCTTGCGAGTTCTATCGACTACTAAATTTTTCCGATTAACCTTAAAACAGCAGTATCAAAGAAACGCAAAAATGCTTACATAGAATAAATATTAAAGAACCAACAAATTTACGCTAGACCAAAAATCTGATTATTTTAATAAAACACCTTGCATTTTGCTATTTTCAAGTGATTTCGCTTATTCTTAAAATTTGCCGTTATTTGCGATATTAAACAACTGTTCCTAACAAGTTTTTTTTATTAACGGAAATATTAAATTACCGTTACCAATATTTTGATCATCACTAACATTCACATAGAACTTGGTAGATTTACCACAAAAAATGTAATGATCTATTAAAAATGTTTCCTATTGGGAAATTAAAATATGCACTAAAAGGAAAAAAATAATAAAGAAATTAATTGAGATTTAATTAAAAAAGGAAAATATAATTTTTATTTAAAGAAATTTAATAAAATTTCTTTGCTTAAAGTAGACAAAATTTCATTTATATTAATTATTCTTAGTTAACCTTGGTTTTTATTTAGCACAGGTGTTACATTACATTCCTTTTAAAAAATGCATTTATTAAAAAAAGCATCTTAAAAAACAAAGAGAAATCACAAGTTTCCCAAATTCATTTATAAAATGTTAATAATACATTTTATGAAACTAATGTTATTTATATTTATAGAAACAAATTATTTTTGACCTAGTCTATGATTTATATTATTAAATCAATTATAATTTATAAATAAATTTACAGTCCAAGATAGATTAAATAGATAAATATTATTATTTAATTAAACTTGTTTATTAAATCATATTTATTAAATATTTTTATAATGGTCAGCAAATTTAAACTTTTAAAATAGGATCTATCAAGTTTAGTTGGTTTTTAGTAGTTTTTTTGTATTACCACAGAGTAAACAAAAATCGGGCCTGTGGCCACATAACTTTTTTTGTTTTAACTATGTTGACCTTTTATTAAGTTAAAACTCTACTGAATAAATAATGATTTAAAAATATTTAATAATAATAATATTGTTTAGGTGGGGCAGAGTTTTTTAATCAAACGAAAAAAGGAAGATTTAATTACCTACATGCTTTTTCAATGGAAAAACTTTAACAACGTTATTCCAGTTCTTAACATTATTGTTCATTATTGACTAAATAAATTGTGAAATATTGTAGAGATTTTGAAATTTCTTTTGTTTTTATTTATAAAAACAAAAAAAAACCGTTTATTTACATTTCAAATAGTTATTTTATTTGATCTCTGCCAAATTAGTTAATTAATATTTGATTTAAAAATGACAATATTGTAAAATGTGTTTTTAACATTTCAAAATTTTAATGCTTTGGTTTTAGAATTTTTTTTAGACAATTTAAATCTGCTTGAAATTTTAAATTGTTTGTATGAATATGTTGAGATCTGCAAATACCCCCCCGACTAAACAATCCATTGGTTATTACGATCCTAATTGTTTAAAAATGTATTAAAAAATTCATGCAACTAAACTAACATTTAAACCTAGCAGGAAGTATAGATGTATTTGACGTAGAGTGCCGAACGGTATTTTAATAAATATTTCTTAAAGGGGATTTACCATAAACGCCGTGTAAATTAAGTGTAATTGATATCGAATTTCTTGAATGCGGGATTTATTAAATTGTACTCGCAGATTCACATTTATGTCCCGTAATTAGTTGAGTGATTTTTACCAGTCGTATTAAATTATTTGGTATCACGTTTGGAGTGAGTGGCAACAGTGATTGTGCGATAGCGAAATTTAATTTATCACCACTGTCCGTGGACTCCTGACATAAAATGCTCATTTTTAATTACTTACCAGTTAAATTCAGCCCTGCCAAGTTGGAGGTGAGCCCCTGCAAGGAATCGACGCCCGAGTGGTTGTAAATTTGCCCGGCGGTAAAAACAGAAGGGTTGAGTCCCGTCTCGACGCCTCTGCCGCGCAAAATCGTCGGCTGCTGCTGCTGCGCCTGCTGCTGCTGCTGGCGCGACTTCAACACGATGCTGCAGTTGTTCACCGTGGCCAGGATCGCCTCCTGGCACTCCAGCGAGACGGACGAGATGGCCGACTGCAGGCAGACGACCATCGTCGTCAGCGTCTCGTTGGGCAGCTGCGCGTTCTTCACGTTCGACGGGTCGTCGTTCTTGGCGATCGCAGGGATGCGGCGGTGCAGAAACTTGATGCACGCCATCACGAACGGCTCGCCGTGCTCGCGGATCTTGTCCGAGAGCCACTTTTCCAGCTTCAGGTACTCCCTGCGCGATGCGAGGCAGGCCAGGTCGATGATGAAGGGGTACGATTGCGCGTTCTGCGCGTTGAGCAGCATCGAGAGAGCTTTCAAGTCCTGGGCCACGTCCAGGATGCGGGACAACCTTGTCTGGTCGCATTCCCCTCGGACGTACCTGGAGATGTAAACAACGGGTTTTTAAGATTTGAAAAAAACTGTTTTTTTTCAAATCCGCTACAATAAAGCCTATTCTGTCCATAAAGCATTTTTTCAATATGAAATTTTGAGCAAAACGTAAAGTTCATTTTTTTATCGGGTCCAGGATTATTAATGATCAGTAACTTGCAAATTGAAAGAATAAAAAGTTTCGTGATTATTGCTTATCTAATCAAACCAAATTGAAGCTATTTTCAAAGGCAGGAAAATTAACTGCTAGATTTTTCACAAAAAGGTTGAACCTAACAGCAAATAATTTTTTTTTTATTTCCCCCTTAACTCTTTAAAATTTCAAATATTTGATCTTCTTAGTTGAAATAATGTGGGATTTAATATTTGTAAAACCAAAAACGTTACTTTTTTAGTCCAAAAATGTCCATAAGGCGATGTACTTTTTCTGCCATTTGGCATAACTTCATTAAAAAGTTTTGGCCTTAAAAGTTCTTTAACTTTAAAATCTGATATTATTTTTGGCATAGTTATCTTTTTATATTGATATTATCACAATCCACACAACAAGGTCTGTTCTATCTCGTAATAAAAATACTAAAAATCACTGCAACACTGCACAGAGTTTAACGGCGGCCATTTTTGTTGTTTACAATTCTTGTGCTTTGGGTTTGTGCTGTTTAATAACTGTTTTTATCGTTGGGTTTCTTACAGAGGCACTTGTAAGCCTCAAATAAGGCCTTTAAGTGCAAGGACAACCATTTTACTCCTCTTTTATATTAAATATACCTTATTCTATCAGGGCTGCCAAATGACAATTTGAAGGTTAATTTGTGGGTTATTATTTAACCTTAAAATTGACATTTGACAGTTTTATAACAGCCCTGATAGAATAAAGTTTATTTTTTACAATAGAGGAGTAAAATGGTTGTTCTTAGCACTTTAAGGCTTACTATGAGAAACACAACGTTTAAAACGATTATTAATCTGTATAAACAGAGCACAAACCCAAAGCACAAAAAATGTAAACAACAAAAATGGCAGCCGTTAAACTGTGCAGTGATTTTTTGTATTTTTAGTACGAGATAGAACAGACCTTGTTGTGTGGATTGTGGATATTATATAATATAACAGGCAAATAATCAATAATAAATATTACTGTCAATTTGACAGTGTCAGAGTATTTGATTAAGGTCTTCAACAGATGTACCATTTTAAAAATACTAAAAATACTATATCAAACTGGCAAAAGCTACCAACTTAATAAAAAAAAGAACTGTACCTATATTAATAATAAAAAGAAATTTATAGGTCAATTCTGGGTTCTCTCGTAAAATTTCTGTAAATTCGTAAATCTATAGCTTACGGTGATCTGTAACTATAATGCTTATAGAATCGTAAAAGTGGCAATTCTGGGATGTTATCTGTAAATGTCTAATTTAAAGTAGTATAAACGAACTACTGCAACTTCACGCCTATTTACTTACGATCAAAATAACCTATATTTTTATATGTATTATTTGGTTTATCCACAGTTTATCGGTTTTCATTTATGTATCAGCATATAATATAATACAAAAAGTAAGAAATTTAAACTGGTTGAGGAATAAAATGAGGTAAGATAATTTTACATTTAAAAGAACATATAATATATAATGAATAAAATTGTTAGTGCGTTGAGTGAAGAAGTCAATGAATGGTTAGTGGTAACGCAAAAGCAACAAAGAGAAAAAGATAAAAAAACACCACTCCTCAACAGTTGAACGATATTTAGATGCAATGGATGGAGATTATCCATTGGGCCAACCATGGCAGGATAAATTTGAGCAAGGAGCAGAAAATCAACAAAAACATTTTGAGACTATTAAAAACTATTTAGAAAATTATATAAAGCTGAAAGAGGAACAATTAGGATTTGAAATGAAAAAAATTAAATTTTTAAATCCAAATTTTGATATTTGACCTATTAATTTTTGAGTAATTAGAATATTTATTTATTTTGTTGTTTATTTCTTTTTTGACCGAGTAGGCTGTGGTTTATTTTTTTTTTAAGAATAGGTATTATTTTATTTTATTTTCATACCTATGTAAAATAAAAATATAAAGTTTCTGTATTAATACAATTATTGTTTTATTTAGTCAAAATTGAAATTATTTCTAATGTAGTTGGCCCAGGCTGCTTGTCCCAATTGATAAATATTACCATAATCATATCCACATTAACATTATTAAAAATATTCATGTTTTTAATCTTTAAAATAGCTTTACATAACCTAACAAAAACAAACTGTAACTAGCAACGATTGGGAAACACCCGATCGTAAATATTTACGATTCTATAAGATTTTCTGTAAGCTACAGGAAGCGCAGAATTGCAAATTGTCTATAAGCTTATAGAAAGTTACAGATTTGCTTATAGATGCTTACAGATGTGCGCAGAATTGACCTATTAGAATATGTGATCTGGACTACGGACTAAGATAACAAGTCGTGTGCGTGCGTCGCGTTTGTATTTGCGCTTCTACCTCTTCTTTTTTCGTCTTACCCTTGGCTCTCCACCTCTATTTAGACTTCCACTATAAAGTGGTGCTTTTTCAATAAATATTTTTGTACCTTATTCAATTCTTGATTTATATAATTAAAGTTTAAACTTTAAGGATGATTTCCAGCAAAAGTTTCAAACTTAGGAGTCTGCGGTTTGTTCCATTGAAAAATACGTTCAATTTTCTATAAATTTCGATCAAAAAACAAAAATTGATCCTTCCGACCATAGGTACCTTTCTATAGTCCAGGTCACATACAAAAAAGTCATTTTGTGTTGATTTTTTTAATAAAAATAATTGATTTTTGTTTTTTATTTAATCATGATTTTTTCGAACCGTCAAAATTTTCAATAATGGAAAATGTAATACAGACACTCGGGAACCTGACGATTTTAAAATAAAAATCAACAAAAATCAACAAAAACGATTTTTTTTTAATTATAGCTTTTTTATAATTAAGTATTGGTACTATTAAAAAAATACTAAAAATAACTTGACTATAATATTATATTGGCACTACTTTATAAACAAATAAACTACCGTCCGCAGCTGTCATATATTTTTTTGTATTATTTTTGTTATTAATTAAATAATAAAGGAATGGCCTTTTCAACACTGCTACGGTCTAGACGTAACAGTTTCTCCGCTCTGAACTATAAACAATTATAAAGTGCATAGTCGGTGCATTTAAAACCTAACCTAAAAGTTTAAAAGCGCAAAGTGAACTGCCACCCCTCCTGCCGAAGTCACGGAACCATCCACCTGAACAGGTAGTTCAGTTTTCAACTGATTTAAATGATTGATTAAAATAAAAAAAAACCTAAAATAAGAAAAAAACAGACTTACCATTCCGCCATCGCGTGCATTATGACCGGCTTGATGTTGATGTTCTGCGTGTGCCACACGTTGTGCAGGATGATGGCCGAGTTGGGGTGGTTCCCCAGGAAAATCGGTATCAAGTTGGTGAGCAGCTCCTGCCGCAAGATCGTGATCTGCCCCGAGATCTGCAGCAGCGCGAGCACTAGAACGTCCGGGCAGTTCACCATGGGAAACTTGAACAGCTCCTGCACGTGGCTGTACAACCCGCACTCAGACATGTTCAGCAGCAACTCAATCAAATTGAGGGACCGCCAGTTGGCTAACTCTTTGCTGTCCTGTTCGGGGGGCGTTTTTAGTATATCCACCGCGACCGAAACGCAGGGGTAATCCGCGAAACAAAACACATCAGGGTTTTTAAGGATGTTCTGCACGAGGCTGAACTGCCCCTCGAAATTCGTCCACCTCTTGTAAAATTGATCAATAGGGAACGTCTCGGGGTGAAACCCCACCGACTGGTGCCCCTGTCTGATGGCGTTGATCAATAACGCCAAACCCTGCCGGTCTTTAACTAAAAACTCCGGGTGATCCAGTTCCGCCACAACACTATTCCACTGAAAGTTCTGCACGACCTCCTTTAGAGCCTGCACAAAAACCTCAATGTTCCACGTGGATCTGTCCACAGAGTTCTTGTTGAAGGAATCATCAAGGCCACTGTGCGTTCGGCTCATCACTGAAATAACCCGCGCGACCACCCCGGGGGAGATATCCCGTCCCCCGAGCTTCAACAGGTGGCTCCTGCATTCCTCCACCGAAGCCGTGAAGGCGTACCCCACCTCACTGATGACATCGGCTAGCGACGTCTCCAACATACCCCCGGCCAACCCGGGGCCGTCCGATGACATTTCGCTGTGTTCCGGGTACACTAGGGGGGAGAGCACTATGGGCACAAGTTCCTTGGGGAAATCTTTTTGCAAAGTGTTCAAAAACGTCGTGTGCACACTGTTAGTCAGTCCCACCTCTTTGGGGGTTTTCAAAACGGCTGATAAAATCAAGTGGAGGACTTCAGGGGTTGTCTCGTCGAGCCCTCCTTCCTGCTGCCGGGAGCTGCCCTCGCTGTCAATATAGGATTGCACGAGGACTGGTACGCTCTGCCGCAGGTGGTTCTGAGCCAAGTTGGCGACTTCCGGGTTGGAGGAGTGCCGCAGAGCAAGAGCAAATACGACTTCCTGGACAGCCGAGAGGCGAAGGCACTTGCCCAACTGAACGAAGAAATGGGGGCCGAGTTTTAAGGTCTGAAAATAAATGGGGTTGGTGAGTTTTTCCGGCCAGTCAGTTTGACAGCTTACCTTGTGGTTAACTAGTGGATTGTCTGTGATATAACAAACAGATGTTAACAATGATGGCTTGTTGAGCAGATTGGAGCACTGATTGAATAAAACCTGGCTTTGGATTGATGTGGGGGCTGAATTCTTGCTGCTTGGAGACTCAGAAAAGTCCACAGTCGAAAACAGACATTGGAGCAAGTGACGGTCCGCCTCCAGACCATGCAAAGTGACTAGCTGTTATGAAAAATTATCGATAAATAACATTTATTAACTTTGCTAAAATAATGTAAAAGAAAATAGGCAACATCCATTGATAATTTTAATGACATTTTACTAGGAAAACGCAACAAAAAACAATAATCAAAACACCTTTGTTCATGATTCTGCACTCGGTCGGTAACAAAGTTACCAAAATTTTATGCGAATATGGCGGATCGTCTAATTTGTCACTCACAATATTTTCACTTTACCTAATTTCTACGGCATCATAAACGATTTCGCTTACCTTTGTAAGGTCCCCAGTTACTTGCTTCTGGTTCTTTTTAGTCAAAGATGCAACTAAATAACTGATTTGTGACAAAGTAAAAGACAACGAGTCTAGGTTCATAGTTCCATGAACACGGCCTCGAAAGCTTCAAATACGTTTGAAGCTTTCTTACGTACGCACGGGCCTTTAATCCACAAAGTCTTATTTGTTTTTGAAAATAAACTAAATTTTAAATGGTCCAAGACCATCATCGAAACTTTAATTAACTTTCTCCACTTCAATTTACCACAATCATCGTAGAAACTCGATCACGCAACACACAACACATGCACAAAATAAAACAAAGTTCACACAATGCGCATGTCGCTACACCGTTGTCAAGTCGTACAACTTTTCGGATTATCCACTGAAATTTATATTCAATACGATTTTTTTTAAACATACCAATAAAAAGCATAATTATATAAATCAAAACGTTAAAAAATAGTAATTTATAATTGTTTTTATTGGTAAATTACTTGCTAAAGAAACATAAAAACCGTTTGTTTTTAAATTTGGCAACGTTGCTTCTCCCGTCAAAGTTGCAAACTTATTTATGGCCTTATTTTTACCTTTTTCCTTTTATATTCTTTAATAAATAAGCCATACCTTGTATAACTATATTTAAACGTTAAAATTAGTATTCCCAATATTTTTTTGAAGCTCCGCTGTCAAAATCTAGATGTCACTAATGTCAAAATTCAAATCTCAAGATCGTTCGTTTTTTCGTCAGTTTAGCAAAAAGATTAACAAAAAGCACCATGTTCAAATATGTTGTCTTCCAGAAATAATTTAAACCGTTCCGTCTCGTCCCCGGACCTTTTGAAATCGCTTGCAAACGAGAATAGGTGTCAGGGATTACCGGTTGTAAGAAAAGTGGTGGTAGAGCAATATTTTAATACAGATTTCTCGCCAATTTCTTATCGTCAAATCAGCTGTGAACAAATTTACTGTAAGTCTAACATATTTTTGTTGTTTAAGTGTGTTGTAACGTTTTATTTTAGCTCCTATAACCTCTGCAAAGGAGTATCCAAAAATAAAAAGGAATTTGCCCATAAATCGCGATATCTTTGACACTACATTGGACAGTAGTTTACACAGCAATCTAGACGAACCAAGATATTGTAAATATAATCAAGAGAGCTATAAAAATGATGTGATTCCCATGGACATTGATAATAATGAGTTTATAGAAGATTTGAGTAACAAAGACTTTGACAAGACTCTCTGTGATCAAAAAGACAACAACATGTATGAAAAAGTGCCAAGAAAGCACAATTATATTAAAAATTTAAGAACCAATCAGCTGGAACCTATTACAACTGAATCTGGTCTTAAAAAAAGAACTGCCTATAAGGAAAACAGGGATTTTACAGATGATGATGACTATGACTATATCCCTTCAATTCCAATAATAAGAGAAGAGGAGTCGATTAGTTTAGGGACATTAGTAAAATGGTTTTTCTTGATTATTGTTGCATATGGTGCTTATGAAGTTTATACAGGTGATTATTTCATATTCGTGAATAGTGAATTGCAGTTGGCAAACATTAAACATGACTTGGAGACTTTGGTCTACAACCAAGCTGATTCCATTAGAGCAATTGCTAATAGTTTAGAAGAAAGACCTAATTGGCCCAACAAACTCAAGGTTGTAGGGTTTATTGGAACATCGGGGGTAGGAAAAACTTACATTGCCAATATAGTTAAGAAATATTTTCATCCCAGACTCGTGCACGAGCTGAATGGTCATAATTTGGGAAAGATGGATAAACAGAAAACAATTGTTGACGGTATTAATCCTTCATCTTGTAATTTAATTGTTATCGATGATTTGCATAAGGATGATTCTGATGCTGTGTTTGCGTTTATTGATAGTTTGCCTAGGGATAGTTTTATCTTAGTTTTATGTATTTACAATATTCAGTATGGTGACGATAATTTGGATTTTTACGTTGATTATAAGGGGATTGATGTGATTAGAAAGAAGTTTGAGGGGTCAAAATTATGTCATGATCTTGTTGTTTTAAATGAACTTAATATTGATTGGGGGAGAAAATATTTAGAGAAAATTTCCAGCAGTAAAAATGTTGGGAAAGATGTTTATGATAAAATCATTTATGGTTTGTTGAAAAATCATAAATTTGATAGTTACGGGTTAAAAGGACTGTATCCAAAATTAATGACTGAATTAGAAAGTGTAAATAAATATAATTGACTGTTAATTTTATCTTTTGTATGTAATAAAAGTCCTTGATTTTAATCTACAAAATTTTTATTTCATAATATCCAACAACTAAAAATAGATGATAAAAATGTGAGACCTACAACTAACATGCATAAATGAGTACAAGTGATGAGACTACAAATTTAGTTTTTAGTCGACTTCTAATTTTCTGAAATTTCCTGTTATACCGCATAGAGAATCGCGTTCTGATCCACATGAGACCCCCATGCCCCCCTTGAGCGCGGAAACAGCCCCCTCTTTTGCCTTGGCGCTGAACAAATTTTCGTCGACCTCCATTTTATCGTGCGACATAAGGGTGGGGTGCGTTTTTTTCAATTCTTCCTTCCAAAGCCCTAAAAAAATAATAAATAGATTTATTTCAAAAAAATTAATGTAATAAATTAAAACTTTTTTTCTAAAGTCTAAAAATAATTTATAATAACCTTTATCCTACCACTGATCGACTAGGAACTCTGGGCTAATCTGGTTGCCTAATTTAATTTATTATGTTATGGTTGGTAGCAACCAGCTTTTCCAGATTCTGTCAAAAAAAGTTGCCAAATTTTGTTTAAATTTAGCTTAATTACAAAAATGTAAATATCTTAACTAATAGAAGTGCTTTTGGATTTATTTACACTATAGTGATGAAAAAAATAATTTCTTGGAGTTTTTAAAATAGGTACTAAATTTTCTAATAATTACTTAAGCTAATAGCTGGATGAGTAAATAAATACAGAAGGGTATTAAAGCTTTAAAGGCACAAAACTTTTGTATTGATTTTTTATTTATTTTTTGCAAGAAAAATTTGTATTAACAATTTTTTACAACTTTAAATTTAAATAACTACAAATTTACTAATAAGTCAACTTTAAAGTATTTTTTGCGGTTAACCAAAATGGTTTTATAACGGTATATATACGAAAAATTACCAAATTTCGGGAATGGTTTATTTCGTTATTTTATAATAACCTTTTTGATCTACTAAGAAAATAACGTAATAAAAACAATATAAATACCACAAATTTACGTAAAAATAACGCTATAATTACTAACTGTCTGCTCTCTCTTTCTAAAACATTGACATTCGTAATTTCTTTGTTCTTTTAATTTATATTTTACAAAATGGTACTTACAAAGTAATAAAGGCCACCCTAGAGTAAAATTAAAAAATATAACTTAAATGGTCAAAACTAATAACATTTTGCATTAAAACTCAAACGCACATTATTTTATTGATAAAAATAGGCAAGATGCATCTTAAAAATTATATGCCCTCTAAATATTTTACTGTTTTAAGAAAAATTATTGCTTGGGTAAAAATTCAACAAAACTTAAAACCTACAAAATTTTATAAAATCTTTTAAAAATTATTTAGTTTAAATCTTTTAATTAACTAAAACTTCCTTATTATATTTTAGAAAAGTATTTATGAAAAAATATTATTTATATTTATAAATGTTTAGTTAATTAATGGATGTCATCTTAAAAAACTCATTATGGCGACCTGAACAAAATTTTCCCTTAAGTTTTATTTTTCACTTTAAGCTCATTTTTTCTTGTTTAGTCAATATTAATAGTAATAATAATAATAATAAACTTTATTGGAAATCCAAATGGCTAACGACTTTCGTCTTCCTGCCTATAAATAGTATTTATTACCACTAATAAGTTATTAGTAATAACCCTAAAAAATACCAGGCGAATAAGAATTATTTATAACCGTATACGGTTATAAAGTGGTCTTAATATCGTAAAATTATACTTGAGTTACATTTACCACTTAGTAAAAATTCTGACGTTAAAATTACCGTTAAATTTTTCTTTATGAGAAATAAACTTTTAAGTAATTTTCTTTCGTAAAAATTACTTCCCTTATAATACTTTAAAGTGTTGAAACTTAAGGGTTATTAAAATAGACAAAAATAACATAAACAAAACTAAAAAAAGTTTTACTTCAAAGAAAATTTTTAAGGTAAAATTAACAAAATATTTACTTAAATTAATAATATTGCCTCAAAGCTCTATGCTTTTACTTAAATGCTGCTTGGGAACGCGCAGCTACTTAATAGGTATCTATGTACTCACAGAACACAAGTGTGTAACCAGTGGCGTATCACAAAAAATATAAAAAAAACTTCTAATGAATATTATCTTTGGGAAAATACTTTTTTAAATATTTTTCCATTGCACCTTATTTCAAAAGGTATTCAGTATTTTAATATATTACATTAATTACATAACACCCTGTATTTAAGAACATCCCACACAGAACACGCTATCCAATGGATATCCAATGGCTATCCCAATGTCCATATAACATCCATGCCTTTTACGATATCCATTGGATATCCAATGGATATCCATACTGGATGTTCAAAAAAAAACAAAAACATTAAAAATATTTTTTTCTTTTTTAAAATAGCCCCTTATAGGATAAATTTATGTAATGATTAATAAATATGATTTAAATCGTTATTAACCCATTTCAACAAAGTATCTCTAATATATATCCAATGGATAACTAATGTATGTCCAAAGTATATCCACTGTACATCTAATGTATATCCACTGGATATCCACTGGATATCCGATGGATATCCATACTGGATGTTCAAAAAAAAACAAAAACATTAAAAATATTTTTTTCTTTTTTAAAATAGCCCCTTATAGGATAAATTTATGTAATGATTAATAAATATGATTTAAATCGTTATTAACCCAATTTCAACAAAGTATCTCTAATATATATCCAATGGATAACTAATGTATGTCCAAAGTATATCCACTGTACATCTAATGTATATCCACTGGATATCCACTGGATATCCAATGGATATCCATACTGGATGTTCAAAAAAAAAACAAAAACATTAAAAATATTTTTTTCTTTTTTAAAATAGCCCCTTATAGGATAAATTAATGTAATGATTAATAAATATGATTTAAATCGTTATTAACCCAATTTCAACAAAGTATCTCTAATATATATCCAATGGATAACTAATGTATGTCCAAAGTATATCCACTGTACATCTAATGTATATCCACTGGATATCCACTGGATATCCGATGGATATCCATACTGGATGTTCAAATAAAAACAAAAACATTAAAAATATTTTTTTCTTTTTTAAAATAGCCCCTTATAGGATAAATTTATGTAATTATTAATAAATATGATTTAAATCGTTATTAACCCAATTTCAACAAAGTATCTCTAATATATATCCAATGGATAACTAATGTATGTCCAAAGTATATCCACTGTACATCTAATGTATATCCACTGGATATCCACTGGATATCCGGTGGATAACTGATATGGATATCTTGTATATATACTTGTATGTATACATGTGGGATTTTGTGATGGTTTAAACTAGCATATGTAAAAAAACGACTTTACGTTAAATTGATTTTTTGCCAAGAGCTACGAAATTTTTAATTTTGAAATGTTCACTTTACCCAGATAATAATATTTATATATTAATAATATTATTTCTGTTAATAATATGACTATGACAGTCTGCAATACAATAAAAAATTACTTAAAAAAGTCCTTTTTGTTTATTATTGTATTTCATATATGTACTACGCACGCGCTGAATTTGAGAATCTTCAGTGTTGCCGGTTATAAGCAAAATAACTAAACGAAATATATTTCCGTACTTTATTAAGTTTTAATAAATAAATTAAATAAATTTAAAATAATTATTCACCACATTTATGTCAAATAGGTATACTAGGTATACTAATTAATTAAGTATTAAAGATTTAATAATATAACCGCCATTTTGATGAGCTTTCTGAAATTATTTAAACGTCTGACAACACTGCCGGCGAACACAGAAGATAAATGTCACCATATTACCTTGCCGCTGCATCTCGCCGCTGTCCAGGTCGCCCAACTAGTATATAGGTGGGCGGTTGCTTGGCTTGAAGCGTGTCTAGGAGCGTGTCTCTCGGCACCAACTGCCTGACACTGATGAGACCCAACAGGTCGAAACAGTCTGTCTGTCAGTGTTGGTGGGCATGGTACATTAGTCATTGTGCCATGTTAAACAAATGGGCTGATGGATTGGCCAAATTTTGGGGATCATAAGGAGACAGGTGAAATAGGCCCTAAATGATTAGGCTGATAAAAAGGCAAATGACAGCTGGAGGAGTGATGGCAAGCACTTCTTTAGTTATATGTAGTTTTCTGTTCTATATTATGTTTTCATAAAAATAAATATTTAAATTAAAGAATAAGACTTTTATTTTAAAACCCAATGTTATTTATTGAAAAGTAAATATCCATTGATTCACCATATCCAATACAGATGACAACCATATTGCATACAATACTATATCCACTGGGTATCCATTGGATATCCACACTATGTCCAGGAGGGTCGGACATTTATATATCCAATGGTTATCCATTGGATATCCATACAATCTCCATATTGAATACAGATTACAACCTTATTGCATACAATACTATATCCACTGGGTATCCATTGGATATCCACACTATGTCCAGGAGGGTCGGACATTTATATATCCAATGGTTATCCATTGGATATCCCGGATATCCTATGTATATCCTGGATATCCATAAAAGAAATCCATTGGATATCCATTGGATGTAATTGTTCCGTGTGGGATTAGAAATTAAATATTTTCAAAAATTGGTAAAAGATTAATTTACCTATCATTTCGCTCATTGGCATTTGACCGCCGTATTCCTTTGGCAAGATATCAACTTCCAAATGTCCACTATCGATAGCCTCTTGCATGTTGGTGTATAGCCTCACTCTTTTCTTAATTTTTTCGGATATTAAAGACATGCCAAAATCCAGTGCGAACTTCATTGAAGGGTGTGCGTTGATTGCGTGTACCTCCTTGTGTCTCATTGGTAAAGTTTTCTACAACAAAATAGTTGGCTATGAATGCACGCTTACATCACACCGCTGTTCTGTTTATCTTTGCATATATAAGCAACCTGGTGGTAAGACTAATTTGTCATTATACAATATAAAATAACTTTTATACAATTACTCATTACATATGTAATGTGTAATTGTATAATTTTATACAATTTAAAAGAACTTGTTCTTACTTCTCCGTTTTTGACGATCCTCACCGCTTCCTTGATTGTGAAGAGTGTGAGATATGAGAAACCGACTCCTTGACCATCGGCAAAATGTACGAAACCTCTGATTTGATTTTCCTCGTCCTCCATTAGGCTTTCGTATACGATTCCGTGGATACGACACATGTCACCGTTGGTAAATTTGTCCAGATCAAAGACGCCTTTGCAAAAAAATGTTTTAAAATGATATTCAAGATTTTTTTTTTAATAAATATGCTATTGGAATCTTAACTTTTTATATATCTAATCCTTGAGATATTTAAAAAGTTGTGCAAGTCTGTAAATTAAATATTTTTAAATGAAATAGGTAAAAATGTAATTATTTAGTTAATGTTAGTGTTGTAAGTTCTATTAAAAGTTAAGTTTTTAATTTTATGGCCATTTATGGTAAATATGTGTGTTAAAAACATTATAAGATAAAAGATAATAAGTCATTTCCTTCGGATATTTTTATGGTTTTTCATATTAATTATACAGTTTTGTGCTAAAATAAATAATTATAAAAATATACAATGTTAATATCATTACAAAACATTTTCAACCTGTACATTACAATAAATAATTATTAAATATTAAATTTAAAACTAATAAATAAACTAATATTTAAAAAAAATTATACAGGGTGTCCCAAAAACGGCGTACAGTGTTCCACACTATTATTTTAAGTGTGGATAGATAATAGTTATTTACGTGTCAAGCTTTGTAAATGAATCTTTACGGGCGAGCTGGAAGTTTGTGGGGTGAGCGACGCAGGAGCGAACCACATAATCCAGTGAGCCTAGTAAAGATTAATTGCAAAGCGTGACACGTACAAACTTTTATTTTCACCTTTAGATAACGATTTTCAAATTTAAAATTTTAATTAATATGTCAAATGTGACATTTCATTTCATAAATTGCTTTTTACAAGCCTGTAAAACTTTACAGGTCTTTTATACAAGCCCGTAAAATATTACAGGTCTGTTCCCATAATGTATCGTTTACTTGGATACAAAAACAACAAAATTAACCTATAAAATGTCATTTACCAAGAAGGTGGAAATAAAAATACAAAATGGTTTAAAAATAAAATTTTAACATGAAAAACAATTTTCTAAAAACGTTTAAAAAATAAACATTTAAAATGTGTTAATATATTAACCATTAAATAATTTAAAGTTATTTTTTTAAATTTTGACTAGGAGTTTCGTTACTTAATTAATAATTACTTTGCCCCTTAATTTTTTGTGCACGCTCATGCATTTTTTGAATTATTTTGTTAGTTTATTATTTATTTATTCTACAGCTCATATTATTCAATCTTGATAAATACCATTTAATTCTTACCACTGAAAAATGAATGATATGATGTAAAAACATGGAATATTTATTAATTTTATATTAGACAATTGACAAAAAATATTCCAATGAATTTATTATAATTTACAAAAAAAAATAATTTAAAACAATAAAAATTATAGGAATTGTAAAAAATTAACTGAAAAAAATTAATTTATAACTAACCTAGAGAGCTATCTAGGTAAAATAAAAAATATTGACAGGGTCATTCCATGAAAAACGATACCAAGGGTGATAAATAAATATGTTCTTTTCGCATTAAATCTGATGAATTTTGAAAGAAAACATTCCAATTTATAACAAGCGACAAAAAAAACTAGAAGTTAATTAGACTTAAAAATCTGTACTCAAGTGAACTGGCTGAATGACCATTGTGCCTCTAACTTTGAAATACGAAAAAAAAACTGTCAATCTGTCAACCGTTTTGCCTCATTGTGATTTGAGATTATTTATCGTAGTATTGGTGGATTGCGTCACAGTCCCGAAAAAATTGATAATTATCACGTTATAAGTGTGTTTTCTTCTTACTTTGCCACTGTAACACCCGAAACGAAAAATCATTCAATTGTTTTATTATTATACCTTACAGATTGATTAGTGTAATAATATTTAGTAAAAGTAACGTTATGGTGGTAATGATTTAAAATATTAACCAATATCTGAGCATGACACTAATTTGATATGTGTTTTTCTTGATTAAAAACTGTACCTAACACCCGAAACGTACTAATTTTACAATTTAGATAAAACAACTAAAAACGTAGAGAATAAGGCATTAAATTTAGACTTTGGTTGAACAAAATTTAATGTAACACCCGAAACGATGGAATGACCCGTCAAATAACAATAATAAAATTATAAAAAATAAAATAATAAATCTTCCATGTTATTTGCTTTTTAAACTCTGACCTGGTCTTGCGACAATCACCCTTCTTCCTTTGCTGTCTCTTTTTGGGCATGCGAACAGGTAGCCCAAGTTGGTGAGCTCCTCCATCATGGGTATCGTGATGTCCAAACAATTGAAGGCTACGCCGAACGTTTGGCGGAGCAACAGGTATCTTTCCAGCGCCTCCTGAGCCTGGGTTACGCTGTACTTTTTGAAACGGAGGAAGCGTAGCAAGAAACGGGAATCTAAAAATGTTATTGTTATTAATGTAGAAAAATTGAAAATAATATTTTCCATGATATACCTATTTAGGTATATCCACAATCCACACAACAAGGTCTTTTCGATCTCGTTCTAAAAATACTAAAAATCACTGCAACACTGCACATCATTCAATGGCGGCCATTTTTGTTGTTTACAATTCTTGTGCAATGGCCGCCATTAAATGATGTGCAGTGTTGCAGTGATTTTTAGTATTTTTACTACGAGATCGAACATACCTTGTTGTGTGTATATCATAATTTAGAAAAATACAAAAAATGCATTTTTCTACTCCTATTACGGAATTTGACCCTTCTAATATCACTTTTATCTATGGAATGACATATATTCCGTAAAGTGTTACAGAATGAAACATGATGACAGAATAAACACTCGTGGCGACATCTCTGTTTTTAATATCTAAGAAATTTTAGACCGATCCAACCTCACTTTCTTTTAATTAAATTATTTTTCTATGGTATTTTATGGAAACGTAGAAAAAGTATAGTCTGAAACACGTTTGGAATTGCATATTCCGCTCTAGTGAAACCGTCAAACTCGCCTTCGGCTCGTGTGACAAACTCTTCACTCGAGCGGAATATGCTGTATTCCAAACTTGTTACAGAATATACTATTATTGCATTAAAATGTAATTTACATAATACTATTTTATCATATTATTTAGATGAATTAATACTTAGAAAACCTTTTTTAAATTTAAATTAATTCGATTTTTAAATATTAATCCCGGCGCATTCGCCAATTTTTACAAAAATTATCAAAAATGTCGACAGTTTGTAATAAAGGTGGTTTGTAAATATTATAATTTTATCAGTTATACTACAGGTTTTATGCTTAGATAGAAAAAAACATATTTTTTATGAGCACAAAATGAAAGTAAGGACATTTTACATACTTTACAGTTATTATAATAACTGTAAAGTAAAAAATATAAGTATTCAATTTTATTATTTATTTTATGTAAAAGAAAAACTAAACCATTTTAACTGTGGAGAAAATTTGGAAGAGTTGAGTAAAAAAACTATAAATGTTATCGATTTAAAATATTTTCATACAGGATGCACCAGTATTATGTGTATTATTTTATTAGCTAGCGGTTCCATTTCACGGAGAGAAATGTATGGTAAATTTTAGATAGTAAAAAAATATAGTAAAATTTACTTTAACAAATTTTTAGGGTAACAATATTATATATTCGTCAATACAATATTAAGATTGTAATACAAAATACAATTTTAGTAAAGATTACAATACCAATATTACTAAATCATAAATGTATAATATATATTTTAATTTTTAATATGTTCGTATAGTAAATTTATTTTACTATCTACAAATAGTAATATTTACTATATGATTTAATCAAATGTAAGTTGTACATCTAATATTATAATATATTACACATTAATAAAAAATATAATAAAAATAAAGATACTTTTATGTATAAGGTAAATAAACAATATATTTAAATATAGTATACAATATAGTAACTCATGACATTTTAAACATTTAATTTTCTTAGTTTCTTCAATAAACTTTCTTGACCCATTACTGGTAATACTTATAAGAAAGAATTGAACCTACTTGGTTGCATAGTATGTACCGATTGCGGCAAAGGCCACGTCGCGACGCGTCGTTAGACGGTGTGGATCACGTGATGTTCTTACATCTCGCCTCTGTTTGTTGGCTTACCAACCATGTTATATAAGCTCAGGTATTTCTTTGTTTTGGGTGTGTTCCACTACTACAAGTTGCTCGACAGTGTCGTGTTGACACTGGTGATACCCAATATAGGTCAAAACACCTGTCTATCGCAGTGGCGTAACAAATTCTGAGTGGGCCCCCCCGCAAACGATTTTAATGGGCCCTCTTTACAATAATTAAAAAGTTTATTTAATAGTTAATTTTTAAAATAGTTTATCATAGTACTTTTAAAGCTACATTATATATATAATATTTTTTAAATTAAAAATTTTGACAGGTAGGTATAGAGTATATACGATAGACAGACATACGATAAGCAAATAAAAAAGGATTAGGTAAGAAAAATTGCTGTATCTGCAATTTTTGGTAGTAAAACATAAAATATTTAATTAATTTTGGTTTAAAAATATCTTATTCTACATATATACCTTTTTTATGCTGGATCATTTTTGTAATTCTATAATATATAATATCTTATTAAGATTCTTTTAAAAAAATATTTAAATAATAATTACCTAAACATTTTCTGTTCTTATTACCAAATTTTGCCTTTCTTAGAACGGCAGTATTATACTATTATATCAGCAATAATAACAATTTAAAAATATTAATAATTTAAAAAATGTATACATATCTTACCCAGTTAAAACCATATTGTAGACAGTCTTAAAGAAGTTAAATTAAAAAAAAATTAAAAACATAAACACAAAATGCGATTGTCTAAGTATTTATAGATTTACTACAAAAAACGGTCTGATCTTCTCGAGTTTTTTTTGCAAATTCAGTTATAATATTGTCAATGTTTAATGTCTTAATAAACTCATGTTCAATACTAATAATTGATAAATTACAAAGACGTTGTTTTACCATAGTGTTACGAAGATATGTTTTCACTATTTTTAGTTTCCAAAAAGAACGCCTTGGGCCCCCTGACCGTCTGGGCCCCCCCGCGGTGCGGGGTCTGCGGGGGTGCTTATTACGCCACTGGTCTATCGGTATTTGAAGTTGATGGAACGCACTCAAAACAAAAAACTTTGGCGAGGTGTAGGTTCAATTCCTTCTTATAACATTTTTTATATTAAAAAGTACAATAAATATGTTACAATTTTTAATTGCTAAGATATAAAAATATTCGATTTTAAAATATTTTATATTTAAAATGGCAACATAATATTTTAAAATTTACTATACTTTAGTAATGGAAAGAATCTAATTATAATAAGAATTAAAAACAAAATTGGTTGAGAATAATAATATTTAACCTTAAGGTTTAACATACGTGGATATTTAAAAATTACTGAATATGCATAGTATCTGGCAATATACAAGATTGTTGTCCCAAATAGTAATATAAATTATAGTAAAGGGTATTATAATTAATTACAAGCCTGAAATTTATAAATTGAAAAAAAGCCAGCGGTCAATATTTAACTTTGTTTCTGCTGGAAATTGTGAGTTAAATTAAAAGCGTTTATAATCCGTTTAAACCTATTTTTCTACAATATTTTGAACAAAATGCCACAGTGATATTTATGGCGTATTCTATTTGAAATAAGAAAGTTACTTACGGTTAAACCGAAAATGCCATTTTGTTTAAAAAATCACAAATTGGATTTTTGTGTAAATTTTAAACTAAGCAGCGTATAAAAAACTCAAGAAACAAAAATTCTGTAAATAGAAGGAACCTAATATAAATCAAATTTAACAATTTTAACATTTGTACATATTGACAAAAAACGCAAAAAACTATTTTTGTTTTTTTTCTCTCACCCATTCGACATGTCTTGATCCTGGGATTCTGCACGATCCAGTCCCTAAGGGAGGCCAGCGCCGTCTGACGGGAGTTTTCGTCTTCACGCAGCTCCTCCCTGGCGATATTCTGCAACTCCTCTGAGAGGTTGCAGACGTACTCGTCGGGATCGGTCACCCACTCGCGTTCAGACATCTCACTGGACACTTCTGCAACACGGACAAATCACCTAATGAACACTTTGTAGAAAGTCTTTACGGTATTTGTTCAATGTGGATTGGTTTCGGTATCGGTGGACAGTTTCTTGAAAAAATGCGTTGGATTATTCAATAAATATCTGACTTACTTAGTAGTTATGTTGCTACAAATGCATAACCGCATGATCGCTTTCAATATTTATTGATACTTGCACGCGTCGTGGTAATAGTTTTATTTTATACAAGTAACTTTTACAAGCATGTTTAACTTTTTGTTATAAAATAATGCATAATATAATTTCAGTGAGAATATTCTTAGGATCATGCTATATTTCTTCTAAAGAACATGCTTAAAAGACATATAGCATGATCCTAAGAATATTCTTACTGGCCTATAGGCAAGTTCTTAGAAGGTGCAAAGTTTTATTGGTAAAAATTAGTCTACTCTAAACATATGCTTAGAATGTTAAGAAAGTAATTGCTCTAAAAAGTTCATTTAGGAATATTCCTGTTAAGCATATTTAGTTCAGTTACCTATATAATAGTAAAATATACCATAAACTATAATTACGTAGTAATTAGTATTAAATACTAAGTAAAAAAACAATCCAAAATATTTTTTTTATAGTTATTTGACAAATTAAAACAATATTCGATAACAAAAATACTTTTTCTATATGTTTTTTATTTTATGTTAAAAATAATTATTTATTAATTTGTATACCGATTTTTTATTTCTGAATTAACATTTTTATGTATAATAATCCTATAGGATAGTTATAACTATCTTCAACTTCAATCTAATCTGACTTATCCCACAAAATTTTCCAATTTTACTTTTTATGAAATAATGTCAAAACTTATGGTTTAGAGGTCAAATTGTATATTTAATATTTTTAAATAAATATATATTAATATGTCGCAAAATTTAAGGGGACGACAAATACATTTCACTTTCATATTATGACAGTAAAGTACAACATATTAGAACGTGGGTATCTGACTTATTTGGAAATATTCTCAAAAGCTTCCTAGAAGCTCCATAAGAAACCTTCTAAGACATTCGAAATACGTATTCTTAAAATGTTCTTAGGATGCTTTTAGGAAGGTTTTAAGAAGCTTCTAAGAATCTAATTTCATCATTAAAAGGGTATCTATTGAATGTTTTAAAAGTCCCTAAGAACTTTCTTAGCAATAAGGGAAGGTTCTAAGAATATTCCATTATTCCAGGTCATATCTTCTTAGAAGATTCTTAAGGGGGGAAATCCATCAGTACTAAAATTGGTCCTCATTATGTCCTCCTCATAGGGGGAACAGGAGGTAACTTTAAAATTTCCAATGGAACACCCTATTTTTTTATTGTAGATTCGGATCATTCGACTAAAAATAGGTAGATTTTGTCTAAAACATTTTTTTATATTTGTAATAGATGGCGCTGTAATGAAAAAAAATCAATTTTGTTCGATTTTTCTTCTGTATACGATTCTGCAATAATTTGTCTATAAAAATGTAACTTTTTTGGTAATAATTATCTTATTAAATTAAATCTGATTTTTTAAGTACCCACGATTTCTTAACTAATATTTAAGTTTCCTTTGGTTTAAGTTTTATACATTATTTCATTCGGTGATAATTATCAATTGCGCACCATGGTCACTTTTTACCTGCCACCATTAAATCCTTTAATTTAAAGGATTATTTTTTTTGACAGTTCTCTGTATTGTTGGGACATTGTTGAGGCATTGTTGTTGAGGGAACCTACAGCGAATTACAGCGATAATTTTTTGAAAATTTTCTCTGGTAGTTGCTATATATAAAAAACAAATTAAATCTTAATTAAATGTTGTTTTATTCATTATGAAATTCTTATTTGTTAACTGTACATTTCGTCTCATGGTGCAATTCTATTGGCCGACATTTGGGACGGAAAAATAATCCCCCGAATACCACACGAGCTTCAAAATTATCTGGCATTTCCCTCAAGGTTCCCTGCAAACAAATAAAGTCGTCAAGTTTTTCAGGAAAAATCACTCGCGCTTCGCGCTCGTGATTTTTTAACCTGAAAAACTTGACTCCTTCATTTGTTTGCAACGAACCTATCGGGAAAAATACCCGATAATTTTGAAGCTCTTGTGGTATTATAAGTGATTATTATACTATTTTTAATAAAAATACCTAATTTAAGGTAAAAAAACAGTATTTTGTCAATTAATTAATTTAATCCTAATTGAGGCATAAAAATGGTATTTAGTTATAAATAATAATTATTATTGAGATATAAAGAAACTATTTATAGTTTAGCATTATTTAATCAATTTAGTTTGAAGATTAATTTGCAATCAAAAAGACCTCCTTTCGTTAAGCAGTTAATATGAATCCATAATGAATTTTTTAACGGTGGAAGAAAAAATAGAAATGATTTTGATTTATGGAGAAGCAGGCAGGAATCTTGATGATCCCAGACCGCACGGAATCTGCCTGAACATTCTGAGATTATTCCTAAAAATGCTAGAATATTTACAATCAATCTATGAATATTCCTGGGGAATATTTCAAATAAATTATTATATGAATGTTCCCGAATAATCCAGCATATTCCAAGAATATATTTGGGAATATACCCAAAACTAGATCAAAATTAACAGCTATAGCCATAGAAAAAGAATATAGCTATAGCTGCATTTTGGGCAACTGATTGATTAATGTACCTATAGGTAATATTGTTTGTTAAACAATATAGGTATAAGAGTATTAATATTATTAATATTAGAAGCCATATTGGGGTGTAAATTATTTAGTATGTGCTTATTATTACTTGTACCCACAGACCAAGTCTGTGCTTGTACCTTAAAGTATAATTAAGGTATAATTATACCTAATTAATATAATAAGTCTAGACTAGCTTGGACCTGTACGTTATATAATTTATTTATAATTATAAATATTATATACAGGGTGTCCGGGAAAAGGAGGTCAATCCGTTAACCATATATTCCTTGAGTTAAAACAATAAGACTTTCATAATACCATTTTTCAATTTAGAGCTTCATGTTCGATATACAGGGCGACAAAGTTTGAAATTTAAAACTGATTTTTTTTAATAATTCGAGTAATTGATAAGATATTAAGTTTAAATTCGGTACACTACTTCAACATAAATAGTTACATTTTTTGAGACCAACAAAACAAAAAACAATTGTCAAATAATCAAAATAGGGGGTCCAGTACTCACTGACTCCCCCTGTTTTTTAGTACGTGCGCCAATGACTTCCAAACAGTATTTTTTCAGGTAATCATTTATTGTTGAAAAATGTTTGTCTCTTATAGAATTTTGATAAAATGATTTGTTTTAGAGATAATTTGTAAAGTATGGGTCAGTCCATATCAAATTTTCGAAATTTAATTTTTTTTTTGAAAAAATTTAGGTCATGTGATATATCATAAAAAAGGTCTTTAAAATAAGCCATCACTCACCTTTCTACTTTTAATAGTTTACGAGATATCGCTATTTTTGTAAGTACTTGCAAGACCCAAATTTATCGGAATTTTTTGATTTTCAAAAATCAATAAAACAAAAACCACCTATCGAAAAAAAATCATATATGGGATTTTTGAGTTTTTTAGTGAGGTAAACAAATTTACCAAAAATTATCAAAATCGGAGATGGTGGGGGAAGAACCTTTGGTTGATTTGATATGGACTGACCCATACTTTACAAATTATCTCTAAAACAAATCATTTTATCAAAATTTTATAAGAGACAAATTTTTTTTAACAATAAATGATTACCTGAAAAAATACCGTTTGGAAGTCATTGGCGCACGTACTAAAAAATAGGGGGAGTCAGTGAGTACTGGACCCCCCTATCATTGGCGGATCCAAGGGGGGGGCGATGGGGGCGATCGCCCCCCCCGGAAGTAAGTTATCAAGTTGAAATTGAACATAACTTTTTAAATTAATATAGAAAATAATAAAAAAATGGAATAACTTTAATTTCAACTTTCTTATTATTTACAAAAATTTTCAACTCCGCCCCCCCCAATGACACATTCTAGATCCGCCCCTGCCCCCTATTTTGATTATTTAAGAATTGTTTTTTGTTTTGTTAGTCTCAAAAAATGTAACTATTTATGTTGAAGAAGTGTACCGAATTTAAACTTAATATCTTATCAATTACTCAAATTATTAAAAAAAAACAGTTTTAAATTTCAAACTTTGTCACCCTGTATATCGAACATGAAGCTCTAAATTGAAAAATGGTATTATGAAAGTCTTATTGTTTTAACTCAAGGAATATATGGTTAACGGATTGACCTCCTTTTCCCGGACACCCTGTATAATAATAATTCGTACACATGCACAAAGTATATTTATACATAAATGTGTGCTCACTGATAACTTGTGTATACAAATTTTACGTATTTAAAATAAGCGCCTTTAATATCGCTACTCCGTGGCGGGGCCACTCGGCTCTGCGCGCGCACGGCAGAGATTCTCGGCTCTGCGGCAGACAGGCAGGTTCTTCTCTCTGGACAGGTTCACGAATTTGATGAAGACGGTGTGTGTTGAGAGTGACGCTGCAGCCATTTTCTAGTTTCTAGTTAATTGTTAAAAGGTAAGTTCTAGTTTTTAGCTAATTGCTCCTTCTTTAATTATATTAAAATACTAAATGCTGTTTAAAACTATATCTACTTCTTTATCTTCATTTAATTAGGTAAAAATGAGTCCCCAAACAGTTCATTTTCCAACCGGCTTTTGTAGTTGTATTTTATAATTATAATAAGTTGACTTTCAACATTTAAAGTGCTTTAGACACAAAGTCGACATTTGTTTTTAATTATATTTTATAATTACATCGCTTATTATTATGTTTTGACATTTTTAATTACATACCTAAGTATTTCTACTCACTGAAGTGGGCAAGACGGATCGTTTGGGAATAAAACGATAAAGCCTATACCACAAATTGTGTAGTTTAGGCACATAATCTATTCTACAGGGTGAGTTTTTTAAAGTGTTACAAGGCAATATCTTGAAAACGGTTTTTTTGTGAAATTTTAATGAAGTAATGAGGACACGGGGGGACATATTTGGATATATTTTTGAAATTTACCCCTCCACCCCATTTTGAGGGGCGGGGGGTAACTTTGGATTTTTCAATGGAATGATGTACTTTTTTTATGAAATTCGAATAAAAGTGCTTTTAATTTAAGTTAATTTACAAATTTTCAGGTTAAAATGGTGTCTCTGGAAGGTGGCCATACCATTAGTGAATGTGTAAAAAAGCCATGAAAACCATACTCGATGATAATTTGGCAAACAGCTACAGCTTCAAAGGACACAAAGCTAAAAAGAATTTTACCGCCCATAAACATTTTGTAACGTTAATTATAGGTATGAAATACTGTAAGTTGTTATCAACACTCCACATATAGGTAATTTTATTTTAGATTGCGTAAGAAATCATGTGCCGCAAGCTACCACAAAGGAAATAGAGGATCAAATGGAAGTCTGGCTGACCAAAGCAAAAAGAAGGATGGAAGCGCTTCAGCAGTAGAAATGTGCAATTCCAATTTATACAGGGTTACTGTATTACAGTACCAAAGAATTTGTTTTTATTTCGTTATATATGTATGTATTTTATTTCGTTATATATGTATGTATTTTATTTCTTATATATATATATATGTACATTGTATATATATGTATATACACATTGTACCCATGTACTACAATTGCTTTTATTAAACTATTTAATATGAAGTTGTCTTTATGTCCAAAAAGGTCCTTAAAAATAACAAAAAAACCCGAAAATTCTTTCAACATTCCGGCCTACTAAATTTTAATAAGACTGGAATATTCCCAGAATCAATTTTAAAAGAAATTATGGAATAACTTAACAATATTTGAAGGGCAGATTCTGGGAATATATTTTTCACCATGCTATGGATAAATAAAAAGCGGACATTTTTATATATCAGGAATATTCGTGGGAATATTCTAGGACGTTTGGAATAATCCTAAAAATATTCCTGGAATAATACTGGAATAGGACTGTGCGGTCTGGGATGCTGTTAATATCTACGCTCAGCGTTTTCCGGATAAAATTCGATCACGTACTTATTTTCACCGTACAGTCAAGCAGTTTACTACAAACGGGAGTGTTCACCCGAAAAAGAGAGTTCGTCGAGCAACAGTCACAGGTGGAAATAATGAAATTAATGTATTAGCAGCAACGGCCGCTAATCCTAGTGCAAGCACACGAGAATTATCTAGAGATTTTGGAATACCCCAGAGCAGTGTTAGCAGAATATTAAAAGGAAATGCGAATTAATAAATGCATTGAAGTCGAAGGCCACCATTTTGAGCACCTACTTTAATTAAAATTTTTAAAATAAATAAAAACCAAGTATTTTATTATTTTAGCCTAAAATATAGAAAAATAGGCAACAAAATATTTTTTTAATTTTTATTTTCTTTATTTTAAATTTTATTCAAAGCGCATTTAAAATATAAGTATTATGTACTACTTCACACGAATTGTAATTGTAAAAATATCATAAAAAAGATGTTTTAAGTGAAGGTAACGATATTTTAGAATTAATTTGAAAATCTGTTAAGCAACATAAAGAACATTTTTCTAATGCCTAAAATCTGTTAAATAGACAAAATTATATAACCATCGCTACATAGCTTTATTAATGCTTATAGATATGTTATATAAGGTGGTTTGGTCGATAATTTGCCTTCTTATTACCGCCTTACAGACGAAAAACGAAAAGTGTTACACGTAAATAAAGAATGACCCACTTTAAAGAATGTATGGGTGCTTAGGTAAATAATTTATTTTGTAATATCGCCTCATATTTAAGATAAAGTTAATAAAACTCAAGAAATAATACATTATTTAGGAAAAGATATACAAAGTGCACCAAATCTAGGTATGTGTATTCTTAAGTAGAATCTTATATTCATATTAAATGGAAAATTGACTGTATCTCAAAAACTGTTCCACTTTTTTATCTTTTGACGACTTTTTCGGATTCAGGGGAAAATTTTACATAAGAATAGGCTGTTAAATTTTGGGATACCATGGTATTCCATGGTTAACCATTGCACAAGTGAAAAAGCAGCCACTATTAACTATTAAATTAGTTACTTTTGACTAATTCATTTTTAGAGAGTATATAATGACGAGGAATCATAATTTCGTGTGTGTTCCGAACCATACAGTTGGTTAAACTTGTTAATGAGTATTCTAAATGGGAAATGTTTTGATTGACTGCCTGAAATCACGTACTTTTTTAACGAAATAATTTGTTAAGCATTAACAAAATAATCTGTAACCTTTAAAATTAACAAAATGCATAGTACCTTTACAAAACTTTTGGTAAAATATTTTCCTTTGTTAAAATAATAATTATAACAAAAAATTATGTTACAAACTACAAACTCATGTTAACAAATCTGATTTTTATAACAGTGTATTATAGTAGTTCCAATCACATGTTTTAATGTAGATAATTATTTAATTGAGGATGTAAGTATGAACTTATCAATTCTAACAATCTTCCTTCGGAAACCGAACAGTCAAAGACCAAAATTATTGTAATTTGTGAGCCTCGAAAACAATTCAAATCAAGCATAATTCCCGCCGATGTTTTCTTACCGAAACCGTCAGGTGAAAGTGACGTTACATAAACAAAAGTGCATGCGTTGCAGGTATGATTGCATAATCAGGTGCACCGTCACCCGGCTCGCCATCAGCTGTGCCATTTACTCGCATTTCTTTTGTTTCGCTTCTTGCGTTCCACAGCGCGCTTTCAAGGTTACTCGGTGAGGGTTCCAGTTTTCGATGAATATTTTTTAAAGATAAATTGCTGTTTTAGGTAATTTTTTTATTTCGTTTTTGTATATAAATTTCTTTCTCGGATTTCTTATCCCTTTTCTGGATTCTGAAGGTAACTACTAATTCCTTGGTCTGACTTCTGAAATAGTTTGTTGCAAATATCATTAAGTGTTGTATCTCTAGTTTGTGAAGCATTTATAATGTTTAGGACGGAACAGGATGATTTATATATATCTAATATTTTTTCGGGTGGTATGTTAAAAGTATTTTCCAAATTTATTAATTTTGTTGCCATTAGTTTTTTATGGCACTGTATTTAAATCACTGTTATTCTGCAAGATGTCCTGTGACGAAGAAATCACTATATTACTTACTCTCTAAAAATGACTTAGTCAAAAATGTCATAGCGAAAAAGCGGCCACTAATAATTCTCGTCAACAGCAATTTGTATCCAGGACATTTAGCAGTCAATTCCTATGAAATATTATTCGCTGAATCCGAAAATGTCAAAATTTATAAAAGTAGAACAGTTTTTGAAATATAATCAATTTTACATATAATATGGAATTGACTATATCCCGACAAGTCGAAATCTCTATTTTTTTTAAACACATATACAGTGTGTTTCATTTTGATTGGCGCCAATTCGGTAATTATTACAATTTTTATATACACATAACTTTACATCATGATATCAAATAACAAAAATTGTTGAAGATAAATTGCTGTTTTAGATAATTTTTTTTATTTCGTTTTTGTAAATATCATATAATTCATAAATTTCTTTCTCGGATTCCTCATCCCTTTTCTCGATTCAGAAGGTAACTACTAATTCCTTGGTCTGACTTCTGAAATAGTTTCTTGCAAATATCATTTAGTGTGGTATCTCTAGTTTGTGAAGCATTTATAATGTTTAGGCCGGAACAGGACGATTTATATATATCTAATATTTTTTCGGGTGGTATGTTAAAAGTATTTTCCGAATTTATTAATTTTGTTGCCATTAGTTTTTTATGTTTTCTATCATGCACTGTATTTAAATCACTGTTATTCTGCAAGATGTCCTGTGACGAAGAAATCACTACATTACTTACTCTCTAAAAATGAATTAGTCAAAAATGTCATAGCGAAAAAGCGGCCACTAATAATTCTCGTCAACAGCAATTTGTATTTTTAATTTTTATTTATTTAATTCTTATTTTATTTAGTACCCCAGTGGGGGCATTTAAAATAAAAATAAATACAAAATTATCATTCTCCAAATTTGTTGTATTATTTATTAAAGTTTAGTGACCCACCTTGGGGGAACCAGTTCATTCATTTAGAATGGACCAGTTTAACTGCATTAAAATTACTGTTTAAAGGTATTGTCAAGGTTAATTTCTTCATGATTGCTCCAATTCCCTGTTGACATTTATATTTTGTTTTATCTGATATTGATACTTTTTATATTATTAGGAAATTTTAGCTAAACGTTGCAAAAATGGTGGATGCATCGGGGTTACAGATAAAACGTGAATATTTTGCAATGTAAAAATATTTTTTAAACACATATAGGGTAAACCACATAGTTATTGGACACTTAAGGAATATTATGCCCTTGTTTTAAAGATTTTAGTTTTTTTCTTATAAATATATCAAAAGGATAGTTTCTTTGTTTAAACTTTATTTACCTTTACTTAAAAATAAGAATATTTGAATTTTTAATGATAGTTAAAAACATGCAAAAAAGTATAGT